ACATCATCTCCTCAGTTTGATGAGGTCCAGCAACATGACACTTTTTTGATCAATATTCATCTGATTAACTTGCACTAATTGTTAAAAATTTGCTCTCAGTCTTGATTTAAATTCATTTTTCAATCTGGAATACAGAAGAAACTTTAAGTTACGACACAAACTGTTAAGGCATCTGTTATGACATCTGTTGTTATGTCTGTCCCTGCATCAGTTCATCGAGTGCGCCCTTGAACCGTATGTCTGCATCTACTTAGCTAATAAAGCTGGTGCTGATTCTGATCCAAGATGAACACAGACGAAAAGTACGAACATTTCTGCGCCTGATTCACTCAAATAAGTGAAATTTCACTGCGATCCTCTTAAAGGTACCACTCAGACCTGTAATCAGCGTTAACTACAGCCCACAACTCAAAAATCTGCCCCTCATGTGATCCCCACATGACAGACCTCTATGCATGTTAGCTAGAGCCCATTTGCCACATGCATGTGTCTCATCTACATGCAACCAGTGGCAGACGTGACTAATAGCTTCTACTCAGCCTTTAATTACCCACATTTATTATTAATTAGAGGAAAATTAGATTGAACTGTGCAGGCAGAGCAGCCATATGGTACAGTACCACTCTTGTTGGAGAACTTCGGTTGATTTCCGGCCAAGGCTGACAATTATCATCATCATTATCATCATTACCACCATCAGCAATGTCATCCTGTGAAAACCTCATAACTCATTTTCCATCGCTGGTTCTACTCGTACTACAAGTTGGAGATATTTTAACTAAGCACAGCGCTGAGTGGGTGGAAACACAAGAGACATTGAGTTGGGATAATTAATTTTAGATAAGTCAATCAGGGGGCAACACAATATGTTAATTTTTCTCTGATGACAAATTCAAAAATGGGGCTATTTTTCAGTTTTTATCTTTTTTCAGTAATTATTCTTCATATACTTAGACTTTTATGCAGCAGGGCAGCACAAGCATGGATTAAATTAATACCCAGAACAGTATTGGATAAATCAATCATCATTAATCAGCTTTCCTTGAATCTTTTAGTGCCTTAATTGTGAAAACTTAATTTTCTGGAATGTTTTGGAAACATTCTGGAGACTGATTTTAGAGATACTCGGCAGCAGTCTGCATCTTTAATTCATGGTTTGTACGTTTTTTTAAGCCTGTACTTAATCTAATATATGTGAGTTAGAGAAGAATCCAATACTGTTACTCTTATAAAAGTTAAATGAGGTAAAACTATCAAGTAAAAACAAAAATATATATATAAAAAAACAAGTCAATTAAGGAGCAAATTGTACTCAAATGTGTAAAGTAAAAGTTCTTGAATTTTACAAATTAATACGAAAGACTAATATCCATCTTACCTATCGCCCAGCTGTGATAAATACTTGATTCTGATTGGTCAAAACACCTTGACAACAGTTATTGATTCTTAAAAACAAAGGCAACACTACTGACATCTTAACCCAAACAAATGCTACTTTCTAATTGGACCGGTGGGCGACATGCTAATCAATCAACAGCCGAGTGAAGAAGACAAAAGTAGTGAAAAAAGCACAGGAATTATAAAGAGATGTCAAAACACAAAAGGGGCGTAGAGAGACGACATCAACCAAATTGAAGAAAACCAACTCAAAACAGCCACAAACTGCAATACAGTCTGAGCTTTGTCAGCGTTACATGAAGTAGAACCTTAAATTTTCTGCACCTGCTAAAAATGGTGACAGAAAAACACTTTTTTTGTGAGTTATAATAGAAAAACAAGAATTAAATGTTGATTTTAATGCTAATTTGACCTTTAAGTAGGCTGATGAAGATACTGTGGCTATGAAAGTGCTTCAGTCTGTTGAATGAGAGGGGTGCTGTTTTATTAGCTGTATAAACACATAAAAGTTAAATCAATAAAATCCTCTTGAAATTGATAAGTAGTGTCACTAACTTAATATGTTTTGTTAGTAGCTGGGCAATATGCGATATAATGTAAAATTGTAAAATTGACACTGTAAATTACACACTTCTTTTAAATAAACTACAAATTTTTACAATGTAAACTGATGCAATAATTCGGTTCAGGTCATGTCTTGAATACAGAGAGCAGTGCACCAGATTTACCCTACCTGGTCATGTTTTCAAAATTACAAAATGGGGATTCCACAGGGTTCAAGTTTAAGCCCTTTTTACTTTATGTAAGAGTGAATTACCTGGCAGCTGCCAATGTATGCAGACAATACAATTATTTATGTGTCTGCCAAAAGCCTTCAGGAGGAATGTCTGGTACGTCTCAGTGTCTCCAACAAAGTCATCCAGGCGAAGTTTACGGGTAAATGTTCTCTTTGACTCCTTACACTAACTCGTTAAGCCAAAAATGTATAAACCAATTAAAAACTGGAATTTTGAACGTTCAGGCTAAAATTCATGTGTTTGTGTCTGAACGTGATAGCTGTGCCAGAATTTAAATTCTAAAATCTGGCCTCTTAAATGTGATTATTTCTAAAATTTCATGTTGCACTCATGTGTACTGTTTGTCCTCAAGTCAAACTGGCGGGGGACGAATTTTTGGCAGAGGTACATTAGAAATTAACTGGCCACTAACGTTCTTGTATTTCCCCTTTTAATTAACGCATCCACATGGTCCGAGGTCACAACCTGAATAAGACCGTCCTCCTCACAAAGTCCCACAAACTGTGCCGTCTCTGTCTTACAGATAGTGAGTTCAGAAAAACAACATACCAGCAGCAGCTAATTTGTTTCCCCATGAAAAATGAATGGAAGCCTATTAGTCAGAGGATTCCGCTTTAAATCCATTTCTTACGTGTTGGGTCACATCTCGGCTCTCCACGCTGTCTGCAGGACCTTGTAAATCACTTACAGACAGGAATTTGTTCTCGGGGGTCATCAGACACTTTACCAGGTCTGATTTCACGAGGAACGGAGGCGAAGTGGACACATTAATCAGCCGGTCACAGGAAGGACACTCAGGTTATACATTTTTGTATTTTTAAAAAAATGCAAATACTCTAAAATCATCTTTTTGTGCATGAAAAGATGTATTTAGATTAAAAAAACATGTAAATTTAACAAGAACTGAGCTCTTTTTTTATTTCCTTGGCACTTTCAGAAGCAGAATTAGATGTCTGGAGCACAAACAACAACCCTAAAATAAAAAGATAAAAATTAATAAAACATTCATTTGAAATACATTTGTTTTTAGGACTAAAATACTGAACAAGCTCAGGCTTTTTGGACAATTTATTAGACATGGATTCTCAATAGTTTTCAGTGTTTCCTACCCTTTCATATGTTTAGAAATCGATCAATTCTTTTAACAATATTTTATTGGGTTTCCCATTGGACACCAACCAAACAAAACAGACAAACAAACAAACAAAATAATAAAAATAGCATCATACAGATACTACATACACGGGCATATATCTGACAAAATATGAGTAAACTTGGGCACGTTATTAAACAAATTAATCAATTAATTAATCAATTCTTTACATAATGAGGAAAAAACTGAGTGATAATGATGGTTAGGTGAGATAATCATTCATGGCAGATAATTGATTCAAAAAAGACCGATAAAGGTCCATCAAGTGTTAAACTGTTAAACGACTTTAACAGCGTTTTCATGTCCAGAAATTACATGTTATATAACGCGTCTCTCTCCGGAGTAAGAACTGAAACACAGTTTTTAGACCAGTGTGTGGTGTTAAAGATCCTCACAAAAACAAACCAGTGAAAATATTTCTTGTTCTCTAAAAAAATTCAGGAAATTTTGATTAATTTAAAACCACATTTCAAGAAAGTTTAGTGAGTAAAAGAAACACACAGAGATAAATATAAAAAATATAACAGACTAATTTTTAGGATTTCAGCCCTAAATAACTGCAGTAGTACTTTCAAAGGTTTCTAAATGCTTTACTGCCTCAGTCCAGCGTCCTACCTGCTGCATAACTTGAGTTTTACATAACTAAAGTAGGAGAAACTTTACATTTTTGCATCCAGAGTCCCAGCTGAGTGCAAAACTTTCACACTTGAATTTGATGGTAATAAGAGATGGCAGTTGTCTCAGCTACTTATATCAACTTTACATCATCGGAAGGTTCAGTAAAGATGCAGTCGACTTATTGCCGTTAAATGTAGTACTTGGTTGCTCTGAAACCACAGAAAACAGTGACTAAGACAACAAAATCAAAGTGGGATTTTTAGGTAAATGAGAAGGTACCTTATGTAGAGTTATTGATGTCTTGCTTAGATTGGATTTATATGTTGAGACTGAGCTGGTAGATGTTGAGGAGCGCACCTGCTGCCTGTTTCTGGAGGATATTGATAAAAACGTGAGCCTAGCCTTGAATTTAAACTGTATCGAATGTATCCCGTCTGAAATATAACCCTCCCTCCTTGTCTTTCATACATTATACAAACACATATGTGTAAATAACAGCCCTCCAAGTGCTGCTGCCTCCATCCATCCATCCATCAGCCCACTTGGTTGGTGTGGTGGTGGTGTTGCAGCAGCAGAGCTTGTTTGTGTTGTGAGGTTGTGCTGAGTCAGTGTGGTGGACGGAGCCAAAACCCAGCTCCAGTCCGCCGCAGACGACTGATGTCTGCCTGCAGAGAAACATTAAACCCAGCCTGAGTCACCGCAGAGCCGAGCCTTTAGACATCCGAACCACACCTTCACTTCCTCTCTGACTGACTAATGAGCTAGATAGATAGATAGATAGATAGATAGATAGATAGATAGATGGATAGATGGATAGATAGATAGATGTGCAGTATTATCAAAGAAGAATAAGACCTTGATTTAAGGTTGTATATCCTTCATGGCTTTACAGATAGCTACCTTAATTTCTATGTTACTAATTTCTATGTTAATTATTAATCTGAGATGCATAGTTTGATTTCATGGCATATACTCGTACATGGCATATACTCGTACTTTGTCGTTTTCTTCCGCTTGTCCTGGTCCGGGTCGTGGGGGCAGCAGCTTCAGGAGGGAAGCCCAGACGGCCCTCACCCCGGCCACTTCCACCAGCTCCTCCTCCTTTGGGGGGATTCCCAGGTGCTCCCAGGCCAGGCGAGAGATATAATCCCTCCACCTGGTCCTGGGCCGGCCACGAGGTCTCCTCCCAGTGGGACATGTCTGGAACACCTCTAACGGGAGGCGTCCAGAATAACCAGATGCCCGAGGCACCTCAGCTGACTCCTCTCGACGTGGAGGAGCAGCGGTTCTACTCTGAGCGCCACCCTGCGAAGGAAACCCATTTCGGTCGCTTGTATCGGCGATCTTGTTCTTTTGGTCATTACCCAAAGTTCATGACCATAGGTGAGGATCTGCACGTAGATCGACCGGTAAATCAAGAGTCTTGCCCTATGGCTCAGCTCTTTCTTCACCACAACAGATCGGTTAAGTGTAATTAGACATCTTGATTGGTGCCAAGTGGCTTCTTCGATAGATACTTCACGAGGTCTTGAGTGTCCCATGTTCAGCTCCATATGCTGATTTTTAGATGAATGCTTAGATACTTCTACTGAGACGCCTACTTAGATACTTGCGGTTACTCTTATGAATACCTCATTTAAAGCTCCTGTGAGGAACTTTATGTCTGTTGACTTTGGCGCCCCCTGTGGACAAAATGGAAGTTCCTCACAGCAGCTAAATATCTTGAAAAGAAATCTCTACATTAATAGGCTCATTTTTTGTACATTATCATCTCTGTAAAAAGTTCCTCAGAGGAGCTTTAAGGATCTATATACAGTATGAATGAATAGATACTTAAAAACCTTTAATTGATGTTTAGAAATGAGATAAAAGCTTATCTTGGTATATAGATGAAGACACAGATACTTAGGTAAATACTTAGATATGTAGTTAGATATATACCGTAGATAATTGGGGTTTTCATCAACATTAATCTCTTCAAAGCCACACTGCAGTTGCTTTATTTCTCTCTATATACATACCATGTGACGTGAACACTGGTGACTTTACAGTTGAGCTGTTTGCATTACTGTGCACGAGAACTCTGCTTCCTCTCTGTCCTACACAATAACTATTTGACTTGTCCCCTACTGTGGTGAAAAACGGCCTCAAAGGTGGACTTAAAGCAGCTATAGATCATTAATTAATTAAACAGCAAATTATGATCAAAGTGCAGCTTGTGCACACACAGGTGTGTTTACTGGACCACCTGAATGCACAGAAGCAGAGATTGACACATGGATAGATAGATAGATAGTAAAGGTATGGTGGGGCAGTCAGATGAGCCCTTGTTCACATGTCTTATTGGTTGCATTAGCAGTGGTTTTGTGCAGCTGCTCACGTGTTGCTCCTCCTCGTGTGTTTGACCACTCCCTGAATTCCAGCTCCAGCTCCAGAGCCTCTTTCAACAACAACATCTACCGGAACTCCACTTCTGTTTCCCCCCTCTGTCTCTGTCAGATCACTCTCAGGAAAAAAAACAACACACACGTGCTTTTTAGTTATACCATGATTGTTTAAGCCATTCAATGATTTACTCTGTTTCGTTATAAAGGCATAAAAAAAAACACAGAAGTCACATGAAAACAAACAAACAAACTACAGAAAGAGAACATGAAGTTGGAGCTCCATGGTGCCACGATTTAAAGATTTCACTCCAGGCAGCCATGTGGGAACTCACTTGTTGTTGTTTTAGTGAGATTGGCAGAGATTGGAGGTAATTCAAGGAAACTGGGAACACAAGTCTGACTTTGAGGAAATGTAATTGAATTGATTATTCTCATTAGAAAGTGTTTACCCTAGATAAGGACTTTTCTATGTAAGTTTGACTACATTTACTGAGTCTGAACTCCCGCACAGTACATCATACAGCTCTCGAATACTGCTGTCTTGTGCACACGAGTGATTTGATAACGGCTGCTTTGGACTCGTGCAAGTTTGGTTGTTCACTCCAGTTGTGGTGCTGCAGCTTCTGAACATACTTTCCACCACAGTATTGACCTGCAGCTCTGCACAAGTGAGGCTGAAACGTGAGATTAGACTCCTCGCTCAATACTTTCAACCACAGAGAAAGTTTCCAGCCCTAAAGCGAGAGTGGGAGTTATTATTCTGCAGAGCGTGGACGCTGATTTTGTGCAAGGATCAAGTTTATGAGGAGAGAAAAAAACACAACAGCACCAACAAACTGAACAGAAATACATTTTTTGAATATGCAGTGTCATGCTTGTGGTCAGCAAACATCTGCTCTTCAGCGGGGGAACCAGCAGAGGGCGGTCTTGGCTGTGATATGAAGCTTTGGCCATGTGTGGAAACAGATGAAGGGAGATTATGCCCTGAGTGTGTCTTCTCAGGCTCCTGCACTGCCTGTTACTATCTGTACTTTTTAGATTTTGTGTGCATTGGATATCAAATTTGGAGTCAGGATGGTTTGGAAATACTCTTCTTATACTTGTCTAATCTTTTTCCTTCTTTATTTATCAAGTCTAGTTAAGCATAAAGACATTAATCTTCTTTTCAGTCCAGGAGCAGGTTATTCTGCATGATTTTGAATGATAGCCATTTCTAAAAACATCAGAAAAGATGTTTTAATATTTGGGTTAACCATCACAGTGAGACAGAAGTGATTTAGGTCAAATTGAAGAGAAGGTTCCGCCTGTTAGGTTCGACTCAGGGGGAGAAACACAGTCAGTCGGTGAACCACATGCAGTATTGACTAATACCTCATTGTTTATGCATGATGTGCAGGAAGGCACGTTCAACAGTGTCTGCCGAAAACTGCTGAGACAATTTCTGTGTGATCGGTTTCATCATTCTGGTGTCGAATGGGTGTTTTTTAAAATCTACAAACAATTTAAGTCGAGGAGATGTTGCATAATGTGACCTGATTCAAGAGAAGAAAGACTCAGACACAAAAATACGGGTATTTTTCAACGTATTATTGAATAAAATCTATAAAATAGTCCACAAAAAATACAATACATCATTAATTTTCATCTTATTACATAGTAAACTCTTCCTTCAGTTACATTTATATCATTTACAGCATACTCAATACAGCTTGTGCTTCACAAACCATACTGACGCTTTCATACATTTATAAATAACACTGCAGCCTCCTGCTTGTTTTTCTCAGTCCTGTCAGGAAGATTATTTCAATGGCAAAAACAAAAAAATACAACAACTGGAAAGTGGATTTGTTTTCAGGCTGAAATCCATCAGATTCACACTGTTTTTCTGTGCAGAGACATCAGGAGCGAGGAAAACAAGTTGTTGTTGGAGAAGCAGTGTGCTCCTCATACATCAATCTAGCTCCTCGTACTCCTCTGCGATTGGTCGATGGTCAGAGTCCGGGCAAAACAAGCTCTAAGCCCCTCCTACTGAGCTAAGTGACGCAAGCTGCTTCCTCCCACCCCTCCTCCTCCTCCTCCTCCTCCTCTTATTTTTCCCTCCCGGCCCTTGCTGCCACCTCCTCCCTCAGCTAGTTCACTGTCAGCCTGTCACGATACATTAAGCTCATATGCTACTAGTGTTCTCTGAGCGCAGAAAAAAAAAGGCCAAGAAGAGGGAAGAAGAGATGACGGTTCCGGGTTTTAATGCTTTACATAACATCTCGCCTCAGTTTGAAGTTTTTTTGTTTTTTATCAATGAGCACAAAACCCTCAACATGGATAAAAACTAGGTTCAGTAGTAAGGCACATTGTCGACATGAGAGATGGGGATGCGGACGGATTGCTTTGGTCTGTAGGGAAAGCGTTGGAATTTCACTAAATCGTTTCTATCAGAATCAGACGGTCCTTTTGTGTGAAACAGAGCGTCCATCTAAACTGAGAACAGACATCAGGAGGTAGAACGGGAGTAAACCACAGACAGTGAAGGAGCGTCAGCCCTTCACTCTGGACAGGTGATGAGAGATTCAGGTAGAAACACGTACAAACTCTTTAAAAACACTGCAGTTTGACTTCTTACCATCAGGATGGCCATAAAAATACATAAGCTTCCGTTTCATTTACAATTCTGAGACATGATGGCGAGCGTCCTGATCCGTGACTCGAGGCGATCAGCTCCTCAGTCAGAACCAGACGGGGGTCCTTAACACACGATTTAAAAACATCTTTTACGCTGCATTCATCACATATTGCATTAATCGTAAATACAAGCTGCCGAGAGGGATGAAAGGATGAGTGTTTTTCTTCTGATCTGTTTGTCCCAAAAGATCGATGCAGTAGAGTCAGCAAAAAGCAGTAAGAAACGGCAGCTGATGCGCTTAAAGTTCAACCTCATGAAGAACCTAAAGTATAAGTTACACTCACGCCCAAACAAACAAACAAACAAAAACGCTGTACATTGAAAAGAACGAGTGAAATCTGCTGCAGTTCGTGGTTGGGTTTTTCATTCATAAATAAAACAAGGGGGACGAGATGTCAACCAGCTTTTTAACGCTTCTGTCGGCCTTCAGCTCTGAGGATTTGAAGCTTATTCTTTGGCTGGTGAATCCCCAAAATGATTGACCACATTCTTCTTCTTCTTTCCACAAGACAAATAAATATATAAAACCATCCACCTTATGACGGCTACGAATTTAAATATCCTACAAAACCATTCAGTCCCGGTAATGAAAGTAAAGCCGGGGCCTTTGCCCTCCTGGATGATTGGCTCTCTGGCTGAATCACACCCTCTTAAGTAATTGAAGAGATTTTAATTAATAATCAACCCAGGTCTGATCTACCAGCCTGAGTGACGCTCAGCTCACGTTCCTCCTTCCTGAGCGGGTGATTCACTCAGAGAGCTTTAGCCAAACTTCGTGAAACAGGAGGGAAAAGTGGCGTGTTCGCAGTGAGATTGGAAATTTAAGGTTCCATCAGAGTTCGATCAAACACACTGTAGACTCTTTTAAACTGTTAAATGTCACCCAGTCCTGCCTGCTACAACTCTTCCCTTACATGAATTACACTCAACTTTTAGCGTAAAGGCTTTGTCTGGACACGTCTACTTTTACAACACATTATTCACCAACTACTCAGAAGAGCTATCTGATTCATTTCCTGCTGCGCAGGGTTCAAAAACGCTCTTTTACTAAGTCTAAAAATGCAGTTTTCTTTGTTGAATGTCAACAATAATTCACTGAACACAACAGCTAAATGTTCCCGATATCAAATCCTCACATTTGGCCGATAACCAACCTGAGTTTGAACAATCAAAGGCAGTGTAAAAGCGCATCTTTTCTCGTTTTAAACTGGATTCTTCTTCTTCTTCTGCTCTAATAAATACTAAGTTCTGAATGAGAGGCACAAGCTCATACATATCTTGAGGTTTCCTTAAAAATGACTTGCATAGGAGTTAGTGTTTTCTTTAACCCGCCGAAGCTCAAAACAACCGAAATATCTGATGGAACCTTCAAAATCCAAACTCACTTTGAGTCCATTCACACTCAGATCAGTCCTTGTTCCTGGTCTACACGCTCCTCTGCAGCCGTGATCAACTCCTGGACCAATTGAAACGTTCAGGAGTTCACCTCAGAAATCAAGACTTCACCAGAATCTCCATGATGTGGTCCAGCTCATTCAGGTCCATCAAACACGACTGGAGACCCCCAGCCGAGGCATGACCGGGAGGGCGCATTTTAACGTCCTCGTCGGCCCAAAGCGACACACTAACAGGCCAGAGAGAGCTCGATGCCCAGGCAGAAGGCAGATCTGAAGTCTCATACATTGATGTGTCAATGTCCTCGAAGATGTCGTCCAGGGCGAGGTCGCTGAGGTAGCCCATGGCGTTGACTGCATCACTAAAAGCATTGATTGTAGCAGCAGGGAGGGATTTCTGCTGGTCTGGCGAGCTGGTTGCCTCCTGAGAAGAGGATTCAGGGGACAGAGGCGGAGATAAATTACCTCCATCTCCCTCTGCACACCCGGGGCACGTAACCGGCATGTCCTCCCTGAGAATGCAGGAATCAGAGTGCACGCCGTTGAGGAGAACCTCCGGCGCGCAGGTTCCCACTCCGTCGCTCTGCATGTCCTCCTGGATCTGCCTGAGCGTGTTGATGAGCAGCACCGAGCGGCGCAGGCTGAGCTCCACGCCGGCCTGGTAGCGCTGCAGCTTCTCCAGGCAGAGGCCGAGCACCCGCTGACGCTGCTGCAAGTGGCTCATGTCAGACTTGGACGGACTCGCGAGGAGCCCGTCCTCGTCCTTCTGCTCCTCCTCCTCCACCTCATTCTTCTCCTTCTCTGCAGCAGCAGCAGGGAGGGTCTCCACCTCCAGCTCCTCCAGGCAGCTCCACTTCCGCTTCACACCACGACCCAACATCAGCCTGGACCAACAAAATGATAATGATTAGACTTGATGCACGATGCATGTGACAAGTGTTTCAATACTGACTTCATAAATTTCTGTACGAGAGCAGCGTGATGTAAAAATTAGAGATAGACTGATAAGTTAAATGTCAGATTAGTTATATTTTTAAAAATCTTATAGGTAATCAGAAAAATATAAACGAGACAGGTCTGCAGACACTGCAGGCAGCCTCATCAGTGTTGCCTCCAGCTGCTTCATAGATGGTTTATAGTATAAAATTAGGCTGTTTAATGGGAGAGACTTCAGTTTTTGTTTTTTAATGTTATTATTTGCTTTATTGGCTCATAACCGAGTCTGTGAACAACCTCAAATAAACATAAAAATATGCTTTGGAACAGTTTTAGGAGCGTGGTAAAAGCTTTTACCATAACTCTGATGCCTACATTTGATCAGTTACCATCATCCTTTACTGCTTTCACAGCCAAGAGAGAGAGATAGATAGATAGATAGATAGATAGATAGATAGATACGTAGATAGATAGATAGATACGTAGGTAGGTAGGTAGGTAGGTAGGTAGGTAGGTAGATAGATACTAATCCTAGAGGGAAATTAAAAAATGAACAGCATGATCAAATCCTGAACAATCACTGCCTTGTGTTTAATCGTGGTTGACCGATTACATATTTCCATTAGCTGATGCCGATAATAAGAGAGCAGGTAACTTGATGATAGGTTAATATCCAACACTGAAACCACTTTATTCTTCTGCTTCTTTTTTTTGCATTTGACAAAAAATGAGAAGCAAAGACACTGAACATAAGTGAAGATTTCAGATGTCTGTGCAGACACCTGATGCCAATATGACAGGTTACTAAAAATGACTTAATCAGCCTAATTAATCAGCTAACTGACTAATCTGTAGACCTCTACTGTTTAGTACAAACTCTGTTTTTATGTGCAGAATAAGACATGTAGACTTGTAAATGCTTTTCTCCTTCATTCATTCACCAAAAATCCATCTTCAACTTGATCCTGTCTTAGCTAACCATGCTTATTACATTGTTTAATAGCATACATGTAATACTGGAGTTACACATGACTTACTCCTAATTGGTTGTTATGAAATTGAGTGTTATCCAACACAAAAATCAGCAACATGATATCAACATTACATGTCTGCAATTGGCTGATCTGCTCTGTAATTATTAGCATCTACTGTCATTAGTCTGATACTATTAATATGAGATGTTTTACATATTTTTCATAACTTCTTTGATGAAATATTGATAAATTTAGTTTTAATTTCAGTTCCCAGAGATAAGCACCTGTTTTAGAGAGGATCTGTGGGCTTAATTCAAATCATAAAGCAGGAAAACATCTTTGATAAGAGTCGCTCAGAGGCAACAGTGAAGCACAGTCAGGCTCCACATCAGGGCTGCTCAGTACTAAACCTCACATCCAGTTTATGTAACAGCACAAACCTAGCAAACATGGCTAATTCCCATTCACTTCCAATTGATCAGCAGCACTAAAACAGACCTCCCAACCATTAGGACTCAAAGGGAAGCAGTTTCCAGGGTTGAACATTTGGGTTTGTCCATCTTAGACTCTTGTAAAGTGAACATTACAAGTGTTATGAGTCACAGTGAGACACCCCTGCAGACTGTGAGACTTTACTCATCCATACAGGAGCGGGTTCCTCAGCTTCTCCTCACCTCTCCTCTGAGAAACTTGTAAATAAGACATGAATTCCCATTTGGTGAGAGTGAGACCCCCGAAAAGAAAGCATTCAATGATGCTTCAAGAGATTTTAACACCATTAATAAGTAAATTTAAAGGTTACAAACTTTATCACACAGATGACTTTACAACTCAAGGAAAATGAAGACAACAGCTTCATCTCTTCTTCACTTATTTCACTCAGGACCCCTAAAGAAGAACAAGCCCTAACCCCTGAACGGTCCCCGGACTTCAGCTGAGAGACACTCTCCCCCCTTTTTTCGACCGGGTTAGACGTGAAAAGTTGACGACATTTCAAACGAATGAATAAGAAGAAAGAGTAAACAACCTTACGTGTCCTTCGACAGAGTCATGAGGGGTTCGAAAGCGTCGTGTCCTCGGATCCTTTCCTTTCGTTTCTCCGCCGCGTTCCTCCGCAGCAGCTACCGAGCCCCAGGAATAAGAGGAATGTTCCGTCCATCCACAGCGGCGGGGGGAGGGGGCGGAGACACTGGGGGAGGGTGGGGGGGAGTGGGAGAAGAGCGCCGGAGTCAGCGAGCGGCTCTGATTGGTCCGTTCCCCCGCTGATCATGCGTACTCCTCCACCTCTCACGGGGCAGCGAATGTGCGGACGTCTGTTCTGAGTGCGTGCTGCCGCTGCGTTCAGGGGAGGCTCGTTTATTCCAGAGAGAGCACGGAGCACACGTGTACGGGGAGAGGAGGCGAAATAGAAAAGGCAATTTGGGTTTAATTATAGCGAGGCTGTGCTCTCTAAGACATGTAATGAAGAATAACTACAAATCAGCACTTAGTAACACTGGAACAGTTTAATAGTTGGCCTCAATCCTATAAATGCTATCTCATGCTACACTTCAAACATTGCATGTTTTTTGCAGATTAAAAAAGAGCATGATTCATATGTTTCACTTATATTTTCTTGTTTATTACAGGACAAATGTTTAAAAATAAGAATATCATTTCAAGCTCGAAGTGAATCTGGATCCCAATGTCATCCATAAACCTCAACCTCTGTTCTAGAGAGATGAAGCCAATGCAGAAGGGCTGAAAACTGCAATTCCCAGAGTGCCTGCTTGTAGCGAGCTGCAGGAGCACAAGAAATCACGTACGCTTTAGGATAAAAAGACAATTTTAGGAGCAAAAATGAATATTTTTACAGTCTAGTTTTGTTGGTGAGGCATTTAATTAAGAGATATTAAAGGGATATTCCGGCGTAAAATTAAGTTAGGGTCAAACACACTGTAACACCAAGTTAGACACCCCCGTCGAGAGATGAATGTTGCCGACCGCTTGCTTCTCTAGTTATACCAACTTTAGTAATGACCACACAATAGCAATACACAGCGGTCTGAGGAGCCATAAACAAACCTCAACCAAAACACCACTCTATAGCCACAAATAATGCTCAGAACAGCACCTAACTTCATCAACAGGACATATAGGGTCCCAGCCATAGTACCCCATTTTTTGCACTGTAAGGCGCATCTGATTATAAGGCGCACCATCAATGAACGCATCTAGATAAGTCAAACTTTATTTAAATTATTCAATAACTCAGCGAGGCTACGGTAGCTACGGTAGCTGCAGTGCTGCGACAAGCCACAAGGATTTTAAGTGCGCCTTATAGTGCGAAAAATACGGTACAAGCGAGGTGGTGTCTAACTCAGTGTTACGGTGTGTTTGACCTTAAATTAATTTTACGCCAGAATATCCCTTTAAGGTAACAGGATCGGAGAATCCTGACTTGACTGATAGGCATGCACACTGTAGCTGTTAGCAAAGAGGCTAAAACCTTGCCTATGTCAGGTTGAGTCAGCATTATTAATCCAATGAGGTACCAAATAGTCTATGCTGTGAAAGCAAAAGATTTAGAGCTCCCCCTACTGACTGGTCGCAGATTTCTTCATCAGTTTTACCTCCTCTGTGCAAACAGATGGAACATGTGTGAAGTTATATAAAACTATAAGACACATAAAATTAATTATTCTTATAGTTTCTGTCATGAAAGTCAGTTTGTTTTTTATTCTGCGTTTGTACATGGGGCATTTTCCTCGCTCCTGTAGTCTTTTGCACCAAAAAATTAAAGTAGAAGAACAATGTTAGAAACTGTCAAAAGTTATGCTGTGCTTTTCTTGCTGAGACAACAGACTTAAAAGCTGATTTAAGCCAATCCTTGTTACAGATTTTAAAAAGCTTCCAAATTACAGTTTGACTGTGAATGTTACAGAAGGTCCAGGTAGAAAAAAGCGCAAAACAAGACTTATTTATTCCAGAGGTACGAATTTACTGAGAGATTATGCAACAAATATGTAAGTGGGAAGCGTCTAGAAGGCTCAGGAGCTGCAGTGAGCACTTGAACGCAGCATTTTAAAGGGACAGATGACTCAGAGAGGAAGGGGGGAGGATGTGACCGGAAAGACGTGGACGGCAAACACCAAATAAGGAAACTCCTCATTCACGTTTTTCAGTCTCTTCCTGCTGTCACAGCTTTACCTCGACTTCTTCTTTCCTCGTCCTGGTCTGGTAATCAGAAAATAGATCTTGAAAGTTTAAACATTATTACTCCTTCTTTTGGTAAATCTTATTAAGATCTTATAAAGATTGACCACATTACCTAGAATGGTGGCGTGCTTGTAAGCTCTTTTAATCGAATAACCCTACTCTCTCGTGTGTAAGTTATAGTGTTTAGCTCTGCAGGGGTCAGTGTGTCTGACAAAAATGGACAAATTCTGTTTTCACTGTTGCTGATATTAGTTAGACAAAGTTTTAATGGCTCAAGATTCAATTCCCAGACAGAGTTTTACTTCAGTTTGAGAAAATAGGCTGTCATCCTCAGATTTCACGCCTACAAGAGGAACTCGAAGGCACCGCAAAACCTGTTAGTTCCTATTCACTCCTAACCTGCTCCTGCTTTTGAGGGCAGTTCAGTCCTTTAAAAGTTGAAGCACATGCATCGTGAAGTTCAGCGTGTTATTTGAAGGTCAGAGTAATAAAAGTAAAAGTTTCCTTAATTAGAAGAACTTTTTAAAAACTTCAGATTTCTGTTGCATCTCTGAAACTTCATGTACTCTCTGCAGCATGTGTACTGTTTTCTCTCTGCTGCGTTTTTTAAAGACACAATAGTCTCTTTCTCTGACGACTCGGTTTTTCCTCAGGCTGCTTTTTTGCTGAGTCACCACCGAGAGGCCATTAATCTTTAACTATGGGCAAACCAAGACTAGGCAGCCAGCCAACATGCAGAGTAAGCTTGAATTTTTACGAACAAGTACCTTTTGACTTTGAGATTTTTATTTTACTGCTGTCAGTCCAAGACATAGAGGGGCTGTTTTCAGCGGGATGAAAAGTAGCATTCATTATTAATAGAGTATCCATGATTCCACTGAGGAGGACATGGTTGTCTGCGTGTGTTGAGACAATAGCTCTGCACTGTTGAATCACTTGTAACTATGTATATCTAATGTAGGATCTCACTGTCTCCCTCTGATCATGTGAGAGCACGTGACCACGAAGGTCCAACTGCAGCGGAGTCAAATCTAACTCTCTGTGAGTATTGTGACATTCAGGACTTCTCACTTATGATACAAACTCAACAACTGTGTAAAAGTGTAGCGGACACTATTTGACTTCAGGATGCAACATGTCAGCTCTCAAGTAGACTCTTTAAAGCAAATTCTGCAAAACTGATGGCATCAGATTGACTCTGATACTACAGAGCCATGCTGTTGTGATCTCTGCAGAATGCCGTTTGTCATTGTCTTGTTTAGATCACCTGGACGGCAGCATATTTTGCTCCATAACCTGTTTATAACGTTCAGCACTAATTCAGCCTTACCAGATTTTTAAGTGCCATGGGAAATTTTGCTTCTCTCAAGTATCACAGACCTTCATGCTGTGGTCCCACTCCTCTTCAGAGCCGCGATTTCCAAAAAAGTACCAACCAATAACAGAATGTGTTCAGATAAATTCAACCCCAACAGAAAGTTACTCACTGGAGCTGCATTCAAGTCTAAAATCTGCACGTTTGCGTCAAATAACATGTCATGAGTGCTCGAAAAATTGGTAATTTTTCAAAATAACTGTTAGAAATACTTACCGTATTTTTCAGACGATAAGGCGCACTTAAAATCCTTACATTTTCTCAAAAATTGAAGGTGCACCTCGTAATCCAGTGCGCTTTATGTGGGATTACTTGCTGTGTTTACTGACCAATTTTATGCGCTAGTAAGTGTTTTATTTGGAGCATTACGGTACGTTGTGTCACTACCGTATCGGCCCGTAGCAGGACCCCTGAGCAGTCTACAAGACGTGCATTTGTGTAAGGGCCCAGAGTACGCGCTAGCAACAATAAAACAATCAATGCTTAATGTGCCTAACAATTTGGTGCACCCAATGTGTGAACAAAGACACGTTAATTTACAGTGCGCCATAAAAAATACGGTAAATGCGTAAAATCAGACAGACGGATGACATATGCCTCATGTACTCCTGTTATGTAGCACTGATTTGTTCTCTGACAAGTGTACAGCTATTGTGGTTTTACTTGTACCATAATATTAATCTGTAACTTCACAGAACTCAATCCAAAACATGTTACAGGGATTTAAAACACGGCAACCAAAGGAAAATCTCTGCAGAGTTGAACAGATGAATCAAACCACACGATGAATAGTTGCACCTTTTATTATAAAAAATATTTACAAAGATGCTACAATGTTTTTCCTTAATATAAAAAATGCATACATTTTACAACGGTAATAAGTCTTTGAAGTTCTAGCTCCCATTCAGACCAGAGTGACATCCTTCAGGAGTGTTGTGGTAAGGTATTCAGTGTGTCGTAATACTGTATTCTTGTCAATACATTTAGTTTTTGCCTGAGTTCATTTCTTCATCACCATGATAAGGAACAATTTTGAAAAATGCATTTGATTTTTCCACATCTTTAGGAGAAAGGCAACTGTTTGCATAAAGGATTTAAAGGACATTTGAGTCGTATACAATCATTTTGAAACACGTATGACAGAGCTGCATAGTGATTTTTATAGTAACCCGGATATTATTATTATTATTACTAACAGTGGTGAAATAATGTGAGGAATAAATAGGTACTGCATTCAGAACGGAGGGCAAAATTTGGATAAATATAATTTCATCAGGCCTGGTGTTTGATTTGATAAGTCAATATGGCATGTCTGTACCTAGATATAATAAATACAATAAATAAAACAACAATAAATTAGATTGGGTTGACACACAGAATTCTTCATTTGTAGATCTAACAAATGAGAGAAAGAAATATGGCTTCATGATGCAGTTATCACCCCGTGGTTTCACCAAATGCTTTAGAAAAAAAGCCGTTATTGTCGTTAAATCTGGATGAAAAGCAGGACGGGAAACTTACTCGAATTTGTCCGCTGGATACTGTAAACTGAGCAGAAACAGACAATCGTTAAACCAGCGTTTGGTCGGTGGCTGCCAGTAGTTTCCCTGCCCTGCATAAAGCTTTGAGAAATGAGAAAACAGCGCCTAGAAAGTGTGACAATGCCAGCCCTGACACCTGTTACAGTCCACTATTTATACCAAACCATGGGAAGACACTGTCTTGAGTCTGGCTACATTAAAATCTTAAAAACCGCTTAGGAGGGAGAAAAATAATAATAATATCAAATGATACTTGCAAAATCCCCCAGCTGTATAATGCAAAAAATATATTTCTATATACACATACGTACATATACATATATTCCATTCATAATTGCTCAAATCTTTAGGAAAATATGCATTGATTCATAGATTTGGATTTACAATTTGTTCTGGTTTGTGATGTGTGTAGTGTGATGAGTTGTTCCACGGTCCATGTAATAATAAATAGAAATGGACAAAATGGCAGAGAATACGTCCAGAAGGAGCTAGTATGACAGAATGTATGACAGACGTAAACATGGAAAGTACGTAAATAAGAATGCATCATGGTATAGGTAATTATCTTTGCCCTCTCACAGAGATCGTCCGATTTTGGATTTCATCGACAAAGTAGGAAATTAACAGCTCCGCTCAGAAATTTAAGTCTCAAAAGTTAAACCGCCAATTACAAATCTTCAGGTCGAAGTTTAGCGTCCGAGCAGCAGCTGTCGACTCACAGCTGCTGTTAGAGCGACTTCACCTCGACCGGCTCGCCGTTCGTTTCCCACCTCATCCCAAAATCGGCGACAACCTCTGCGTGTAACAATACCACATACAGAACATGCACGAGTGAACTGTGCATAGTCTGGTCAGAGTCTGAGGGATCAGTTCAGGCCAAAGGAATGTTCTGAGTTTCAGGATCCCACTATGATCTCCATGATGTGGTCCAGTTCGTTCAGGTCTGACCTGCAGCTCGTGCTGGAGCTCAGGGCCGTTGGCGCGTGAGAGGAAAGGCTCTCCAGCAGGTCATAAGGCCCCATCTTTGGGGCGCTCTGCATGCCTGTCAGCACCGTATCGAGGTCATAGTAGGAGGGGTCCACGTCTGAAAACAGTTCTTCGAGCGCAGGGTCAGGGGGCGGCGCCGGGTGCTTGATCTCGAAAGTCCCAAAAACCTGCTCCCCTGTCCTGGAGTCTGCGCTCAGGTGGTCCCGCTCTGCCTCCTCTCCTTCTGACACACACTCTTCGCTGTCCTCCTCTTCGTCCTCCTCGCAGTCACCGTCTTCTTCCTCCTCCTCCCAGCAGGGCCCCATGCCAAAGGGGCCTGCCAGGTAAGACGTGGATGACAGCTGCGGGGAAACGGGCGACAAAGTGGACATGGTGACTTCTGTCTCCCCGTCTCCCTCCATCACCACCTCCTCAGTGTGGTAGCCTTCCTCCAGACCGACCACGGAGAACGGCTTCGGGCTCTGACTGGCCTGAACTGCTGGGTCCGTCTGCCGGCACAGCACCTCTGTGGCCACCAGGCGGTCTGCGGGACACTGGGCGGCTGCCAGGGCCTGGGTCATTATCTGCCAGGTCCCGTCCTGGGTCATCTCTTCCTGGATCTGCCGCACCGTGTTGGCGATAAGCACCGAGCGGCACAGGTTGGGCTCCACCAGCATGTGGCAGAGCTGCAGCTTGATCAGCGACATGTCAAGCAGCGACTGCCGCTGCAGGCTGTAGGACGACGACAGCGTCCGAGCCGCTGCAGTCGAGGCTGCAGGGACCTGGTCACCGCTGGGGACTGGCTCCTCCCCGGAGTCTGAGAACTTGCGCTTGGTGCCCTTCGGGAACATGTTGTCTCTCTGTAGTGATGGCGAGGAAACAGACAAACAGTTAGACGCGTGAAAGCGACACCTAATGTGATCATGAACTAATTAATCACACTGACAAACACAGAAAATAGCCTACTGTTCTGGATTTCACTAGCTAAAATAGTGAAAAGAGTAAGTGCCATGTAATTAATGAAGTACATGTGATGTGATTTATCTATGTGGTGTAATATCTGTGTATGAATATTGGGAGCTAGGGCTACAATCTGCTCAACAGCAGCTGTGACTTTATCTATTAGCTCTACAGGTTGAATGTCTGTATGAACTACAGTAAACAGTGAATTGTTTGTTGTAGTTTTTTCTTAAAGTTTGCTATACCTTTCCTGTTGAGAGGCACAGGCAATAGCAATGCAGCTTGGTCCGGGCTGCAACGCTTCAAGTACTTTAGTACGAGCGACAAGCAGCTTTTGTTCAGCACCATTTCTGCCCATTTTAGGCCAGTCTGAGGCAAGACTCCTGCTGGGCGGAACAACCACACTTTTAACAGACCACTGAGCCACCGAAAATAGCATGGTTACCAACTAAAAGCCGACGCTGCATCAAAGTAAGGACAGACTAGAGAGACCTTTGTCAGAGAACAAAAAAAAAAAAGCACTCAAGTTACATGATCAGTGCACTTATACTGTTCCCCACTGCCACCTGTGATCAAGAAAATATCCCAATCAATAAAGGGTGCTTTCAAGGGGTTAAAAAAAGAGAGGAATGTAGAAAAAATGGCATTTACAGAGTTCACAATACAATATATACCACCATGAAGAAGCACTAATATGTACAAGGAGATCAGGTTTCCAGGTCTACGCACCACACGCTTCAAAAACTAGTTGAACAAGATTTTCACTTTCTGTTCACTGAAGGGGGGGGGGGGGAGAAAAGTAAAGTCAACTTCCTTATTACACACCGAGTGAAACACACAGATGTCTTACAGGAACAAAACAACACTCCTGCCAACATTCAAGTCCCTCTGACTCCCCAAAATAGATGGGATGCACATAAATAGGAGGCTGGGCGCTGAACAGCAGCCTGTGGCATTTAATTTTCCATCAGACAGAAAAAATAGTTTGCAGTGTCCGTCTGTCTCTCTGTCTGTGTCTCCTCTGTGTTAAAAACCTGTGGGCAGGGCATGAATGAAAGATTCCACTTGCTTTTAGTTCCTACGTGTGGTACATTTTTAACAAATGTAAGTCAAACCTTGAGTACATAAATAAAAAAAGTACCCTTAGAAGCAGGAGTTGGACTGAAAAAGCACAAGATTTGTGTTCACAGAATAAAACAGCAAAAAGTTAATTTCACACAAAAAATGCCAACTTTCTTTGATCAAAATATCATCACTCATTTTCTTTACATTATCATATGACAGAATATTTACCAGGTAAAGCCAATCTGTGCAAAATATACACAATGAACACATTACAGACTCAGAGGTGTTGTGCAAAGTTTCACAACCAAAAACTGAGATGACAGAAACACCACAGAATTCAGCAATTTGCATTCAATTAACTCTAACACAGTTGATCAATACATTGACAGAGGACTAATTAGCCATTGATTACAAATTCCTTTTAATAGAGGGAGGTACTGTGCTTCTTTACACACATGAAAACCTGACATCAGGATCAGAGAGAATGATTAGATTACAACTACCGTCTTCGCCTGATTGATCTGATAATCACACTCCCCGTCCAAATAAAGAGGGATCTAATGAGACCTGAATGACACCGTGATAAAAGTTCTTTGAGTCCTCACTTTGCATACAGAGAAACATTTCCTGACAGTGGACAGGGTGAGAAAAAAAAGGTCATTTATGAAGTTGCCCGGAGATCTAAAATACAAGACAGTGAGAAACAATCATGGACATGGTATGTTGTCTTCCTGTGTGGTGCATTTTTTGCTGCTCCCTGTTAAACAAGAGACACTAGAGGGTACTATCGCCATGAGTGAGAAATAAAACATTGTGTCACAATTGAACATGAAACTCAAATTTAACCAGGAAGACCTACAACCTGAGAGAAAGCACACTGCAGAGAATTAAAGAAAAAAAAACAAAAACAGTTTTTTCATGACAGAATTTTGTGTTGAGAATCTAGTTTTGATCACCTTATTGTTCAGCATTTCAGCGTTAAATCTGAAAGGTTCAGATTGGACAGTAGTTCAACTATAAATACCATTAATCAGCTCTTATCTGCACCTTCTCTCTGTTCTGAAAATGAGGCTCAGATCAGTCTTCAGAGGGCTTAAAGTCCATCAACTGTAGCAGACAAATATGCATTATAGTGGCATTTAATGAAGCCAATTTATTAAATTAACAAATTTGGGAAAATTTTCATACAAGATCTCAATTAAATCTAGCATATATACAAATTTATACGATTACATGAACACCAAAAAATGAACATAATCACATCAGAAATTGTGAATTAAATGTAAACACGCTAAATTTTGCATGACTACAGTACCATCCCGTCTATGCCCCTCATCGTTGACACCAATAGAATAAATCCAGATTAATATTCATTCTGAGACATTACGTCTGCTACAGCTGCTTGACTGCAGTATTAGATATAAAGTAGGGATATACCAGTATACAACCTGGTATTAGCTGATAAATATCAGTCAGTCAACAACTAATTTGGTATTTATCAGCTGCAGTAGGAAATATTTGGTGGATAGTATGAATCAGTCTAGTACCAGGTTTTTGCTCAGAAGTGGATTATGTGCATGCATCTAGTAATGTAAATTAAACAGTGTTCCAATAGCTAGTCCACACCAGAATCACTAGTCAGTGTAACATATTAGTTGCCGAATTTTGACAAAAGAAATCTCACCCTGCTGATTTTTGACGAGGGTAGTTGAAAACACTTCTCTGGTCTGAGTTTGATTAATGATAAATACGAGGAATATTACTGAGATGATTAGTCGGTCTTCGTGAGTTAGCTTTATTTTCATTTATTTCTAAACGCTATTTATTTCAGAGGATGACGAGTGAGTGAGTTAGACGAGACGAAGGTTGAAAAAATAATCAGACTCACACGCGCTACAGTCAGAATAATAAGCTAAAAATAATTAGTTTATCATCTTTATGACAGTTAAAATAAATAGCCAGGGTTTTTTTAGCAATAAAAAGGATTTGAAATTAGTTTTGTTTAAAAAAATCCATATCGGTCAGGCCCTACACCTGTTCCCCTTCACCTTTTCGAAGCGTCAAAAATAACAAAATAAAAATCTTTACTCTTGTTGCTTTTGGTCTGATTTACATTTATAGGTCATAAAAAGGCAATTAATATAATTTTTCCTATTTTATAAATGTTAAAAACCTCCTCATAGGGGCTTTAAATACTACTATCTGTGTACCAATAGGTTTACTCTTGTTAAATCTAAATTTAGGAAAAATTAGGAATCAGTTTTTAGGCTGAATTTAACATCCTGACTGTCTCAATCAGTGCATCTCTTAAATAAAGATGACTCCAAATGGAATAAACCATTAAATACCTGCCAGCTAACTCATCATATTGGATTTAGTCAGACTGTTTTTGACAAGATTTAACATGAAAATGCTGTTCAAACACTTAAAAATGAGTAATCAAATGAGGAAAAAATCATCTCCACTCATTAACTCGTGATTAACGGGAATCAGACACTCGTGTGACTAAAATGTAAGTAGGTCAGACAGTGGTAGTAATTACAGATGTAGGTAAACATTAGTCCTGGACTGAGTAGCTGTTGTTTTGTATTATGCTAGGAGCCAGAAGCCAAACAAAATGCAGCCTCGCTTTACGTCAATGGCTGCTAGCGTGGCCCATCCCCCACTGCACACTGGAACCAGGACTTTCACAGCAGCACGTCCTATTAAATCACTAAATAAACCCACAACACGGAATTCCACGATTTAGTATATTAGAATATTATTTAACCGCTTTCAGCCCCCGTATGAGGCCGGTTTAGCTGCTCCAGAGAGCGGCTGGGGGCTGCTGGCCGTGACTGCCGCATGCTTTGTCTTTACAGCATCAGAACTACCGAGCGACAATGAGGCCATTTTGCGCTAGTAGCTAACAGCTAGCCGGCTAGCTACGCTACGGTCCGACTTTACGAGCTCCGGACAAGCTAACTGAGCTAATATGTTCAGTGAAACGGAAAATTTAAGGATTAAAACACCCTTTAACGGATCAAAATACTGCTCTTTTAAAGCTGCTTCTTTTTATTCATGTAATATAAAGCTAGCAGGCTAATTAGCTCAAAGCGCCCACCCACACATCCTCCGCGGTCCTTCCTCCTTTCTGCCCAAAAACAAGAGTTTTCACTGCGGCTGGGGCTCTTAAGTTCCTAAAACAATATTCAGGTGTAATACAAACAGGTTAAAGCGACTATCGCCGGGTGGTTGTGTGGCCGGACTCACCTCGTGATTGTGTTATTTTACTCCCGTCTCGGTCATAGGATCGACGGCAGGGAAAGCGGAGATCAGGTTCAGATGAGATCATTCATGCCACGGCTTCAAAAACTGAAGTACCTCAGTCCTGCTGCTGCTGCTGCTGCTGCGGAGCGGACGGCAGGAGGGAGAGAGGGAGGGAGGGAGACAGAGAGAGAGAGAGAGAGAAAGAGAGAGAGGCAGGGAGGGAGGGGGAAGGGAGCCGACAAAAGCCAGCCATATGCCTGGGATTCCTCTGGAATGATTCCTCCCTGCTTTTCTTTCCCCTTAATGCTTTAATTTGGGAAACAAGTAAAAGCCTGTGGGTGACATTTAGATGAAAACACAGGAGTTAGTGAGGGTTACCGTCCTGCATTTACACTCAAATTATATTAACCTCAATCAAAGGAAACAGAAAAGCAATAAGAGTGAGGGGGTAATGAATATTATTTATTATTGTAGTCAAATAGAGCACTTGCATTTGGCTTAAAAGTGTAATAAATGTGTTCTGAAGTTTAAAGATAAACTGTTTATGTGAAGTCAGATGTTTATAACTCAAGATCTGACAAGTTTGTCTGGTTTTGGAGCTACACCATAGTGACCTAGACCATTTTGAGCTCTACAACACTCCACTTTACATTGTCTCAAACAGACTATTACTAATCTGGTTAGTATGTAGGGATTCTTATTTAAAGGGATATTCCTGCGTAACATTAATTTACGGTCAAACACACCATAACACCGAGTTAGGCACCCCCTCGAGTGATTATTATTGCCGACTGCTTGCTTCTCTAGTTATACCAACTTCCGTATAACGACCGCGCAATAGCAATACACAGCGGTCTGAGGAGCCATAACCAAACTTCAACCAAAACGCCACTCTATAGCCACAAATAATGCTCAGAACAGCACCTAACTTCATCAACAGGACATATAGGGTCCCAGCCTATATGTACTGTGGCATTTCGGTTGAGGTTTGTTTATGGCTTTATGGTTTAATTTTGTGCTGGAATATCCTTCATTGGTGCCTGAGGCTCAGAGAGAGTTAGTATGTTTACATGTACAGTTAAGTCCAGCTATGGTCCGAGCTTGATCAGACAATTTAACTGGACTACTATCCTCATCCAAGTTTACAAGCACCATCCTAGAATTGAATTATTGACCAAAGCATGTCCACATCTGCTGCAGTACGTAGCTTCACGACATGCCTGTTCTGTACCAAAACAATCAACAAACACGTCGGCAAGTGGCTAACAGGATGTACGTTGAATGATGAAAACACTGTCACTGTTACAGCTCTGCATTTTTTGTCTTTTCAAGTCTTTTCTTTGCAATAAATCAATTTATGGATTTTGTCCCACTGGAAGTAGACCTTTATTATACATGTAAACACTAGAGTCCAATTGGCATGTTAGTTAGTCCGACCAATCAGAGGCTGTATTTGCCATCAGCTGACCAGGGGTCCATGCAGAGGCAGGCTTTCTGATTTCGGCAGAGTGTAAAAATTGAGAATAAAGTTGTGTTCTTGACATAGAAAGCCATACATGGACTACACAGTGAATCCATCAAAATTAAAAAAGAATTGGATTAATAAATAGAACTGATTACAGCATTGATATTTATTCCTATCCCAAGATGACATGTAACTTTATATTTTACCATTTGTATTTATGATAATGCATAATTCAGAGATGTTTTTTTATCAGGTCTTAGGATGAAAAGCTAAATTATCCATAATGTCTGACTGGTTTATTTTTAAGTACAAAAATAAACTTCAATCCTTATTTATTTATTTATGCTAAAGGCTGCAACCTGCTTTGCCCCAGGTGGATAAAGATGAGATAGAATCAAACCTTGTCTCAGTGTTGTAAGGAAATGTACTGTTTATTTACTACTGTCTTATGCAGTACTGTATGTTTTGACTATTCTGCTGCTGTGTTTTACATAATTATCCTTTAACAGTTTGCTTAGTGGCACAGTTGCAGTGACGGTGCATTTTTTCACACACTTTATTTACATTCATGATGTTCTTTGCTTTATTTGCTTTGCTTCTCTATGTGTAAATTTTCTACTATGTTGACTTTGCTTCACTATGTTTACTTTGCAAGCACACCAGACTTTGCAGCACACTTGCCTTAGCAGTCATGTGTGTCATTTATGGTTTTATTATAAGTACTATTTCTCTTTGTGCCTGACCTGTGAGGAGAGATAATTCATTCTGTTTGGATGAATGGCAGTAAAGTGGATTTAACTTGTATTTTAAAACATCCCACACCAAAGATGTAACCTTTAAACTTCTACGTTATTTTTATTTATGAGACTGTTTAAAAATGAAAGAACCGTTTCCCGATTTCTCTTTAAAAAATAAGGAAATCACCTCATAAAGAGCAGTCATAAACTGGAATGAAAACAGGTTTATTCAGCAGGTATATGTTACAGCTCTCTGGAGGAGCCTGACCCTTTTGTTGTGCTATGAACTCTTATACCAAACTATTAGGAGCGGCAGATAAGCTTCAGCTTTATTACTTACAAACTGATGTGTCAGTAAAAACTTAATGTCACTTGGAGGCCACCAAGGCTATTTTCATGCTGAGTTCCTACTTTTACTTTCGCTTCTATGCTTCGACTTATTTTGCTGATGGTTCTTATTGGTGATGGATATTTGCTTGTAATACAGTTTGTTTAGGTCTTCATATCAGTACTTTTCTAAAGCTCTTCAAATGTTCCTGTAAAGCACACATAAGCAGGCCCTACTGCTTATTTATCACTGTGATGGGATATAACAGACAACCCTACATCTTAAGACCTGCAGTAGGAAAGAAATACGCATGTATACAAGCAGAACCAAGGATATGATTAGGAAATACATATACAGTACACATAATACCTTACAGTTTAATGTAAGTTTGCTAAAAAGTATAAACTTTTTAGACTCTGAATCTTACTGTGTTTAAAGGCCAAGTAAGGATATTTTAATCAGTTGTAAATAAGATTAAAATAAACAGTGGTGTCTCTTTGTGACCCAAAACAGTGAACAAAACCATCTGCAACAAGACTCACAGTGTTTGTATTTTTATTTTCTAATACCTCAATCCACCGGGTAGGGGTAGATTTGGCACAATGGGGCTTTTTATCAGAAAATACAACCATACTGTGTTCAGGACAATAAAAGCAAAGAGGTACAATGTACATCTTTGCCCACAGGGGGCGCCAAAGTCAACACAAGCCAGGCTCAGCAGTTTAAGCATGCTCTGCTCTCCTCTGCTGGTGTTTTCATCAGTGACAATCTAACTGTTCTCTCAGCATCATTTGCATGCTTTTAGTGATTCCTTAATAGACTAAATTGATTATTTTTATAATACATACAGAAAAAAAAGAACTCTATACATTATACATACATATCTATACATATTATTCTCTATACAAATGTATTTTTTCCTCTGAATATTGTGGCGTTAACTTCTTGGTTTCACTGCCACTTTATTTTCGTAATGTAACCTTTTTTAAATGTTTTTAACCTCCTTGAGATGGCCACATTCCTCCCTCGTACAAAAACGGAACTAATCTCCTAAAAGAATTTCCGTTCTTAAAAAGGTTCCGTTTCTAGCATTTTCTGAGCACGGCGGATTTACGCAGGAGCACCGCTAGAGCACCACCAGCAGCAGCAGCTAGAGGTTTCTAGAAACAACGTGCACCGGGATAGTCACCGGCACACCGACCAGCTCTCCGGACCCATCCTCATATATTCTCACTTTATATCCGGAAAGATGGCGAAGTGGGGAGAAGGAGACCCTCGGTGGATCGTGGAGGAGAGAGCCGACGCGACTAATGTCAACAACTGGCACTGGTAAGATTATGAAAGGACACAGGCTGCGAGCTAACATGCTAATGCTAACATCATCCATTCAGAGGCTTTATGTGGAGCTACAGACGCAGTTCGGGGCTTTCTTAGATCTATATAGACCAGTGTTTGCTACACACACGTTAACAGATACACATAAGTGTGAAAATTATGTGTTTATAAGTGATAAAAATGAAGTCTGAGGGTCTAAAATGATTGATCCTGTAGTCGTGTCCTGGTTAGCTTCCGTTATAGTTAGCTTCTGTAGTTTTTAAGCCGTTGTTGGGCGCTAACAACACTGTACCTGTTACTAAACACGTGTTTGGGTGTCAAAACATTGAAACGCCTGTTGTGTATTTACCTGAAACAGTTAAACACACCTGTGATTTGTCTGTTCATGTGTCAGTTTATGGAAACTTGATCAGATTTCTTGTTAATAGACTAGGATTTTGGGGCCCTTCAAAGCAGTGTCTGACATGTTAGTACAAAGAAATGTTAACTGTATGTTTTAGATTACTCATAACACTGGAGTAGTTCCCTATTTCACTATATTCCCATCTATTTTGTAGGCCTACAGGTAGGGCTGGGTGATAACACGATAATAAAATATATCAATAATTAATGTCCCACAATATCGATATGAAACATGGTCAATATGCTCTTTGAAAGTCAGCATTCTGTCATGGTTTGGTAGACTAAAGGAATACGAATGAAAAGGGGAGTTGTTCTGGGTCCTAGCCGCGCTGAACCGACTCTTCAGTCCGCTCTCTCTAGCGCAACGCCTCATGACAAAATTACAAAGAGACACAAAGACCTCACAGATGCAGTAGCTTATTGTGTTGCAAAAGACATGCTACCAATAAGTACTGTTAAATTTAATTTAAGAGTAACATATATCGTGATAAACTTTTTCCCATATCGCCCAGCCCTACCTGCAGGATTATGAGACAAATAGGCGATGTTTGGGAAGGCTGTTATGTGTCTGTGTTAAAAAAGACTTTTCCGATTGAACGTGTTTGCAGATTGACTTCACTCACTAGCTTTCAATAAGACTCAACTACTGTTGTTTCCCTGTTTGGGTTCACTTCGTCATTGCGTCTGTCTCTTGTGGATTATTCAGGACTGAACGAGATGCAACAAACTGGTCGTCGGACAAATTAAAATCCCTGGTCCTGGGGTTGGCTGTGGAGAACGATGAAGGCAGCTGTGAGGTGACGGAAGTCAGTAAGCTGGAGGGAGAAGCCTCCATCAACAACCGCAAAGGGAAACTCATTTTCTTCTATGAATGGAACCTGAAAGCCACTTGGGTTGGTAAGGAAACCATTGCGGCCGCTGTCGAGTTTGTTTTTGAGGGATCACTATCAATTTCCTTTAAACAACCAACTTATTTCCTTTAATTTAATTTAGTAAAACTATTTTCATTGTATTGTTTGAAGTGAAGAAGCTTTTAATGTTTGCTGACGACGGTTTTCTCTCCATGTGACCAGGAAAATCGAAATCAGGTGTGAATTATAAAGGAACGATCGAAGTCCCGAACCTGTCCGATGAGAACGACATGGAGGATCTTGAAGTGAGTTACATGAACAGCTTTTTGTTTTCTAAGAACCCAGACTGCCTCAGTCTAGAAAGAACTGTGTGGTAAACCCAATCCTGCGGTCTTTCCTAGATTGCTGTATCGCTGAATAAAGATGAACCTGACACGCCGCTGACCAACCTGATGAGGACAAAAGGAGCGGAGAAGATCCGTGAAGCCCTGGGGAGCTACGTGGGGTACTTAAAGTCAGGTAGGTGTGGTGATCTTATTACATTTAATAGGAACTGAACAAAAGCAATCTGCAGGTTCAAATGGAGAGGGATGCAAGAGAGGGATTTTAGTCCACCGCGAAGGAAGGCATCGCAATCTTTTTAACTTCCCTAATGACTGATAAGAACCTGTTAAAGGTTTTGTTTAACAGTCTCATCTGAACGATAATGATTTAGATTAATCATTAATGGTTATTTTAAGCTGTAGGTCTCTACTTTTCACCGAATGTACTTTTTATGTTCACGTATCAGTGCTGTTATTTGGGATAAACTCAGTCTGAGAAATTACCAGCAGTGAGTCGTGTTAGCTACGTGTATATCATCTTTATTTACCTTCATTTAAAGGCTTGATATCATTAAAAATGTGATTAAATATTTGTGTTTGTATGTGTAGGGGAAATTTGCTTGCTCTTCTGGCTGATAAACGCTATTTATCACATTTAAATGTACATCTGGAATGAAACTTTCTCTATATCTCTCCATTATTGGGAAGTTTTAGCCCAGGTGAGCTCATTTTTGTTCCTTTTTGCTGCAGAGTTCACTCAGGGAATGATCCTGCCCACAGCAAACGGCATGGCCAAACCTCAGTCCACTTCGCAGTCCAAGGCCAAGACGGATAAAACTCACGTAAGGAGATCTCCAACCTTCTGCTTCAGTTAACATTTTTCAACGGAGCTCTTGTCCCTTAATTATTTACTATAACGATTCATCTGTTATGAACCTCCTCAGTGTTTTCCTTCAGGCGGTGAAGCACCTCTATCCTCACCAGACTTTTCTTCTTTTCATGTGAAACAGATTTCCTCCTCCTCCAGCAGCACAGCTGCTCCCGTCAACACTGGCGTCAAGATTCCCACCTGTAAATTCAGCATGAGGGAAAAGTTCCTCACCTCTCCGGCTGATCTCTACAGGGTTTTCCTCAACCAGGAGGTGAGCTACATCTGGCTGTCTGCTATCTCTCACCTTGATCAGATTTCATACTGTCCTGAGGAAACTGAAGCGTGAAAACTGTTTAAAAAGCTACACACACTGTACCTTTTTAAGAGTCAGGAGAGAAAATATGAGTGCTGAGTTCAACTGTCTGAATGTTTTTGTTTGTCTTGACTCTGCAGATGGTCCAGGCATTCACACACGCTTCAGCCACAGTGGAGGGAGAGCGGGGCGGAAAGTTTCGCCTACTAGATGGAAATGTTTTTGGTGAATTCACAGAGCTGGTAAGACCGACGTGAAACCTGAAAACTGTTAAAGAAAAAACGTCAGTATCTGTGTGTTTAAAAGCAGAAACAGGTCAAAGATTTAGCTCTAACTTTTTGTCGATTTTATCATCAAACTAACTGTCTGAATATCCACCAGGTCCCAGATGAGAAAATAGTAATGAAGTGGCGATATAACAACTGGCCCTGCGGTAAGTTTATGTCACATATTAAAGTAAAAGCAGCTTAGTGTAAAATGTGTGGCTCTGAAGAAGTCCCACTGTGAGCGTGAACACGTCATGTGATCGTGTTTCTGTCCCACAGAGCATTACTCGACAATCACAATGACTTTCTTGGACCGGAGCAGCGAGACGGAGCTGAAGGTGGAGTGTCGAGGCGTCCCAGACAACGAGGAGGAGCGGACGAAAGAAGGCTGGAAGAGATACTACTTTGAAGCGATCAAACAGACTTTTGGCTTCGGAGCGCGGCTCTTCTGAAGATTGTTCACTGTAGTGCTGTTTTCAGTTCCGTTTTGAATTTTTTAAACTGCTTGTCCTTCGGTCTGTCTGGCACGAGATGTCCAAATGTAAAAATCACGACACGGGTCGACGAATAGAGACCAGATGGGTGAGGCTAACGTGTCGCCTCTGTGTGTGTAAATGTTGAAATTTCTGAACATATTTAAATTTTTGATTCCTTCCTGTCAGTATTTGAGTCAGTTGTTCAAAGGAGCGTCGATGGACTGTGCCTTTGGGACTCTGGATGGAAAATGAATTAAAATAAAGAAAAGAAGAATCTATTGAACCACTAAAGATAATTGGCCTCCAGTTCTATAAATATGTAATTAATGCAAGAGTTAAAATTAAATGTCAGCTTTCTTTTATTTCAAAGGTTCTATGTTGCTTTTAAATCGATTTGTGTTTTTGTTTTTTACTCTTGAAATCTAACTGTAGTAAAGATGCTTTCAGCCAAGATGCATGTTTCTTTTCAAACTGCCGGGCGGGGGAATGACTGCTGAATCTGAACTTTACATGTAAAGTCTGTCACTTATATCTAAACAGTTCTGTACTTTGTTTTTGTTTCATTCAGACTTGATTTCATGCACATCGGAAAAAAAACCCGACGGCTGTCTGCGTGTGCGGATCAGCGAGGACATGGTTGTTCGAAATATGAAAACAGTTTCACCTCTTTATGCGGGTAGCTAACAACAGTAGCAACCTATGAGAGACGTTTTGCTATATTTGGCATCAAAATGTAAATTTCCATTAAAAGAAAGTTTTCAGAACATCTATTTATTCATCACCTCATCCTTCACCGCTGTAAAAAGATTAGCAGATTGGAATAAACCAATCCCTGTATGCGTTTGATTCGTTTTTATTCATGTGAGCACATCTTTTTAACTTCTTCACAGTCACACATCCAAAGGTTCACTGTCTTTAAAACGTTAATTTACAAATACTCTAAAAGTTTAACGCTCAAAAACAGGAAACGCAAAGGCCGCTTAGCAGGAATCAGCAGTTTTTCTGGATCTAAAGGTCTGGGTTAGGGTCTAAAATGTTCAGGAAATCTGCGATAGCTACGGGGACGTCATTTAATCATAGATCCAGAACATTACATGTTGAGAGTTACAGCTACCTGCCTGAACAACAAAATCTCACATTCTGAGACAATTTCTTTTGCAAAAGTTCAAAACCTTTAAACTTTTTTTTAGTGTGAAGTAATGCAGACATCACAATGCCTTCTTACACATCTGCTACAAACAAAAACAAAGATAAGGGCTTTCAATCCAAAGTAAATTCATATCAGCACAATAAAACAGAAAAAGTCCCAACAACAAAATACGAGCAGGAAACAGTCTAAAATATCTGAACTGAAACATTTCTCTCCAAAAGACTTTCTGTTTTTTTAAATATCCCCAACAAGCATCGGCATGAAGATGAACTTTTCAACTGAAGTGAACAAACGGCAGCACTTTTCCTCTGATAAAACGCTCAGATGCAGACGTAGAGCTCTTAAATCCTGAAAGAGAGAGAGGTTAGTCCATTAAACGTTCATAACTGGGACTGTCAATCACTTCTCTATTTCTTATGACCTCTGCTCTAGTGCTACTGAACAGCCTCCACATTTTTACCTCATGACTTCAGGGTCTAAAAATAGTAAAAATCCCCTTCAGTCCGTTTCTTGAATGCATGAAACACAGCGTCCTCATGGGGTCGCTGTTGTAACCCTCAGAGTTTAGTTTGGTGAGTAATGTGAGTGGGTTTAAAAAGAGAAGTAAAGATGGAAGCAAATAGTTCACAAGTTTCAGAATCAGAACTGTTTTCCAAGGGCCCTTTGGTGACATTTAACTTTAAAAAAACAACAGAGGACACTTTGTTTAAGTTAAATCCACTAAAGAGAAATTGAAAATCACTTTTTTTTCCAACATTTTATCCACTAGAGTAATCAGAGAGTACTTTGTTTACAATTGATCCACTGAAAAGCAGCAAAAGGGCGCTTGGTTCATATCTAACTCACTATAGGAGCAAACTGAGGGCACTTTGTTTACATTATATATGTGTATAAAGCAATAGGATGGTATTTTGTTTATGTTAAATTCACAACAGAGAAATTGGAAGGTGCTTTGTTTACATTTGACTTACTAAAAAATGATTGGAGGATACTTTGTTTACATCAAACTCACTAAAAGAGCGACAGAAAGGCACTTTGATTACATTTTATATACTTATAAAGCAATAGTAAGGCACTTTGTTTGGATCAAATTTACTACAGAAAAAACTTGGGAGGACACTTTGTTCACATTAAACTCACTAATACAGCAAAAGGGGGCACTTTTAACATTTAACTCACTGAAAGAGCAGCAGGAGGCAACTTTGTTTAAAGTATTTTCCACCAAAAGAGTGACAGAAAGGCACTTTGTTTACAGTCTTTACAGATAAAGCTTTTTGTTTACATGAATACTCATCTTTTGTTTGTTATATTACTTTAGGACCATTCAAAACAAATGGCACTTTGTTGTATTTTGCATGTCGGAGGTTGAATCTGTGGATTCTTACACTGGCGCTGGACTTTTTCCAGTGAGTCAAGGTTTGATCGAGGAGTCTTTTCTACCACTTCAGGTGGTTTTCTGGCTGAAATTTCATGCCGTCTGGTCCTGTGAACACATCACAGAAAATACACAGATTTTAGATTTCGAAGAATGACTCACTAAAAGTTTAAACAACAAACAAATCTTCTAAATGTTGTTGAAAACTAAAAAGATCATAATCTAAATACCATAACACAAGATAATGATGTAATCTATATCACCCATTCAAGTGGTTTCTGCTCTGCTTTCCAAACCCCATAAGAAACTCTCACAAATCTGTCCTTGCCTGTAGAGTGGCCATATATCCATGCCTTTGCTGTCCTTCTGACTTGCCGTCGTTGTTGCTCGCTCCACCAGATCTTTGAGAAAGTGGAAGAGCTTCTCTGACTCGATGCACTGCTTCCTACAGCAAAACAAACATTTATTTACCTCACACATTTTGTACATGGATTCAACCTTTTCCAGGTGTACAAACTCAACCCCTCCTATGAAAGAATAACAAGTTGAAAGTAATAATGTTAGTTTGGGTATAAATGCGCTGTATAAGAAGAGATAGGACTCATCATTAAGCATCAAGTATACTTACATATGAGCAACAGAGAGCATGGCGCTGAGCTTTGACTGAGTTATCAGACAGGTTTTGGTTAGCAGACACTTCAGGAACATCTCCAGCGCCCGAGCTGATCTCTGCAGTTCAGGACTTTATGGATCTGTCTTTCATTTCATAGTATCCCTTCAACAATTGACACCTGTATAAGGTTAAAAACAACCAACCTGCTCTTGGATAGACACATGCAGCTCATGTTTTTTTTTCTTCTTCAGGTTTTTGAAGGATACAGATGATCACGGGCACTGCCATCGCAATCCTCCCCACCTCTGCATCCTTCTGCATGATCTTTTTGATGCGACCCTGCAGCAAAAACAAAGATTTGACCACTTTCAGAGGAATAAAGTTGCAAGGTAAGCTGCTGCATTCAGGTACTCCTCGTAAAATTCTGATTCGAGATAGCAAATCGACCGTGACTTTAACTATACCGGTAGTTTTAGCCGATGCTCCACCTTATTTTTATCAGGTAAAATGCCAAAAGCATTATTAGTTAATTGAAACTCGAGCATGTCTGTTTTGTAATTAATTTGAATCGGTCACTGAATCATTCGGTGATCGGTCGCGCACCGATCAGTTGACAATCCAGATTTCAGACGGCCCCTGAATGTACCAGGCGCTCCTGTCACCCAATGCTACATGCTAATAGCTGTTTGCCGGTTTTACCTTTCCCCTCAAACATCTCAGGTAAACCAGGATAAAGTTCGTACTCACGGGAGGAAATCGCACATTATATCTTCTCTTCGGTCCGGGCATTTCACTCGCTTTAATCCGCGCAGTTTGGTCACATTTTTCATGTTTTTACCGCTGAACGCCGCCGAGTCCATTTGTTCCGTTTCAGCAGGAATTTACCTGAAAACTGACGGAGAAGAAAAAAACACACACCTGAGTCACCCGCGTGACCCCTGCCGTGACGTCACGGCCCCGTATTTACCTTGACAGGTAGCCTACTATGAAAAAAAAGTAATGTGTGCATTTTGAACGAAAAAAAACCCCAACATTTATACCCACTTATAAATGAAAGTTTTTTGGAGGGCCACTCTTTTATGATAGTTACGGTAATTATTATGAAATTAGGAAAGGTAACATATTTTTAAGGCAAGACTACATGTCATTTACCACACGAATTTACGCATCAATGTTGGTATTTTTCCTTAAAGTATTTAGTTCACAAAACAAGTTATAAATTTTGGAACATGTAATAAGGTGTAGGTCTTACAATGTGCAGATACATGGGTCAAACTACAGTGGCCCTGAAGGTCACGTATACCTAAATTTATGACTGCAAAAAAAACAAAAACTCTTTTTAAATTTTTTAAAAAGAAAACATTAACATTTTTCTTGGAAATTAACAAGCGTGTCACAACACTTTAGACAAATAATTACTTGCATAAAAAGAGAAATTGACAAATTTTAAAATATATTTAAAAATATATATTTCACAGGAAAAAAATTACAAGCCATAAAATAATGATAATGATAATTATAATAATAAAAATAATTGTAATAATAAAACAGACATGGCCAAGACACAAAAAATTTAAAATTGTCTTTTTAAACTTGAAAACTTATTTTTGTTTTTCTCTTTGTTTTATTATTTTTTTTTTTTTTTGCGTATCCTTAAATTAATTAGCATTTTATTATTTACAGTTTATTTTTTAATTTTTTCATCAAGTTTTTTAAATATTTTTTTTTTGCAATCATAAGATTTAATAAATTAATAATAATAAAAAAAGACTAAATAAATAATAATAAAAAAAGACAGACATGCCCAAGACACAAAATATTTAAAATTGTCTCTTCAGACTTGGAACACTTTTTTTTTTTTTTCATTTTTCTTTATTTTCTTTTCTATTATTTTTTGTATTCCCTGAAATTATTTAGCATTTTATTATTTACAGTTTATTTAATTTTTTCTTTTCATCAAGTTGTTTATTTATTTTCTTTTTGCTGTCATAAAATGTTTGTGCAGTTGACCTTTAGAGCCATCGTACTCTATTTTACAAGTTCTGTTAAACTTTCCAAATATGAAAATATATCCAATCAGTAGATTGTTGTCTGAGTGAATGAAGATCTGAAGATGAGTAATTAATTGATTAGGCTAATATCTCTTTTTTACATTAATGTCATAACCCTTACTCTCATGAACCTTCACATTTCTCATGATAATAAACTGCAGCTGCAGAAAACTGTCAGTGTAGCTGATTCGACATGAACTGCACATGCTTAAGTTTGACCTGGTGTGCGAGCAATTACAACCGATCGATTATCAGTCGTCCATAACTCTGCCTAATGAATGCAAAGGTCAAAGATAAGCTTCGTCATCATTCATAACACAGGTTAAATAATTAATCTGGGAACAGGCAGGATCACCACCTATTCTCCTGTTTTGTGTTTGTTGTTGGTGCGACGCCGACATGTGGCTCCGTGTGCTGTTTGCTGTCTTTGTATTTACCGCATGTCTTATAGATGGTGAGCTCTAAATGATAAGAATGGGCATTTTCCACCCGGTGTGTATTTACCGTGTTACTCTGAACATCATCTGGAGCAAAATGTCCTCATATATTCTTCTTCTCTGTTGCAGGACATCCACTCAGTGAAGAAGAGGACGTCTTCAAAGAGGTACTGTCCATCTTCATCTAACATTTACATTCAGCATGTGTGGTTACATCTTTCATGTCCATATTCTGTAAAGTTCTTGTGTGTTTCTTGAATATAATCAAACTTGGATAAAAGGAAAATGAGACTGAAACTAAAAGATGTTTTAGTTGGAAGACCTCAGGCGTCTATTTTTGACCAAAAGTTCCAGGAAATTTTTGTGTCAAGGAGCTTAAATGTTTCCTGTGGCCCATGATTGTTCAAGTTTCCTCTGAAGGAGATTATGCAAACCAAGACTGTCGTTGGTAGATAAAGTAATTTGCACTGCTCTTTATTTGAGTCTCTGCTGCACCTTTGTATCACAAACTGTTTTCACAAACCATGCCGGCTGCTGGTAAAATAAATAAAACATGCAAAGGTTTATTTATCTTTATTATCTTTATTTAATATGTAAATTAAGGACTTGTTTTCTTAATGTATGTACATGAGATCATCTTCAAGCCCTTCTCTCAAGAGTTCCTGGATTTGTGGAGGTGCTAGCACCTAAGCAGGGACTTTTTAAAGGTGGATCAAGTATCCCAAAACTTCATTTGGACCACTGTGCCTTAAAAAAGTCAACAAGCACCTTCAGTTTGAATCTGAAAACCAACCCTGATTTAAAACGTCACAGTTCCCACTCACGTTTAACAGATTTAACTGAAACTCTCTGAGCTGCATTTACTAAAACCCGAGTCTGTGGTTCCCCTGTAGGATGTCTTTGGGACGGACTTTCTTCAGCACCGTCTGCATCCTGAGTTCAGCTGCCCCGACATGACTCCATCTCCTTCTGTCCCAACATCAGGTGAACCAACATGCAGTTAAAAGAGAGTGATCTGGCTCTCCGCTTCATCTTTAGTCTGACTGTTTTCTTCTTCTGCTGTAGTTGAATTTGTTAAAGCTGCAGACGTCAAAGTCATCGCTGCGCTGGGAGACTCTTTAACCGTGAGTAAAGAGGCGTCATGTTGATTTTTTGAGTCAGATTTTTATGTCGGAACTGTGAAAATGATCTAAAATATACACAAATGTTTAAATGGGATCATTGGTAGACAGTGCTGAGGTTTTATTAAAAACACAGGAATGCGAGGATGCTTGTCTGCTCTATATTTCAGACAGCGATCGGCGCCAACGGTTCCACCATTTTATCGATCCCCTTTGAGTTTCGTCAGGTGTCTTGGAGGTAAATCTGTGTCTCAGGTTTCATATGACATGATGATGTTTAATCCGTTCATACTTTAGCTGTGTTTCTTCTCTCCTCTCTGTGTGCAGCATCGGAGGATATGGGACTTACCAGAACGTCATAACGCTGGCGAGTGAGTTTGTTTACAGAAAACAGAGCCGAGTGAAAAATGTCAGAGTCAGTGTGTGAAAGATGATTGACCAATCAGAAACAAGTGTTTGACTCCACCATGTCATCATCTCAAACAGTTCATCACCTTTAGATGTTAATTAGTGGGATAAGTGTGCAGGTCTTCTTTGACTAATTTGACTTCTCTGGACCACATGAGTCCTTTGGCTCCTAAAGTGTTTAGTTTTTGTCTCATCCTCCAGATATTTTTAAGCTCTTCAACCCCAAACTGCTCGGTCCTTCACCTGTCATGACTTTCCACGGCCGTCCAACGACAGTCAACGAGACCGGATTCAACTTCGCCGTCACTGGACACAACACGCTGTAAGGACACCTGGACACTTGCATGTATTTTTTAGTCAAAATCAAACAACTAGAGTTCATGTAGGTCTTTATCTGTCTGTTCCTCCTCAGAAACGTCTCAGATCAGATCAGACACATGATTGACACATTCAAGTCCTATCCGGTGAGTCTCCCTGCTCATCCTTCAGCGTATTTTATTGTGTGTTTGTTTTATTCCCAAAGTGAGATAAATCTTCTGTTTCAGGGTCTGAATTTTGAAGAGGATTGGAAGGTGGTGACGATGCTGATCGGCATGAACGACATCTGTGATTACTGCAAAAACAAAGTAAGAGCCTCAGGGTTTGGTCTATTTAAAAGTCAGTTTTAAGTGTTTTCTTATCGCTCCACTTTCTTCTCAGTCTCCACATTAAAATCGAACACTTTGAACTCCCCTTAATGAGTCTGCTAACTTCAATAACTCCACAAATGAAGATTCAAGGCGCCAAACAACAGAGTAACTGAGTCCGTTCTTCTCACCTTGCTGTTGTGATGTAGAGCGGTCCACCTCTATAGACGGTTCTGACCAGTAACGCCCTTCATGAATGCAGGATGTGGTCAGAGTGGAAACCACACAGGGAGAGAGAGAGAGACACTCTGTTCTTGTAAAAGAGAAACTAGAAAACTGTTTTCTGGCGTCAGTCTGGTCCTTGTTAGGAGAGAGAAGTTATCTAACGACTGAAGGCACAAAAGCTTTCGTTTTAACTTGATAGTGATGGAAACAGACGTATTAATTTGGATGTTTGTATATGAGATATATTTGACATATAAATGCAAAATAAAAGAAATAGAAATGGGAAGTTTGAGGTGGATAAATAAAGTGTACAAAAACATTAAAAAAAGGGGTTAAAATCTTTTATCTTTTACTCTCCACAGACTCTCTTCTCTCCTGACAACTTCATCCACTACATGACAGAAGCTCTGGACATGATGATGAAGGAGGTGAACGAAACACTGTCCTCCAGCTAAGCTCACTGTTGCTTTTTGTTATATGAGATGTGTGAGGAGAATTAGGGTCGTGGTTTAAGGTTTAAATTTTTTTAATCAAATAAACTTTCTGAGAAACAATCAAAATTTTAAAAAAAAGTTGGAAAAACAGAATCTGATGGTTTGAGAATCATTTAAATCAACATTTAACAAAGACAGCAAAGAGAAAATATCAAAAAATTGAGAATCTTACTGTTGGGACCAGGTCATATTTACCATGTTTACCATGCTGCAATAGTTCAGGGTCTCCTTTTTCAATATCTTTGTTTCATGGTGCACTAAATGTTTAAAACTGGTGAGTGGAGTAGTGCTTAAATACTGATTTATATTACTCAGCATTAACAGAGCCTTTACAGACATGTGAGCTCCTTATGCCACGGACACTTATACATCCCTGTATCATCATTTATGCTGAGCGGTTCCTTTTTGGAGCAGATTTTCATGTATTTATTTTTTCATAAAACATCACATCTACAAGTTTCAACATCTGATTTGTTGTCTTGGCTCTATTTTTGATCAAATGTGGAGTTTAAATGATTTGCACACCACCAAAGTCAAGTCAGTGTCCCAAATGTTTTGGGGGAATTTTATTAGCATTTGCATTTTGTTTCAATATTTTTTAAAACCCCAACAAATCAAACACATCATTTCTATTTTCATCTCTCAGGGTTAGTATGACAGTAAAACTTAAATTAAAGACTTTTTTTAAGTTACAAAAATCCAAAGTTTCCATGGTCTCTTAAAATTTCTCTGGGTCCTTGTTTCAGCTCTTTTCCTCATTGAGGCTCTGAGATAAATATTTCATTGTGAACCGACAGGTTGACCAACTTTACGGAGTTACCAGTAAGATGTCTAAAAATAGAAATCTACAGGGAGGGTTTGACTGTCCCAGAAAGGAACTATTCATTCAGGCAGGTTCATTGATAGAAACTCATGGAAAGTTCTCGACACTCATGAATACTGTCTGTGAAACGTGTTACCTCAGCTCTGCCTTTATTAACTTTTCTTTTGTCCGACTCTGTATCAGTGTCTGAATGAACTGTTTCTTCGTGCTTCCCTGTTTTACCTACTCTGGGACAGTTTGTTCTCTCCTCCTACTTTCACACGGAAACAATGAAGTTTAAGACGTTTTTCAGGCATGTTCAGGGACACTCTTGGCGCTTCAGTGTAAAACTGTGTAAATAAATGTTTTTCTTTGGTTGTAGATCCCCAGGACGATCGTGAACGTGGTGCAGATTCTGCAGATGAAGCCTCTCAGAGAAGTTCAGAAACCATCTCTGGGCTGTCAGCTTCAAAAGTGACTTTTTCTCCTTTTATTTACCTTGTAATCAAAATTTCAGACAATTAACCGAATTATATTAAAAAGATTTGTTAGTTGGAAGAACTTTACATCAAAACTTTCCATATTTTGTCACTACTATATCAAGATTATTGAATGTGGGTCTAGTTTCTTGGTTTCTTGACAAAAATCAGCCACAAAAATTGGTCAGAAAATAACGGAAACATATTACGATTTACACAGAATGTAAAATGCTCCTAAATAATATCTTAATGCTGAGTTCAACAGTGATTAAATTCACTTTGTTTAATCTGGGTTTTATTTTAAATCATGTTAAACCTTCAAAGAGTTAGAATTATAATTTCAAAATATTCCAATTAACAGAATTTGATCAGTTTCAATAATCAAAAGATGATTGCCGATGACTTATTTCAGTGTGTGTTATGCTGGATACAGTTAATGAGTCAGAATTTCATAATTCATCAGACCAACTGATCTGTTAATCTGTTAATATGATAACCCAATAATCCATTAGTGTGGTAATCTGATAATTAATCTGCTCACAGGAGGTTCTGCTCCTGCCTCGTCCAACCCGAGGACAACTCCACCGAGCTGCAGGAGCTGGTAGAGATTAACTTTGAGTTTCAGGTGTGTGTGTTTTCAGCAAAAAGGGTTAAACAAGGTACCATTAGACTGTCCTCAAAACCTCTGCTTGTCCTCAAATGCCATTAACGTCTCACAAAGACGTCTCCACACAAACATTTTTTCACTGTAACAACAGCAGAACAGGAAGAGGGTTTCTATTTCTGCGCTGTTTGGCTGCTTAACAATAAAACTGCATTCAGGACAGTATATTTTTTGGACACCATGGAAAACGTTTGAAAAAAATGCTCCTCTGTGTGCTTTTCAGTGTATCGATGGTAGACAAAGAGCCTTTAAGTGATATGATTTAGACAAGGTGCCCTTGAGATGCCTCTTAGTGGATAAAATGTTTACAAGGTGCCCTTCAGTTCATTGATTGTAAACTAAGATCCTTCTGGTTACTCATTTTATGTAAACAAAGTGCCCTGTAGATGCTTTTTAGTGTGAAAAATGTAAACATAATGCCCTTGGTTGGCCTTTTAGGGTATGAAATGTTAGCCAAGAGCTGCTCAGTTTATTAATTGTAAACAAAGTACCCTCTAGGATGTAAACAAAGTGCCCTTTGGATGTTGCATAGTAGACAAAAATGTAAACAATGTGATTTTCTGGTGTTATGATAGTGAACTAAGAGCCTTCTTGTTGATCCTTTAATAGATCAACTGTAAACAAAGTGCCCCTGGTTTCTCTTTCACGTGATAAAACTGTAAATAGAGCACCAACTGGTTGCTTTTTGTTAAAAAAATGTAAACAAATGCCCACTTGTTGCTCTTTTAGTGGTTTAAATTAAAACAAAGTTTCAACTGGTTGCATTTTATAGAACTAAATGTCAACAATGTGCCCTTTGATTTCTCTTTTACTGAATTAAATGTAAACAAAGTGCTTTTGAGGGGATAAAACATCATCAAAGTGATCATAAGTTTGCTTATAAGGAAAGGTTTGGTATAAATAACATGTCAACAAGTCTTATACTGAAAACTTACACTATCTTTAACTGTTAAAACCACAAAATACATAATGTAAAGTTTCAGCTTCAAGTTTTTCCCCTTTCAAACACAGTTTCGTTTTCTGTCTTCAACAGAGGCGTTTAGAGAAGCTTATTGACAGTGGCCGTTTCTTCAAAAAGGACTTTTCTGTTGTTCTGCAGCCTTATTTAGAAAATGCAGAACCACCAAGACTCCCCGTAAGTCCTCTCTTGAGACTAGCAAATTGTAGTTCATGTTATTTGTGTTTTTATTTTTGTCTGATCTTCTCCTTTCACTTTCTGTAACCTCAGGACGGGGAGATTGACTTGAGCTTCTTCACTGCGGATTGTTTCCACTTCAGAGTTAAAGGACACGAGGAGCTGGCCAAGGGGCTGTGGAACAACATGGTGAAGATTTAAACCAGCAAACTATTTTAGTTATGAGATTACAGTAATGACTGAAACTGAAACTTATGGTTATATACAGCTATCATTCAAAATGTCACCTCTTTCCTGCATCAAGTCACTAGTTTGGTAGTAAAATGTTGAAAGTTGAGCAGGAATTTATCAAATACTCTGTGAAATGTTAAGCACACCATCACTGAATTCTCACATCTATTGCAAAGGAGAAAAAAAGACATAAACTGACCCAAGTTGCTGACCCAAAATCTTTCCTCAGTTTCAGCCTGTGGGAGAAAAAGACAAAATCAAGACATTTTCAGACCCGGTAAAACTCATCTGCCCTCCTAAGGTACATCATTTACATTTTATAAAGATTTGTTTTGTTTGAGTTTTTAAACTCTTAGTATCATGTTTATCTCACTTTTTTGTTTCCTCAGGAGCATCCGTACATCTACACCAGACCCAGAGTTCATTCTTCTGCACCAGCGCTGACACATTTTCATGCATTGATGCTGATTTTGCTGCTGTTTGTGTTTAATATTCTGTAGATGAACAGGCAGAGACACTGACACTATGTGAGGTGAGGGAGTTATGGCCATCCAGTGAACTTCAAGCTTCACCGATACATTCTTGGCACATTAGGTTCTCGCTCACCTTGTCATGTGATTGTAATTTGCAAAACCGCCTGTTCACTATACATTATTATTGATTGTTAATGTAAAAAGGAAGTGTTTCCTTTTTCCTGAAGCACAGAAATATTTCACTTTTACCAAATAATGTTCAATTAAACCCCAAATTATTTCACAAAACATTAATATATTTCATTTATGGTTCAAAACCTTTTATAACATTGCTCAAAACTGAAACATTGAGGGTATTACAAACCACAAAAATAATAAAATAAAAATAAATTCCCATTTCACTTTTATTCGAAAGTAAAGCAAAAAAATTAATGAAAAATTATCCATGAAAGGAAAGATATTGCAAACCAAAAAAAATATATAAAATAAATGAAAAAGCACAAATATTTACAGAAATTCAAAACTATTACATAACGGTATTTTGTGTGCTTGATCAGATATTATTTTTATAATTATTATTTTACATATGAAATGTTGCTGTATCAAACTAAACACTTGTGGTATGTATATATTTATTTATGATTTATGTATTATTTTTACTATTATTGTTGTTTTTGGTGTTCAGTTAGTACATATTGACCGTTTAGGGCCTCCGTACCGGTGATCGCTGACTCCACATTGAGTATATTTACTTTTCCACCACGTTTATCCCTCTGTGCTCTGAGTTTAACGTATATTGCAGTACCTCGGTTCGACCGCTGGGGGCAGCAGAGTCACTGTTTACAGGCAGGGAGCAGCTGGCTGCACGAGCTCCTAGCTGGTAGCGTGGAGTTGAAAGTGTAGAGAGACAGAGAGGAGGTCGCTGTAGTAGTTTACTGAAAAAGTTACACAAACTTGAGGGCGAACTAACTCGGCGTGTCTCCCTTACATGGTGACAGTCTACAGACTCGGAGGTAACTAAACGTTGATATGAAACTGTCGTTTATCGCCGAAAAAAGCAACATTTAGCTCGGGCTCGCGGACTTCTGCATGGTCGCTAGCTAGCTAACAGTTAGCTTCAGAAGCTACTCGGTTAGCTGGCTAGCGAGGTCCAGCCCAAAAGTTGTTTACCTCGAAGTTGTGGATGTGGTCACCCCCTGGGCTTTTCGCGGATTTTCTCCGGGACCAAAATTTCCACACTGGATTTAACACTGCGCGCTGTTAGGAAACTAGCAGGATGTCCGCAGAGGTTGATTCAGGTTTGACAGCAGCGGCGGCGGAGAAGAGCCAGAGCAGGTCCGAGGGGGCTCACCTGCAGAAAGAACCGACGGAAAAGGGGCCGAAAGGTGTGGAAAAGCAGCCGACAGACGTCCACAACAGCGAGGCGGCGAAGAGTCCGACAGACGTGCACAAGAAATGCAAAGAAAACGATAAAGAGAATGACCAAAGCGGCTCCTCGGACCCGGCTGTGGAGACCGTGAAGAGGAAAGTTGTTGAAGCTCCTCCACCTAAAGTCAACCCGTGGACTAAGAGGACCACGGGGAGGGTGCCTATCAACAATGTCAACTCAAGCTCCCACGAGAAAGGTGAGATAGTTTCATTTTAACATGTATAAAAGCAGATTTTTATTCTGACTTCTTGTGTGTGTGTTCCTGCTCAGCTCTCTCTCCCACAGCAGGGTCCGAGCACGCCGTGGCAGCACTTTGACAGCTTCACTGCACGGTTATCCACTTTAATCCCCACTTTACGCGTCTGTTTGGGGACTTTTAAGAGTTGAATGAAGTGCATAAACTTGAATGTCAGGGCAGCAGAGACGTGTTGACTGTTGCATATTTGCCCCATCCCCCTCCGTACTCAGATTGCTCTGAAGCACCACGTGTTGATTGCTGACAACTGCTACTTCTTTTGCCTCAAACATAGAGACTCTAAGAGAGCTCTTAACGCGTGTTTTTAGCTTTAAAGGGATAAAGGTGGAGTGAGTGGGGTTTTTGAGGTGGATAAAGGTGCAGAGGGGTCACATTGAGGGTCTAAATCAACTGTCTCAGGGCAAAAGGCTAATGAGACAGCAGCAGGCAGGCTAACTGCTGCTGCTGCTGCTGCTGTAAAGACACGTTTTGCATGTCCAATGGCCTGGCTGCCTGCAGTTCCTCCCACCAGCCTGCTCACTACTGTCACCAGTGAAAGTATGTGAACAAGGTGGCTGGACAGGTGGGGGAGTTAAGTGGGTTAAGACTTTGAACTAATGGGAATCTTTATTACAGAGGATGAGTCTAATTGTTATTTTTCTAGTGCCCTGTTTGATAAAGTTACGACAGGATTGGAATGAATGATAATGAAAGTGAATGTATCTGCCTCTTAAGTAAAACTCTTAAATCAACTAAAATACAAACAATTTGCACGTTCTCAGACTTTAAAAGTCCCAAATAATCTCATATCCAGTCCTCATGTTTTGGTCTGCAACCATTGATTATTCATCTTCTCTCACCAAATTGTGTTGCATACTCGCCATTGACACATGTCATTGTAATGAATGATAATGAAAGTAATGTAATTAACTCTGAGTTAAAACTCTTAAATCAGCAAAAATACTTTGAATTAAAATTAGAGTTTGCATTTTCTCAGACTTCAAAAATCCCAAATAATCTCTTATTCAGTCATTGTGTTTAGGTCTGCGATCATTGATTATTCATCTTCTCTCACCAAATTGTTTTTCAAACTCGCCATTGACACGTCACACGTATGAGAGTTTTTAAATTTACTATATTCAACCTTAAATTTACTCTGAAGTGTCACTGAGATTAAAAATGTCCTTTACAAGACAGTTTTGTTGCTGTCACAAAAAACAGAGTGGACAGAACTTTAACACGTGGCTTTTACGAAACACGCACTTTAATTGACACTTTCATTATAATGCACTTAAATTTATGAAGAGATATGTCCAAATTTCAGCTGTGAAAGTATGTGAACAAGGTGGCTGGACAGGTGGAGGAGTTACGTGGGTTAAGACTTTAAACTAATGAGAATTTTTATAACTGAGGATGAGTCTAATTGTTATTTTTCTAGTGCCTCAAGTTAGCTGGTAAATAAAATTATGGCAGGATGGAATGAATGATTATGAAAGTGAATGTATCTGCCTCTTAATTAAAATTCTCAATCAACAAAAATACAAAAATTGTTCATTAAAATGTCCAAAAATCCCAAATAATCTCTCATTCAGTCATCATGTTTTGGTCTTTGGTCATACTCGCAATCGACACATGTCACACATATGAAATAGTTTTTAAACTTATTTTAATTAACTTGTACTTTACCTACAAATGTCCTAAAACTAAAAATGTCCTTTACAAGACAGACTTGGAGCTGTCACAAATAACACTGTGGACAAAACTTAAACATGTGGCTTTTACGAAACAAAAAGACACACTTTTATGGACATTTTCGATATAATACAATTCCAATATCTGAGGATGAGTCTAATTGTTCGTTTTCTAGTACCTCAGGTTAGCTGTTTGATAAAATGATTACAGGATTTTAATGAATAGTAATGTAGTAATGTAATCAGAATGTCTCACTGAGACTAAAAATGTCATTTACAAGAGAGACTTGGAGCTGTCACAAATAACACAGCGAACAAAACTTAAACACATGGCTTTTACGAAACAAAAACATACACTTTCGAGATAACTAATTTAGATTTATAAAGAGAGATGTCCAATTTCAGCTGTTCCACGACCAAGAAAACAGATATATTGGAAAAAGTTGTAGCGTAATTACAAAAAGCGACTTTGCTGTAGCTTAAGGAGACAACAGAAGGAATGTTCTTTAAAGAGCACAAAACTTTAGATTGATAGTTTACGATATCTTAGAAAATAAAAGAATATGAGAGAGGAGCGAGAGGCTGAATGAAAGGACATCTACCAAATTGAAGAAAACAGAAGCTGTATCATGGTCAGAGCTTTGGCAATGTGACAGGACTGGTTAAGTGAGAGGAAAACCAGGGAAGAGGATCCTACACAGGTGTCGCTGTAATTTCTGCGTTTGTGATGAATGCCAACAGACCGACACCACTACAGCCTCCTCGCGATGCCATTAAAATGATTAATTTGCATAACCAGCCTCCCCAGTAACCAGCCAGGAGTGTAAAGTCTTGGGGCATTTCATGAAAGCATAATACACATTTTTACGAGGAGGAGGATAAAAAGCTGCTGCAGTGAGTTTGACACTCTTGTTCACTCGGCTTATCGTGAGGAGATGGTTGTTTGGAATCACCTGAGGCTCTGGGGGGAGCCATGTTGACTCTGGTGACGACAGAGGGATGTCGTCAAGGTATTCCTGGTTTGAAGTTAATAGGAAGCTAGAGTTTATTATTTCTAACTTTTAGTACAGGAATGCATCATGGGAAGTGTAGGATTAGTCGCTTCATTCATGCAAAAGTCTCAAAGTCAAGTTTTGGTCTTTCCTGCTTCAGTCTAAGTGCCCTTTAACTTTATGGAAGTTCAATCTGAACTGATAAAACTCCCCTTTAAAAGCAGACGTTCAGATATCAGATTCGTACCGGTACATTTTCTGCATATCTTATCACCCCGACTGAATAATCACCTGATAGTTTCATCGCCGATTTAATCGCTGAAACGGACACGTGAGAATTTCTCCACAGATTTATTGTCGCGATCACATTTTGTTCATTAGCGTCTGCAACAGTTGGCTCGGAGGTGAAGCAGCAGCTCTCCCTCTCTCTCTCTCTCTCTCTCGACTAAAAGTTGAGCAGTGAAAGTGTGTCAGAGAGCCAGGGGAGCTATATTTGAAGCATTCGACTCTCCCAGCGAGCGCACAGGCATCATTTTACAGCGTTACTGTACGACCAGCTCTTGAGGGGTGGACGTCTGCGGGCTCGGCGGGGGGCATACACCCATTCATGTCGAAGCCTCGGCCCCGCGTCTCTTATCAATCCGACCATCCTCTGCAGAGCGATAGGGACTGTCGGGCTGCAGCGGGCCACTCCCAGCCTGCAGAGAGAGAGACACACACATGCATACTGCCGCTGGCTGCACACAAAACACCCTCGACGAGTTCAGTCATCTGGGGAAGGGGGGGATATTTATTCATCCTGTACTGACAGAAATTCCCAATGAGCAGAGCATGCATGAGTAAACTCCTCTTAAACTCCAGTGTTGAGCAAGCTCACTGGTGGTTTTGAGATTCTTTCTAAAAGTTGGATTTTAATGAAGTAAGATGACGTCTCTTCCTTTTATTGATTCTGTGTCTGCAGATCAGCAAAACGCTCTCAAAGTGGTCCGTGCCAGCAAGCCCAGGACGAGAAAATCCAGCAAGGTAAACCCCCTACTCTTTCTGTTTGTGTTCTCTTGAGTTTGTTTCATCGTTAATTTCTCCTCTCAGCGTCTTAATTAAGCTGTAAGTCAAGCCCTGAGAGTCGGATCTCGCCTCTTTCTCACCTTTTAATGAGCGAACACGTTGGCTCTTTGAAGCCGAGATGTCACATGGATCACATGTTCATATTTCAGCGCCGCGAACTCCTGCCAGGTATTGACACGCAGGATGGGAAAATTAACATCTGCCACAAGTCAAACGTTTGCTGGTTCGAGCTGCCGACGGGCTGTTTTGTTTGCTTTTTTCCAACCAGTTTTTCCACTGCAGTTGTTTGAAATAAATGGCAGAAAGTCGACCAAATATTAAAATAGTGATTAAATGTATTCGGCTTTGTGTAGCAGCAGGAGAGATGGATGGATGTGGGTGAAGTTTCTCCTCCTGATCATGAGTTTTTCAACCGTTTAACCAGCACTACGAAATAATCAAACTTGTGGACGTTTTCATGTTTTATGTGAAACAAAAACAGAGTAAACTTTCTCATATTTTTATCGCCCAAACTAGATCTGCTCTTTCCCCTCCCTACACTCTGTGAAATCTGCCTCTGTCAGCGTCACGTTTCACCCCCTCAGACTCAGCTTTTTTAAGGACTGTAATTTATACTTTCTCAGTTTGTGGTATTTAAAGATTACAAACCCTCTCCGGGTCGTGTTGTGTGGAGTGTGTTTCGGAGATTTGATCTATAGTCGGGTTTCTTTTTTGTGTAAGCGGGCACATGAGGACACACCGGTGCCAAAATCAGCAATGAGTCAGCAAAGACTGAAAAGAGAAGGAAGAGCGCAGCCGGTAATTATCGACTCTGACTGGATTTTGAAAAAGCTGCTTCTTCGTTCATGTTGGAGTCGTAACAGCTCAGGGCCCGCTCTCAACACTTCTGGTTACAAACTCCCGACTGTAAACAAAGACTGTTGACAAAAAATGAAGCTCCACGTTACTTTTAACTCTCAGGGACCCGAATGTCAACAAAACTGGAGGAGAGTTTCTGAATTAAAGAGTCGAGGAGGTTCAGCCAGGGCAGAAGTTTCTAGAAATCTGCCTGATGTGAAGTAAACAGCTAGTTGACATAATTTGACACGTGGCTCGTAACTAATACCTGAGATACTTAACCTGTGCCGACCCCGAGGGTGAACTCGAGAGTACTGTAAGAGGGTAGGGCTGATCAGAGACAGGAGAATAAGACAATCAGGAGGACTTGGAGGTGTTTATGTGTTTACTGTAAGAGAGGGGAAAGGTTTAAACAAAGTTCACATGTCTGTGAAGCTCCGCAGCAAACCGAGAACGACGACTCTGAACGCTAAAACTAAGAAAGTTTAATTCCCACACAGACGTTTTGTTCAGAGAGTAACTTTAACCCTCTTCTGCGTAACCTTGATCTCGTATCAGTCTGTCCAAATTTACCAGATTCACAGAGGTGGAAAGTGACAGGGCTTGTTTATCGTTGTTGTTTGCAGTTCCCCCCACACATCAGGAGCACTGACCTCCACCTCCTCCTCCTCCTTCTCCTACCCCGCTTGTTTCTACCAGAAAGACACTCAGCTCTCCCCTGACCCAAACTAACGATAAAACCCCTCAAATAATCACAAGGAGGAGGAGAGATGTGTTAAACTCATAAATCTTGATGTTAATGTTTATTTTCTTTCTTCTCTGATTTACAGTCGAGTGACTTCAGCGATATCACAAACTGGCCCACACCTGGTGAACTGGCCAAAGAGGTACGAGAAGACGAGGGTGTCTGTGACTAAGAGGGGTTCAAACAAACACATTGATGGGGCTGGAGAAGGATTAGTAACCTGTTTACAGATCAATATTCACATGCTGTACCATGTTTAAAAACTGTTAAAATAGCTCAACAATACAGTGAAGTAGAGACCAAATGAGAGTATATAATCGGGATATATGTTGGTGTAATGAAAACACAACCCAGTCTAGCTTTTGTTAAATTTTGTGACAGCAACTGAACTGAATCAAACAGCTCAAAATTATGCAAATCCAAGCATTAGTCTTTAAATATCTTCATTATGGACGAGCAATAATAAATTCTTCCTCTGCAACTTCAACAAATGAAACGTTCAGACCAGAATCTGTCTTTGCACCGGGCTGCAAACATGTTTAATTCTGCAGATTTGTTTTTTTTAATTGTTGGTGTTAATGGAGAGATTTAACCTTGGGGACAAGTGAGGAACTGCAGTTTTTTTTAAACTGCATTTGCATCATTTTTTCCCCGTTTGTTTTGAAAGCATTGAAATAAATGTAAAACAGTTTACACAGTCGTAAAAGTTAACATAGGAAAGCAGAAAAAAACCCTCTGTGGTTTAAAGGAACAGGAGAATCCATCAGTCAGATTTCTGTATTAAAAGACTCCCTTACTCACCCTTTAATGAAGCTACGGTGGCCTTTGAGGACAAAAAGCTCCTCATGCATGAGTTTGATCCTCCATTTGTGCACAATAATAACATCCGCTGATTTTTCTTCTTCATTCTTTGAGGGCATTTCAGCCGCAACTCGCCGTTCTGTGCTTCTGTTTATTTATACATTTAAAAAATATATAATTTTGAGCCTAAAGTTACTTTTTTAAAATATGTGATTTGTTTACCAGACAGCCCGCTGATCAAAACGGTTAAAAATTAAACAAAAATGTTGAAGTTCAAAAGTGAAGCAGCTTAATCTCACTTGACAGAATTAATGCATGGAGATTTAAAACAATTTAATATTTTCCTTTAATTGTTTTATTTGTCCTTTTAATTCTCATATGACAAAATCAACCATAACTGAAGCTGCAGCGTCTCTTTGTCTGTAAATGTAAATGTGGAGGAGCAGAAGGAGAGAAAGTGTAAATGTTGGAGCTCCACAGAAACGAGGCGATTAACCTGCTTCTTTTTTTTTTTCTGAACAAACTGGTTTGATCTCAGAAAAGTGTTTCTGATTTCTGCTCACTAGATGGAGCACAAAAATCATCCTGAGGACTTTGGGTCTAAATCTGCAGTCTCACTTTTGACTTTGCTTTTTTAGGCTTAAAGGTGCATTTCACAAAACACAGTCAGCTGATGCACTGAATCAATAATGGACACTTAAAATCAAGAGGAAAGAGTTTGTTTAAACTTGATTTGTTAGTGTTTTACTCTTCAAGAGTTCCGTTTTAATCTTTAAATATACATATATATATTTTATTATATTATTTTACCTTTATGCACCAAAAACTCACCAAACCCAGACTCCAAAATTTAATAATGAGCTTTCTGACCGTGTCAATAAAAGCTGAACTTGTAGTAAAGCTGTTAATGTTTGATCAAAAAATGAGTTTATGACATTTTAGCTGATCAGTTTGTGTGCTCAATATTTTGTGTTGTATTCCTTTATTGTCAGAAAGTCCAAATTTGTTGTTTAAAGTCAGAATTTTTTTTTAAAAAGTTTGTTTTTTGGAAGATCAGAAGTAAAAAAAGAGAAAATGAGACGTGTTTTCACTCTTATAAGATCTTCAGTCTTTGATTTTGTGGGTTTTTTTACCCTTTATTTATAGTTTTATTTAAAAAAAGAAGGAACTGAATTGTCTAATAGTAAAAAATTAAATAAAAATATGATTTAATAAGAAACAAACATGGATGAAGACAGAGGGATCCAGTCTTGCACACCCGCTCAAACTTCATCGTTTTGTTTTCCAGCAACAACAAAACGTGCTCAACAACAACGGGAAGAAACCTCCTTCCTCACGCAGAGAGAAGGAGAAGAGGAGGGAGCGGCCCGACAGGAAATCAGAGAGCAGCCACGACGGCGGCGAGAGCAAGGAGAACCAGGAGGCTCAGCCCGACCCGCTGGCAGATCTGCCCAAAGACGGAGAGTCCAAGACGGGACAGGACGCCAAGAACTCGGGCCTGAAGAAGAGAGGAGGTGAGGGTGAGTTCTTCTGACCAGAATCTGATCGATGCGCAGTTTTCTCCGACCACTGAAACGAAACTTTATTTAGTTTTATTCTTAAATGCTTGAATGAAGATTGAAGATGTGGATTTCTGCAGAATGAGAGAGAGAGAGCATGCCAATAACTTGATTGATCGTAGCTCTGAATGACTGATTTCTGCATGCTGATAATCCTCCGTGTTGCACTTTTGCTGATCCTCTCTGAGTGTTTGGTGGTTTATGACTTACTCTGGTGATTTTACAGCTAATGAAACTTGACATGAAACTTTTCATCACTGAGTGTCTAAACCAGAGATGAAACGAAGAGTTTTGTTCCTTAAAAATGTCAGTTTCATCATAAGTAGACTCCAGATGCTGGGTTTCAGGTTTTATGTTTTCCTGAATGATCCTCAGAGTTTGTGGACGATTTTTAAAATAATCTGAGATGATTTTTTAACTTGATTTTATTTGGGAACAAAACTCTTCAAGCTCTGTTTCCGGTCTGCAATCATCGATAGGTAACAAACGTAAGTGGGTTTCTCTGCCGCTGGAGGAAGCTTCGAGAGACAACGGCGACAAAGGCCCGGCGCGCTCCGACACAGACCCCGCCAGCGACTCGCCGGACCCCACGTCACCCAATCACACACTCCATAATAACAGGGCGCATGATAGCAGCAGGAGTAAGTCCTCTGTTCGTCTCACCTTCAGTCTCTGCTGCTGCTGCCGGTTTGGTTTTGCTGTTTGCTTTCTGACGCATGTTTGCTCCAAACTTTGACCATCTGTCTTTTCTCTCAGACTGAGAGCATGAGCGATCTCTGTTTGACTGATTATCACCAAATTTAAATCCTACACGTCTGATCGATTTCATTCAGTTTTTCAATGTTTCTATCAACAACTGAGTGTTTGTTTCATTGTTCTGGTTTTCATTTCTTCAGTTGTGGAAGTGAGAGAGGAAGAGAAGCGACAGACTCGACAGAGGAGTGATAAATAAAAAAATCAAACCTGATATTTCCTCCTTAAAACAACGTTTTTTTAAAGCAGCTTTAAGGAGTTTTCAACTGCAGAGGACGCGACACGTTTAATGTAAAACTGAGATATAAAACTCCAAGTCTGACCTCAAAATTTGATATTTGTATAAAAGATTGTCTCCTTAAAAAAGAGACAAACTTCCTCTTTTCTTTAGTTTCTTAAACTTGGTGAAATATTAGTTTAATAATTTATCCTTTTTCTGTCAAATCACAGTCCTACACACGAGCACGCTCTTTTAAAATGCTGTGTAGTAAAAAAAACTGTGTGTGAATAGTTTTGCTTTTGTACTACTGTGTTTTTAATCTCGCTGTTGTTTCTTCTTAATCTAGAGTGCCTCTTATCTTCCCTTTTTGATTGATTTTAGTGACTTAGAATCAGAGTTTTAGTTTAACTTTATGGGGTAAAAGAAGAGTAGATGAAGATGAGTTAAAATGCTGCAAATTTACAGCGTTAAACTTTTGTTTTCCTCTTCAGGTTGGAGAAGAGAGCCGCGAGACATAGGAGATGACACCTCCAGCGTCCGGAGTGACAGCGGGAGCATTCGTGGAGGAATACGAGGCCGGGGGAAAGGTCGCGGGCGCGGGAGAGGTCGTGGAAGAGGTGTGGTTTTTAGTTTCACAACATTTTTCCTCTTGTTTGCATCCACACGCATCTTAAAAAACATCATCCCTCATCATCTTGTTTTCTTTATGTGCCGTTTCTTTGATTCCTCATGTTCCTCGGCGGTCTCGTTTTCTCTTCCAGGTCGTTATGAATACTCGCAGAGTTTCCGGGACTCTCAGAACTCAGACGGCTCGGTTCAGGTCCCCTCAGAGTTCGGCACCAACATGGTTTATTACTATGACGACGGCAGCAAAGTCCAGATGTACACAGTGGATGAGAAGCTCCTGAAAGAGTACATCAAACGACAAATGTGAGCATTTATACGTCTGTCTGTCTCCTATACTTTTAGACGAAGTTAATGTGGGAGGGGGTGAGCAGCTCGTGGAGTAGTTATCGTCCATTTATCGTTATGGAGGTGAACTAATCAATATATTGTGATATTGATTTGAGGCCATATCGCCCAGCCCTATTACAGAGTTGCAGAAGTGCATTTGAAACTCACAGCTGGATCTGCACAAACACACACGATCTAACCTGCTGTTTTGCATTAAATGCTAAACATCGCCATTCTGCATCTGTAACTTCCTCTGTGGGAGACACATCATCCTTGTGTAGGTTACACACGGCAGACGAGGAAGAGACAGTTCCAGTCCATAAATCGAGTCGAATGCTCCTGGACTTCAGAGACGTTATAAAGCGATGTCGTTGCATCGGCCTCAGCTGGGTTGCAGTTGTGCATGCGACAGACACGCACACGCGACCAAACCGCGATAAAAATAGAAAATATTGATGAGAAAGTGTGTTTGATGGAGGGTGGAGGAGCTGAGGATGTGTGCTCAGGGGGTGAGGTTAGTTTACATTCATTCAGAGTAAAATTAAAAACATTATTTGAATATAAGGCAGGAGGAGGAACGTGATAGGGTGGACTAATTAATGCCTTTACAGCAGCACTAAATCAGGAGCTTAAAAACACATTTAATACTTCATTTTTCCTAACCCTACAAAGCTGTCGACACTTAAAAAGTTTTAAAAAAGTGGATTTTTAACAGTTTTTCTTTCCTTAAAGCCTCTAAAAGCGTCAAACTCATCCTCCAAAATCCAGCAGCTGTCAGAAACGTTAAATCTAGACCTAAATCTAGACCTGATCGAGCAGGTTCAAGAGTTTTATCTGCAGCTCTTTCATATCTTGGGAAAAAAAAAGCCACGACTGAAAAGGTCAAGGTGGAAAACGACTTACCCAGGTGACAAACATGTGAAGGTTGTGTCAGTGCAGATTACAGGTGTGAAGAGAGCGATAAGCTGCAAACAGAGCGTGCATGTGTGGTCAGCTGAGCTCCTCCGAGTGTGTCCTGCAGGGGGCAGCGTTCGCTCTGCGTCTCTCCGACAGCTTTGGTCTCGTTGCATCAGCAGACTCAGAATAGTGGAGGGTGAGGTGGTCTCCCAAATATAGTCTGAGTGCCTCGGAGGGGACAGGGGGATGAATTATTATATGCAGGCCTGAGCGAGGAAATAAAAGGGGGAGGGGGGGAGACAACAGCAGGGGGGGTGGAGAGCGAGAGGAGGAAGAGAGCGGACATGCTTGTCTTCTTCTCTCTATTCTTCCTCTGTCAGGGTTATTCAGGCTGCTCACTCAGCCGACGTTACTCCACATGAAGAAAACTCGCCTGCAGACGTGTGTGTGTCTGAGTGTGTGTGTCTGAGTGTGTGTTTTTGTGTCATGTGGTGACTTTAAGTGGTGTGACAAGTGGGGACAGAGAGTCTTTCCTACCGTGGGTTTGGTATTTGGTGCTCCAGTCAGAAGGTTTGATATCAGTGAAGACTTATAGAGTTATAATGATGATAATCTCTCTGATTTTAACAAACAGGGTTCGTTCAGTGATGTGAAACCTTCCAGCTCTGAGTGTTTGTCAATTTTAGGATCTGGTTCAGGGTCTTTAACGAGGATGTTAATGACCCTCACTCTCCCCATCAACAGCTCTCACTTTCACTTCATCTTAACTCATTCAGTGCCAGGTTCAGTCATGCAATTTTCACCTTGATCGCAATAAAAATTTCCGTATGTTTCAGGACCCACAGAATATCTTGTGCTCGGACTAGAATTAAGTGCAATATCACACAAGAAAGGGGTGATTCTCTTCTTTCATTAGAAAAAAAAGTTAGTCTCTAACCCACTCCTGTGTTTAGTTATTGCCTGCTCAATGCAGCGTGGTCGTATCATCTTTGCAATCTGAAAATGAAACCTGAGAAAAACACATTTTTACAAAGAAGAGACTTTCAAGCCGAACTCTGATCGTCTATTTCATTTCACTTCAAACTTCTTTACCAATTGCGTCAAGGTCCTCCCTTCTCAGATTACCACTTCGCATCACTCTCGACAACCCGACGCCGCGACGTAAACAACATAAACTGCTCGCGTCCTCCTCGCCGGGACAGTCGCTAAATTCCGGATCTCACCAGTACCGGCGTTGGTGGCACAATGACACGCCATAAAAGTGTTTCTTTGATTGTCTGCTGACAATGTGAAGGGCTCTCCACTGGACCCAGAGACAGCAGCACCGCGCCCACAGGAGCCGATGCGCCGAGACTGTTAGTTTCTTGGCTAATGACTTCGGCATTTTCCTTCTCTCCTCATAGAGAAAAAAACACTCTACACTCCACACTCAGGCTAATCGGCACACTTGATGGCACACTTCTCATTGGCGAGTACTTTTTTTTTGTTATGACGTATTTATCGGCTTTTCTGCGTTCAGAATGACCCCAAACTTAGTCGCGTGTTGGGGAGAAGCGCCCTCTGGTGGAAAACAAAAAAACTGAAAAATCCGTCAATGGCACTGAACGAGTTAAGCAGCTCAGATCGATAAGAAACAAAGTTTAGGAGCACCAGGAAGTTGCAGCTCTTTCTGCATCATCAGTATGTTGTTAAACAACGGCACAAACGATCAGGAGGAGGCAGGTGTGAGGGTCTGTGTGTGTCTGAAAAGCAGAGGGACGGAGTGAGGCTGCAGTGACCACGAGCGAGGACAGGTATCATTGATATGAGGTGTCGTTAAACTCGTGTCTCTCCTCCCTCCTTCAGCGAATACTACTTCAGCCTCCACAACCTGGAGCGAGATTTCTTCCTGAGGAGAAAGATGGACGCGCAGGGCTTCCTCCCGATTTCCCTCATCGCCAGCTTCCACAGAGTCCAGGCTCTCACCACAGACATCAACCTCATCATGGAGGTAAAAACACACTTCAGATTTTCACATTTAGTTCTGTGTCTTTAATTCCCACCATGATAACATCAGGAATAATTATTTTGTGTTTTGGTCTCCAGGCTCTGAAAAGCAGCAAAGAGGTGGAGCTGGTGGACGACAAAGTCCGCTGTAAATCCGACCCGGAGCGCTGGCCCATCCCCACCCCTCCCATCGTCGGCTCCCCGAGGACCGACTTCTCACAGCTCATCAACTGTCCTGAATTCGTTCCCCGTCAGTCCCTCAGCTCCACCAACTCTGGTCAGTGTTTGACTCCGACTTCGGCTTTTCTTCACAGACGACAAAGTGAAAATAAACGGAGGAGTTTGGAGATATTTTACACTTTTGATAACGAATACATCCCGCTAAATACCAGAACTGTGTGTTTGTGTGAAGAGTCAAATATCTGCCCCAAAAACCCAACAGACCAAAAAATGTGGATTAATCTACAACAAAAAATAGTCCAAGAAAAGAAAAACGCAACATTTGACGGAGATTTTATCGTGATTGTTTGAACCAAAGCTGAACATTTTTGAGTAAATCTGCCAATACAGGCGAGTTTCGGATTTCTTAGGTGTGTTGATAGACTCTAAATCTCTGATATTTTATTGTAGATTAACTCCATTTTGCCTTAAAATCATCAGCTGGAAGCAACAAACTCAAATTTTTGATTTAGAAAACCTCTTAAATTGTAAAACTAACCTTCTAAATCCTTCAAATTTAATCTTTCTTAGCAAATATTCACTTTTAGAAAGCTGTTACTATTAAAAGAAAATCATTTCAGCTCAGAAAATAAAGATTATTTTGGTTTTGTTCGTGCTGTCCTCAGGTTTTTAAGATTTAAGAGTCGAATGTGTCGCCATGGTGATAAAAACCATCGAACAGAGTCAGACTCGGGGTTTGGGTTTTGCTCCTCAGCGTCTCTGATGAGAGCTGACAGAGTGACGGGTGATTTCCAAAGCCGCGTTGAAGGTCGTCTGACTCTGATGTGTTTTGGCCTTTCAGCTTCCTCGCCCGTAGAGAAGACTCCCCCCGACTCCGCTGAGCCTCGGGACTCGTCTGATCCCGGCTCCTCCGGCCGCCAGGAGTCTCTCCCCAACGCAGACGCCTCCAAAGACGCCCCCGTCCCCAAACCCGACCCTGACGCCTGGATCCAGGTGGAGAAACGTCACAGACCCCCCTCTGGAAAAGTGAAGGTGCCGACAGTTTTGACCTTTCAGAATCCAGTTTTCATCTTTCCTCTCCTCCTCCTCCTCTTCCTCCTCCTTCGTCTGACTTTTTCCATTTTTCTCATTTCATCTTCACCTCCTCCACCTCCTGCATCCCTCTGTCGTCTCCTCCCGCTCCTCTCTCCTCCACCTTTGCGCTGACAGCACGACACCGATGACGTGTGTGTTGTCAGCTCCTCTCCTCCCTCGCCGCTCCAGCCCGACCTCCTCCCCTCTGCAGTTGAGTACTCCCTGTTCTCGCTCTTTCCTCACCTTCAGCTGCTTTTGTTTCTGCTTCTCATCATTTATTTACCGTCTAACCTGAATCTTTTCTCATGTGACTTTTTTATTTGCTCAACCCCGTTTGTTTTATTATTGTCGCTCATATTCATCTTTTAACTATTATCTGACTGAATCTCTACATATATCCCTGCAAAGTTATTTCTGCCTCATGTAAATCTCACAGTTTGAGGCGATAAGTGAAAAATTCTCACATGAAAAATTTATTTTTTAAACTTTTTTTCTGATTTATATCCAACTAAATTTTTTTGTTTTGTTATGTTTTTATTGGCATTTTCAGTTTGAACATAAACAAATCACGTTAAATAAATGAACATAATAAATTCCCCCAGTCCCTCCCTTACCACCCAATGTTCCCAGATCCGCTAAAAGGAGTATAAAGTGAGAAAAAAAGTAGTAATAATAATAATAAGGATAATAATAAAGATAAATTACACTGTAAGTTACCCTGAACATACAATGTAAAGAAAGATTATTGCTTAAAAAACAGGGTCCAGATATAGAAACACAAATTAAATTGAAATAATGGGGAAGAAAATAAAATTTAAAAATAAATAATTAATAAAAAGAAACAAACAAATAAAATAAAACGCAATATTTAAGATCTACACTGTTCACTAAATGTGTAGGTTTAAGTACACATAGATTTAAGTACACTCATCCTATGTTAAATGCAGCGAGGGCTGTAGCCAGGTCGGTTCAGGGAGAATCCCCAAATTAAAGTGTTTTAATGTATTTCTATATCTTTTTAAACATGGGGTGTAGGGGTGGGCGATATGGCTCAAATTATATCAACTTTTTTTTAAAAGGCAGAATTTAAATCTCTGTTTTATTATTCTGTTTCGAAACTATTTTGCATGTTATTGAGCAGAACAATCAATTCAATTTCACTCTTAAGCCATATCCACTTTTTGCAGGATTTTATCTGTGTGTGAATCAGAGCCGCTGATAGAAACACTCAGATTTAAACCATCCAAAATTAGGGCTGGGCGATATGGCCTAAAATCAATGTCACGATATATTGATCAGTTCACCTTGATAACGATAAATAGATGATAACTACTCCACAAGCTGCTCACCCACTCACACATTAACTTTGTCTAATTCAGACGCTACAACTTTTGAACCGTCCTCCATCTCCTCACCTGTCTTTACCTCGTCTCTGATGTAGGACAGCGTCTTAAAGGGACATGAGACCATAACCTACCTACACACATCCAAAACCAACTTTTATTTATTTATTTACTTTTTTGACACTGAATATACCGATATGGGCAAAATGATGTTGGTTATTGTCATAAATTTCAGTAGCTTTAAATTTTCGTTTTATCGCCCAGCCCTAATCCAATTGTCTGTCCTTAAACTAATTATTAAACTTTTTATATGATCATTAGCCAAGAGAAAATCTGCACTGACACGTGTTTATTGTTTATTATTTTACGTATATAACAGGCTAATTTTAACTCTTTTAAGTGACAGGAAAAAAAAATTGAGTTTTCTTCACTGTTTCATTGCTTCATTGTTTATTTTCTACTTTAAAAACCAACACATGTGTGGGCCAGAGCCGTCCTGCCAACAGATATTTAACTTAACAGCCTCCGAACCAGCTTTTTGAGACTGTCATGACTGTAATTTTGAGATTCACTCATGCATATCAATCTGCAGCTGTCTCCAGTCTTTGCAGAGAAGTTTCAGTTCCCCTATCATCAAGTTGTCCTGCACCACTTTTTTCACATGTATCTCAATCAGTGTACCTCTGATTTATTCGGCTTTTTGTATTCAGGACATTTAGGCCGATGTAATCTTGATCTGCAGGTCGAACACGTCAGATACCGTCGGAAAACTTTAACCAAAATCACTCTCTCTGCAGCTCAGTTATGTTGTGAAGTTTCATTTTTTGAGAAGTTGTGACTCCTGAGGAACACTTTAAGTCTCACATCAGAGCTTAAATGACAGATTGAAATATTTAGTTTTCTTCTTAATTTTAATTTTTAATAAATTTCTCATTTTAAAATCGGTTTTTTTAAGTATTGGGACAAATTTTCAAATGTGTAATACTCTTCGACAGAGTACGTCTGAGGTGTAAAATTTCAGACTCTTCCTTTAAACGTCACATCCTCCCTGCTCTCCACGGTGTCATTGTCCTCTTGTGTCTTCCTCTGATAACCACCGTGTGTCTCCCACTCAGGAGCGCAGTGACATGTCCCCACGCAGCCACCAGACTCCTCCCACCCAAACTGAGCCCGACCAGGAGGAGCTGGACTTCCTGTTCGATGAAGAAATGGAGCAGATGGCGCCGAGGAAAAACAAGTTCACCGACTGGTCAGACGAAGACGACTCGGACTACGAGCTGGACGACCAGGACGTCAACAAAATCTTGATCGTCACACAGACGCCTCCTTACATTCGCAAGCACCCCGGCGGAGACCGGACGGGGAACCACGAGTCCCGAGCGAAGATCACCACCGACCTGGCCAAAGCCATCAACGACGGGCTGTACTACTACGAGCAGGACCTGTGGAAGGGCGAGGAGCCGACCGAGTGCAGCAAGGTAAGAAAAAGAAAACAGAATTAGGACGGTCAACTTTTTATTCTAGTTTAAAATCAGTGAGTAAGTGTGACAACGCAACACAGGCTCCGCCCTCAAATTCAAGAATTTGACCTTTAATCCAGTGCCAACAGATCATCCCACGTCAGATTGACAGGTTTAAATATCAGACCACCTCCAGGAACCGAACGAACATGTCAGAGCAGGCGAGTCTGAGGGGAGCGAGTTTATCTGCAACATCTGCAACAAGTCGTGTCTGAGCAGGACGAGTCGGTCGTAGGAGAGGAAGCGTGAAACGGGGCCGAACAGTTCAGTCAAAGAAGAAATCTGCGTCCAAAAAAAAGTTGTAGAAATGGACACGGATTTAATCTTTGTGCAGAACTTACACATAAGTTCACATAATAATAAGAATAAGAATAATAAACTTTATTTGTGTAGCACCTTTCTAGAACAGTTGTCACAAAGTGCTTCATGGTCTTCAAATTAAAAATGGTGAGACAAAAAGACAGACATCAACAAAAAGTACACTAGTAAGTTTAAACGAATGGGTTTTCAACCACTTTTACAAAGTATCCACAGTGTCCACAGATCTTAGTTTTCGAGGGAGAGTGCTCCAAAGTTTCAGAGCAAAAAAAATAAAACAGAAGAAGAAGAATTTACTGTCAGATTTTTGTCCTCATTTCTGGACTAAAAGCAAAAGTTTTCATAGGAGAAAATCTGAGGTTCGTTTTACCGTCTTTTAGCGGTCTGTAAATCTGTATTGTCACATCTTGAGTGTTAATCTCTGGATGTTTTATATGTTGTTCAGCTCCAGTCACTGTGCCAGCAGGTCAGCAGGATTACCGAGTTAAAAAGAGGAGCGCTGAACATAAACAGACGTACACGGCAAACTGACACCCTGAGGAGTTTGAGTCGTTTAGGCCTCGTTTATACGTACCTGGTTATTTTTAAAAACAGAGGCATTAATCATCATTTGCATCCTTTGTTTAGACGCAAACGGGGAATTCGCCCCTGAAAACGATACTTTTTAAAAACTCCGGCCAGAGTGAAGATTTCGGAAAACTCCGCTTGCGTGTAAACAGAGAAAAACAGACATTTTGGTAGCTGACGGCAGATTGTGCGCCTAAAAGAAGGAAGTGATGTTGTTGTTGTTGCTGCTGCTGCTATATACACGGGTTAAAGAAAACTTTCCTGAAAATGTCGTGGTGTGCACGCAGTTTACTTTTCATAAACAGAGAGGGTGAAATGTCCGTTTATGAAAATAGCTGGGCATGTGTAAATGTAGTCTAAGTTTGTCCTGCACCAACGTCTTTATTTTTACTCTGAATTTTAAGTCTCGGTGAAGTTTGGAAAGATGCTCCAAATTTTTACTTTTACTGCAGCTGAGGAGGGACAGGAAAGAGATGATCTCCTTAAAGGGGTTTGTAGATTCTTGTCGTGTCTTTATTCTAAATTGATAACAGATCCTGATCACCTGATCTTAAACAAGGCCTCATCAGACCATCATGGCGAGAGGCTTGACATTTGATCCCGCTCCTGAAACTAGGTCAGACATCCACTTGACTGTTGAACTCTCAAAGCCCCCTAAACGCCTGTCATCACTTCCGATCACAAATACATTTTTATCAGGACAAACACCGACTCCGCACACCCGGGGTGTTTGATGCAGTTTGAGGGTTTCGGTAGCACCGCCGGCGTTCCGAACACTTTGACAGAAAGACGTTTGGACAGATCTGTGAAGTCTCAAAGTGTCGGGAGGGGAGGGGGACAAAAATAAACCACAGTTTATCGCCTACTATACGAGCCTCCGGACTGCATGTGTGTCGCACAGCTGCTGCCAGACGGGAGAGTGACCTGTTTTCTGGAAAAGCTGCCTCGTCTGTGGAAACACGATGAAGAAACGCCATAGTTACACGGGGGTTATGTCATCTTTTGGAAGTTTTGTAACTCGGCTTTACACTTTTATTCTTCAGGACTCGGTAACAGGACACACTCACACTTAAATTAAACTGAATAAGACGAACAGGTGCACCTTCAGCCTCGTCTCCACGTGCGCCTCAAAAACCTGATGATGTGCCGCCGACTTATTTTGACACCTGAGAGAATTTGTCCAGGTGACCCAGCTCTCCTGTTTGTTCTTCTGAACACACACGCCCCCTGAGCGATTACTTCAGAGTAAACACACAAATCAAACACATGAAGACTTTTATTTGATATCAAGTTGCAGAAGCAGTAAAATCAAACGTCTGGATTAAATCTTCAGTCTTTGTTTTCTAATTTAACACGTCTGCGGGTTGTGCAACAACTTATTTCGGTCAAAAAAGTGAAACTACAGCACATTTAAAACAGCATTTCATCCAACAACGGTTATGAAACAGACTTAAGGGAATAAGAGGGAATCATTTCTACACAGCGACTTATTTAATCTCAAATCGAAATGTTAGTTTTCATATTTGTGATGAAAGAATGAATTGAACTATTGGGTTTAAAGCATCTATTTAGTTTTTTTCTATTTTTATTGTTTATTTTGTGCTGATGTTGGAGAGGTGAAGAGCTGGAAATGGGGAAAAAGAGAGAGAGAGACGGGGATGTGACAGGCTGGAGTCAAACCTGGACCATGTGGCTTCATTCAGAGTCTTTGTATATTCTTTCTTTATTTATCTCAAACTTTAAGAACAACAACAACAACAAAAAACAACAACTAGAAACAAAAACACTGAACAAAATAAAACATACATACACCAAACAACTGCACATGTCAAAGATTAATTTACACTAACATATGTTTGTCAAAATAAACAGTTTGAGAAGGAACAGAGTGAAGCAAAGAGCTGATCTAGTCCTGCTCCTTCCTTACAAATCAGAGCCAATAATGAATGGACAGAAAATGTAATCGTATAAATTACATAGATCTGTATAAATACTTACATATTATGCACAAAGGTATCTGATCAATGATATATTTTGTCTGATGTGACAAAATATATTGTGATCATTTTTTTTGCTAAATCGCCCAGGACCACTGGGGAGTGACCGTCTATCATCTTAATTTTCTCTCACGGTTATTGTTATTATTCTGGTTTCCTTCATTTCTTATATCGTCAGATCAGCGGTGCTTTAAACATGAACAGACACGTAAAATAAATCACAACAGTAGAATCAGTTTCATGCAGTTATGGGTGAAAATCTGCAGGATTGACTTGAATCTGAACCTCCTGTCCTGAGAGGACACATCGATCAAACTCACAGCTTCAGATTAACGATCGATCAAATAAAACTCTTTATTTTCTCTGCTGACGGCGAGTTTTCAGCTCAAAGGTTGTTGTGTCTCTACATGTGGGAAATGTCACGCCTGAATACACACACACACACACACACACACACACAGAGACCAAGGTCACCTGGATTTCTCTCTTTTCTTCACGCTGACGTGTTCAGTTCAAAGTACGCCGCACATCTGCTGAGTGTCACAGGCTCTCATGGCTGCTGCAGCCGCTGGCGTATCGAGTCTTATTTACCACCATGACACCTTCATGTTATCAGTTTAAACAGCCTGATACTCAAAAACAGAGGCTGCAGAGTTAAAAAGTCACAGCGCAGGATCACATTTGTTTTTAATATTTGATATAAAGTCTTTCTAAAGTTTTTCTGCACATAAAACAACAAAATGAACCAAAATAAAGTCTCTATAAAACTCCAGGTGAACTTTGTTAGACCTTCTGACTGTATTTTAACCGTCTGTGTGTTTCTGTGTTTCTCAGCAGGAAGTGGAAAACTTCAAAAAGCTGAACATGATCAGTCAAGATGAGTTCGACACCCTCACCCCCAAAACGCCCGTCGACACGAACCAGGAAGTCCCTCCTCCTCCTATGACAGGTGGGTCTGTTAAGCAGAGTGGCTCTCTTATTGGTTATAACACTAACGCATCTTCATGTGTGATGGCGAGCTCGTTAAGACAGTACTAATCGCTCTAAGGGTCTGATGTTCGTGGATGTAAAGTTACAAAATCAAGCGTTCTTCTTTTTTTCAGTGGACAGCGGCGCAGAGTTGGCTCGCTCTCTCCCTACAACGGTCCCAGAGTCGCCCCGCTCCCACCAACCCAGAACGCCAAGAACGCCCCGCACCCCGGGACGCCAAGACCCCAACAAGACGCCACGCTTCTACCCTGTCATGAAGGAGAGCGTCAACATTGACGGACAGGTGAGATCAGAGCTGGGACACAAAACAAAAACAAAAACAACATCATGAGTTTGAGAAAATCAGCTCTAATTCTCACAGCTGGTGTTTTTTCACCGTTTCTGTGTTTGAGTTTGAACCACAAAGGATCACTTCCTGAGTCTCACCTGTTTTGCATCTGTGTTTACTTTGTTAAAGGTTCACACAGAATATGCAAACACTCCTTTGTTTTACATACTTTGTGTTTGAATGGAGTTTAAAGGTCTCGATTAAAAGAAAGAATCACCTCAAACATTTTTTTATCTTCAGGAAAAGTTTGATTATCTTGTATTTGTCTAAGTGATGACGGTGCGATAAACGCAGCTCCGCGGTGATGGATGACTCCCATCCTGGTCATGAATTAAATCGATCTGTTGAAACGATCTCTCTCACCCTCAGATGCCGAGGAAGAAGAAAACCAGCCACAGTTCAAACCCTCCTCAGGAAGCCCACATCGGCTGGGTGATGGATTCCCGGGAACACCGGCCGCGCTCGGCCTCCATCAGGTCCGACTGATCGCTTTATATCAGAGCAGATTAGAGAGTCAGAGGCTATCCATCTACTTTAGCATGTCGTTGAATATTATAAACTTTATTTATTCACTTCTTCCAACAAAGACCCACTCTTTTAGGTCAGGATGAGGTCGTATATCATCTGTTTTTTTGTGGGTGTGTTCATGTTGAAAATAAAGAAATAAGGGCGGTTTGTTTTGTCCACATGTGCAAACTGCAAACAGAAGAGAAGATGAGAGCATGCAGGTTTAAGGAAATTTGAGATAAACGGTTTATTTATTAGACATAAAACACTGGAGTTAATGTCGTTTGCAGCGACTTTTTCTTTACTTTGACAAAAATCACCTTTTAAAACCTTCTCATCGTGAAGAATTCTGCTCCTGAAGACGAGCTCATATCTGCATTTCTCTTCTGCGCTGTGCACACTTTAAAAAAACACACACAGTTAGTGAAACCAAACTGAATCTGACAAATATTAACAGATGAAAACTGTCGCACAACAACAACTTTCTTATTACCCGAAGCATTAAAAACAAAAGTTCCTGTTGCTTTAAAACTTTGTAGATAAACGTCAAACTTGAACGTCTTCTTTGCTTTCTTCATGCAGCAGCTCCAACGCCTCTCCGTCAGAAGGAGCCCCGCTGACAGGAAGTTACGGCTGCACCCCCCAGTCTCTGCCCAAATTCTGGCATCCATCCCACGAGCTGCTGAGAGACAACGGCTTCACCCAGCAGGGATACCACAAGTACCGCCGACGGTGCCTGAACGGTGAGCTCGTTTGTTCTGAGCCTGATGCTGTAATTTTACAAAACGAGCGCTCATTATCAGGTTACGAGAGATTACGAGGATAATCTTCTGATTTCAAACTGCATCTTCCACAGAGAGGAAACGGTTGGGGGTCGGCCAGTCCCAGGAGATGAACACTCTGTTCAGGTTCTGGTCCTTCTTCCTGAGGGACAACTTCAACAGGAAGATGTACGAGGAGTTCAAACAGTACTCGCTGGAAGACGCCAAAGAAAACAACAGGTGAGGAGGAGGACGATATGAGGGCTGCCAATATTCCATCGATTAATCGAGTGATCAGGATAATTCAGGATATTTGCCCCGTTTATACTACAGGGTGATACAGAGAGATAAAATTACCTTGAAAATTCATATTTAGAGGTGAAAACTCCTAAAAAGTTTGAGTTTACATCACAGACTCACAGCAGGATGATAGTACCATGAGGTCAGGTTATAAAATCGTAGAAAAAGGCCGATATTTTCACACATTTCATTCGACCACACATGATTTTTTAGGTTTAAGTATTTTACACATTAATGATACGTCTGCGGTCTGTTTCCAGTATTTAAAGTCACTCTCATGCAGCCAACGTGTGTAAGCTGTCACTGCATGTATATAATTAATGAATCACCGTTTCCTGCAGGTAATTCTAACGACAGGTCTGCTGGTGCCGATAATTAACCTTTAAGCAGACGTCATGATGATAATAATTAACTCTCAAACAGTTACCCTGGTAAATGCAGAGCTCCTGTATACTGTGATATGAAATATTGAACATTATTATGATTGAATCAAGTAAAAATTATTCATTTATCTAGAGTGACCATACTCTGAATCCCCAAAAAGAGGACACGACCACGCGGGGGTGGAGTCACAGAGTCTTGTGTTGTAATTTTGAGGGTTTTTCAGGTCGAATCGAGTGTTTTTTACGTGCTTTTAACTCAGTAAGTCCACACGACACAAACTCAAAACTTCCATTTAAGACCCCGGACATTTTAAGGATTTTATAAACTCCCCTAAAGATTTGCACAAGTCCTGTCACAGTATTTGGGTGTTAAGTCATTTCTTTTATGCATGCAAAGCTCCAAGAGTTGCATGGAGACATTATCTGCCTCTTTTGTTGAAATTCGATGAAGAACAGTCATGTGTCCTAAAATGTGAATCCCAAAGATGGACAAAATCATGTAAAATAAGCAGCTAAAGAGTCGAAATTCAAAGTGAAATGAAGACTTTGGCTCACTGCCTCCCTGTAAGTGAAGAAATCCTCCAGTTGACTCAACTTTACACACAGCTCCCTGAAGTTAAAGTGGTTAACTCTTTAGTTCCTGGTCCTGCGCTCATGCCTGCAGGCTGCAGAGGTGTCTGCCTCGTTACTGGACAGCGGAGGGTTAACAGGGGTGGCTGCTTCGCTCTTACATTGTTGCATATCTGCCAGGAGCAGCCACCTTCCTCACCTGCCAAGCTCCACATACTTGTGGGATAAGTAGGCAGCTCAGCCCTGAGTGCTGAAGTGGGACAGAGTGAAGTTTCAGGGTGTGTGTGTGTGAGCAGACAACCGAACGAGCCCATCAGCTGTTTATGCAGCAGCTGACTTCCAGAAAGGAACCGGTGGACTCGTCCGTCTGGTTCCTCCGCCAGCTTTATTACAGCCATCAATAATCCGAGAGACAAAGCTCTTATTGTGAAGTGCACATGTGGGAACGTCTTTACAGTGAATCAGTGTGTCTCTGAATGTGCTCTCTGTCTAAACATAACTCCAGACACAAGCCGGGTGTTAAGTGGGGTCAAAGGTCAGACTGCCTGCAGGTTAATGTTTGTCTCCCCCCCCTCAGGTACGGACTGGAGTGTCTCTTCAGATACTACAGCTACGGTTTGGAGAAGAGATTCAGGTTAGATCTGTTCAAGGACTTCCAGGAGGAGACCATCAGAGACTTTGAGAAAGGTAAATATCAACAGCTGTCCGGACCTCACCTGACACTCTCACTGTGGATTTTCAAAATAAAAGCACAGAACGGGTCAGTCCTGAACTGTGATGACAGTTTTCACACTGTTCTGGGTTTGCACCAACTACATGATGATGAAAAGTCCATCTCTGAATATTTCCTGCTGCATTTTCATCAGTTTACTAAACTTTATTTTGCAAAATTTACGTTTAAGGCTGGCAGAAAAATCACATATGTAGACGAGGTGAAAGGATTTAATTTTTTTGCATCTACGTGCAGCCTAACCTGAAAATTCTGGAGGGTTTCCTGCACATCTTGAGCCTTAGATTCACACAGAGGCGAGCTATAGAAAGCAGCACATCTGGAACTTAAAGGTATCCCCAACAGAATAAAAATAAGGTTTTATGCAAAAAGACAAAAAAAAGTCACAGTCACAGGTTAAAATCACTCATGTAAAAAAAACAACTAAATCCACACCTCAGAGACTCAGAATTTTCAGTCCTTGAGGATTTAGACACTTCAGACTGGAACCAAATAACCCTGAAAGCCCTTCTGGACTTTAATTCTCCTTTTAATCTTCCTTCAGGAGTGTTTAGACTCTTCCTCTGTGGTATCGTTTAAAGGTTTTCACTTCTCATGTCTGCTGTTGATGGTTTAGGGGCGTTGATAGTGCTGTCATGAAGTGACATTTACCCTTTTATTTTCATTTTTCACAACTTTTCCTGCTAAAATCAAAGACTCAAACAGACGTTCTCTCACTGTGTGTAATCTAAGAAGTTTAAAAGTTGTACAACGGAGCGGCAGCACCTCCTGATCATGATGCATGATGTAGATTTAATCAGAGTATTTATTGGCAGCGGTGTCTTTGTGAACAGCTACAGTTAGAGGTGTGTTACCATGCGTGGATTTATTGTGCATTCAGCCGACTGATATAAATAATCGATGTCATAATGTGAGACCCGTGAACCTGCTCGACCCCGGTTTAAAAGTTCACGTAGCTCAGGCTTAACCCTCTTAATCTGGATGTGTTGTTGCGTGAAAAGGGAGAAAAAAATGGGATTAAATTCGATTCCTCCACTTATTTCAACACCGAGTGACCCGGTGAGGCTGAACAGAGGACTCTCAGTGAACTCTTCAGCCGCTTACTTCCAGCTGAGTAGTTTTATGTCGCTGTAATGTTTCAGACCGGAGGCCGATCTGTCAGAGAGATGTGGCGCTACGGCAACAAATGTATGCCTGTCATAATAAGTCATAACCAGCTATGAAAGCAGAAGGCAGTGATTTATTTGGCTTTGTGTGAGAGCGCTCTGATCGTACTGCAGTGTGAGAAAATAGTCGTATCAGGTAGATAAGACCTTTCTAAGGCCTCCAATCAGCTCATCTCTCTGTTGAAGACAGTCGGTGTAATCCAGATTAGGTAAACCTGAATTAATCCTTCAATGGAGAAGCTCAGATGTTGTAGCACAGTGATAGAAATGTTAGCTAACTAAATGACTGTTTGATTGTGGAGTTTTGGAGGCGATCAGCAGCGGCCGCCATATTAGTAAAGCTGACTCAACCTTCCGGAGGCGGGGCTTCAGCCTCTTTGCCTGTCAGTCAAAACCACTTTTTGAACCAGGCTGCACTTCTGCTCTAAAATGTTTTTTTTTTTTTTCAATGAGTGTGTGTGTGGTTTTCGGTGCTTCTGCAGCCAGCCTCTAGTGGACACTCAGGGAACTGCAGCTTTAAGAACTTTTCACATTAGCTTCATTTCTCAAGATGGGAGGATGCTGCTCAGTCCTGAATCCAGTTTTCACATTAATGCTGTTATGTAACTGACGGGGTCTGTAGTTGGTGGAGCTAAGTGGGCCGTACTAATACAGAACATTTACATTAACATTCACATATTCCATCTTACCCTTCGTTTACTACGTGAACACCAAGCCTTTACTTTACGCGACTTTATGACACGACTTAGCAAGTTCCCTTTAAAGTCAGTGTGATGATAATGAGAGAAAGTGTATTTGAGAAACTTTCAGTTCATAGTTTGGGCTTGTTCCATGACCCATACTGCAGCCATCCAGTAGGGGGGGCTCTCATGCTTTTGCATTCATGGTCATTTAATTATTTAGTTTGTTTTATATTGAATTTCTCCTCATTTTTTTCTTTGTAATCCAATTTTTATCCCTTAAGATTCTACTTCCACACATGTCGAACAACATCGCCTTATTTTGTTTGTGTTCTGTCAGCTGTCTGCCTGTTGGGCTTGTTTTTGTTTGCCTTTTGTTTTTGTGTATCTGTTGTGTAACTAGTTTGTCGTGTTACTTCAGCAGCATGAAAAGAGAAGTCGAGTTTAGACAAGTTTGTGTTTGATTTGTTTCTCCTTTTGTATCAGTTTAAACTTTATTCCTGATACAAACAGGAACATTTGGACGTTTGGTATCTGTTTAATAATCTCCACCCCCTCTCTTACAGGTCAGCTGTACGGGTTGGAGAAGTTCTGGGCCTTCTTGAAATATTCAAAGATAAAGAACCAGCCTATTGACCCAAAACTGCAGGAATACCTCTCCCAGTTCAAGACCCTGGAGGACTTCAGGGTGGTGGTGAGTGTTCACGTCTGATAAGCGAGCAAGAAATGTGAGAGCGGTACAAAGGGACAGATATCTGCATGAACTGGCATGTACCTCAAACGTCTTTTTGCTGAAATGAAACTAAAACATGTTTGTTCTCCTCGTTCGAGTCCTTTCTTGTGCAGTAAACTAAGAAACCAACATTAAAACATTTCTCAAACATCAAACACATTTTAAAATTTCCACTTCTAAGTCGTTTATGCTTCAAACTTTCCTAAATTTTGACCCCTGTGTTCACAGCCCCCGATGGGAGAGGAAGGAGGCAGGAGGAGACGCCACTCATCCTCGGCCGGGGATGACGGGAGGCGTCGTCGACATCCTTCCAACACTACCTCAAAGCCAGCGCAGGCCTCTAAACCCTCCAACGCTGCAGCTCAACCCGCCGCCGCTCAGAATGCACCCAAAGACAACGCCCAGAAAACAGCCGCCAACCAGGGGAAGAAGTCCGATCATGGCGCCGGGAAGAAGGAAAGCGCTGCGCCAAATAAATGAAGCTCCCCTCCTGACGGCGTGGGTTTGGATAGCAGAGGCGCAGAGCGAGACGGCTGCAGCGGCGGCTGCGGCTCAGCGTTTGCTCTTTTTCGGCGGCAAACCGTTTGGGTATGAAGAGAAACTGAGCGTGGTTGACTTAATTTGATCGTTTTTATCAGTGCATTTCATTTTTAAAAAAAGCAAGCAAGTACGTTAGCATAGGCAGAGAGCTTGAATGTGCGCGCCTCACAGCTCATAACGTTTACAAAAACAAAAAACAACAAAAAAATGCATTCCCTGCATTTTGCCTTTACTTTCTCTTCTCAAGATGCCAAAACTCTTCAAGGGGATTGTTGATCTCCTCGTCTGTAACCAGCTCTGGTCTGTAAAAGAGCTCTCCGCCTGTTGAACTGTGATTCTAGTTTGCCAAGATAAGAGATACTGCAGGTAGTCTTGTGTGCCTTAATCTGATTCAGTAAGAGGAAAAAAGGGCGATCAGCTGCAAAAAAAAACAAAAACAACAAAAAAAAAATTCACGTTTAGCTTTGAAAGTCTTCCAAGTTGAGTTTTTTGGGGGTTTTAAACCGATGAAACTTTCAGATTTTCTCTCCTTCAGATTGAAACGTTTATTTTTCAGTGACAATCAATGACAGCTACAAAATTTGTGAAGGACTGACCCCCCCGACCCACCCCTTCCTGAGGCCGCTGAGCCGAACCAAACGTGCCCTGAAGGCATCACAGCGTAACTGCGCTGTTTTTGGTTTTTAATTCAACCTGCAGAATTACACACGACTTGACCTGGGGAGCTTTAAGTCCCGTTTTTACACCCAGAGGTAGAATAATTTATTTTGTTTTTCCATTTACTTGATTTGATGGAATAGTCTTAGATAATCATTGCAGTTTTTTTAATGGCTTTTGCTATTGAATATGATGAATTTTAAAAAAAAAAGGAAATGTTTCTGCTGGAATTATGGGTGTGAGCTAGCATCATAATACTACATTTTATTTTAGCTTGAAGTTTACTTCATATTATATTTGAGGCTTGGTGCTTTTAGAGCACTTAAATCGTTAACTTTCCTTTACTTTATAAATGGACTTAAAGTGGTTTCAGAGTTGAATTTAAAAGAAAAAAATGTAAATACTATAAAAAATCATTTGCTATTCAGTTATTCTTTGATTTTAAGAAATGATTTGTTTTATCGGTAGTGTGGTTTTGAGTGTGTTTTAGGACAAAGCAATGCATGTTAATGCCAGAGTCTTGAATTGTAAAATGCAAAAAAATATAAAATAACACTTGATTGTATGAACTTTGTGTTTGTGTGATCTGTTCGGTCTGCACATTTCGTTCTCCTCTCTACCTTTTGAATATTTGTGGTGTTGCTGAAGGCGACCGATCGAGCCTGATGAACAGGTTTTTGTTCCCAACTACTGAGGGTGAAATTCATCAGTCCTCATCAGTCAAACATGAAGACGGCCTCTCCAAGTCAGCTGTGCGTCTCAAGTCTTAATTCGTTCCAATGAGCGCATTTCACCTGTTATCATCTCTGGCAGAGTAAACAAGCACTCGGGTGAAAGAAGTGTTTACACAAAGTGAGCAAATAGCATGAAGAAAAGTGAAATTAAAAGGGCAGATGGAGAGGTAGGCGTGAGTGAGTGTACAGACAACTCATAAAACAGAGCAAAGACAAATGTTTATGCTCGCTTGAGGCCAAATAATGTCTTTAAAAGTGAAATTACTCTGTTGTTTCAAATGCAAATGAACTGAATATGTTGCAAAATTAAATGATTGGGACATATGGATTAGTATTGGGTGGTTTCACTGTACGGGTCCCGATAAAGGGACAAAACTTGCCAACAGTCCATTCGCAATTCAGGACAAGAGGTGGGCGGGTGCGTTGATGCCTTCAGGTATCCATCGTAAACTGAACGACTCAACGGGAGGTGGGTTTAAAGTGGGGTAACGGTTGCTGCTTTACTCCTAAAGGGTTCAGAAGTTTCTGTCAAATGTAAAATTGTCAACATAAGTTTGACTTTTAGTTACTTATAGACGCGTATTGGTCGCCCTGGAAACCAAAAGTGAAGATATTTTACACTTTAAACTTCTTTATAAACAACATAAACTTAATATTACTCCAGGAACCAGGTCTTTTTATGTCGGTGTGCTCCTTCCTGCTTTCAAATTGTGAAAGTTTGAATGTTGTATTCGATCTCGATACTGAAAAGAAGCTGAGAAAACAGTTTGTTCGGATTTTTGGACTTTAAAAGTGTCATTTTAACGCGTAACTATAGCAAACGATCTTTTTCACTGTTTGCTGACACCGCGCAGTCGACATGTTTAAGTAACTAATCGATAAAACAATCAGTAAAATAATCGATAGGCAGTTGTGGTCGGTACTTGTAGCTCTGCCGTGTGATTGGCAGTGAGACATCGACTTAGAGAACACGGTGTGACAAAAACGTCTCACTCGCTCAACTAGTGTCTCCGTGTTACCCGACGAGACGTGAACGCAGCATCTGGCCAGGGGCGGGTAGGCGCTAACCGTGCAGTATGGCGGACGATGGAGACAGTTCGAGCGGACCAGTGGACACAAGCGGCGGGCAGGGGGCAGCGGATGAGTCGGACGGGCTCGGCCTCGGCGGGATGTTGCTGAATATCAGTATTTTGGTGCTGGTGGTGGCCGTGTGTCTGGCGGTGTACCGGCGGTGGGGCAGGCGGCTCGTCTCTGACGCGGCCGAGGGCGACGAGGCCTCGGCGCTTCCCAAGATGAGGAGACGGGACTTCACTTTGGAGCAGCTCCGGGAGTACGACGGACTCCAGAACCCCCGCATCCTGATGGCAGTCAACATGAAAGTTTTCGACGTGACCAGCGGCAAAAAGTTTTACGGGAAAAGTGAGTGCGTGGAGGGGGGGATCCGTGACAGTTGTGTGACCCGTGTCCGTTTGTGGTGAGCTGTCCCGAACCTCAAATTTGGGCGCTAACGTCTGTGTCTGTTAGCTTAGCTAGCTCCTCCGCTTTGTCTGTGTTTTTGAATGGGATGCTACCTGTTAGCTTGGTACGAGCGCGACGGTTCAGGGGTGTGACTCATGTGGTGATAACCCTCTCCTGGTCAAACTTTATTTATTCTATTAATAGTGAACAGGTGAAACTTTTCCGCTTAAGTTCTTCGGGTAAAACCGGAGCGCAGATTTTAACGAGCTAACATGCTAACGTTAGCCTGCTAGCTTGTTGACGTGCACATTAGACAGTCTGGTTGTCTGGGTTTGGACCCGCCGCTTGTTTACATTGATGAGACTCAACATGCGTGAATATCGGGAAGTTTTTCTCATGGTTTCACTTTTTAAAGACATTAATTAAGTTTAAACGTCCAAGAAAGACCTCTTTGCGAAATTAAAATGCGTAAAATAAAAGGCTTAAGTGGAAATATTAGTTTAAGATAATTAAGCGGTCGATTATTCGGACGGTTAACGGTCAAATCTGAACCAATTGTACTCAGCTCATACCTACTCAGGAAGCTGTCTACTATTGATCTAACGCCATATCTGGCTTAATAAAAACTCTGTTATAATATAGTATAGTGAGTGAGTATGAATATCGGGAAGTTTGCCTCATGGTTTCACTTTTAAAGACATTAATTGAGTTAAAACGTCCAAACAGGACCACTTTATAAAATTAAAATGCTTAAAATAAAAGGCTAAAGTTGAAATATTATTTACAGATAGTTAGTCGGTGGATTATTTGGATGGTTAACGGAAGGCCTGGGCGATTTGGCAAAAAAATGATCACAATATATTTTGTCATATCGTTTGATCTCGATTATTATCATGATTTTTTTTTACTGCCTGTTTTAAAGCATCTGTACTAAAAACTAAAGAAACTAGAGATTATTTTTTTACATTTTATCAACCTACAAAGTAAATAACAAAGAAAAAGATAAACTTAGAAAAATATAAAAAACATTTAAACTCAACAGAACAACAAATGTAGTTAAATACTAAATAATACAGTGAACTAGTTTACAGTCCTGAGTGTTTTAGCAGGTATGTAAGACCCAAAATAAACAAATGGCCCCCTCAGAGATAATGAAGACGCCTTTAAATGTAAACATTAGATGATGTAAACGTAGATGATACGATTGATTGCTTTGGTCTGGTGGCTGCACCGCTAGTTGTGGCTAAACTGCTAATGCTACTTGTACCCTCAGCAATGACAGGCTGTACAGACTCCGCTCGCATTTTTATGCTTTTCGCAGAATCACTCGAGACGTACTTCTTCAAATGATTGAACAGATTGGTTGTGTAGCTGGTTTTTGAGGGCACCGACCACTGACATACCTCACACATCGGCTTAATTACTCAACGTCACTTTGGAGATACCCGAACCACCGCCACACAACCGACGTTGAACAACTTCTCAACAATAACATCTTAGGAGGATGACTCAAAGTCATCCTCACGTTCGGTCATTCACAGCTGACAACTATCTTGCTGCCCTTAGCTCCGCGTTTAGCTCCACGTTCGATCATTCTGTTTACTTCTCCGGTAACTTACAGAAGTGAGCAGGAAAAGCTCGATTCTGATTGGTTGTTGTGACGCACATTTCTGCTATGTTTGATCGAGTAAATATGCTCACAGCTGATCAAAGTGATCGAACTGAAATTTATCACGATCATGTTATCGCCCAGTCCTACGGTCAGATCAATAGATCGCCAAAAGGGTAAACTTTTGAAAACTTTTTATCCCGCAGAGATACACGGTTTGGTTCCTGAGAAACAATCAAGCGGAGTTCGAAGTGTTAAGAACTGTAGGTCGGCCATCTAAGTGACCTGCTCCCTTATTCTTATTGGTATCGGTCATTTATTAATCTGTATTAGTCAACCACTTGTCTAGACCTCTTTGGACCAGTTCAGACCAGGTAGAGGTGTTTTGAAATATTTGGCATCAGCTTCTACTTTTGCTGACTAGTCCACAAAACCATCTGGACACACTGCAGGCAGTTATGATAGTGTCCCACCAAGGTAATAAGACACTATTGTTAATGCATTCTTACAAATAGATTAAATGATAATCAAATCTGAAGATCTGTCATTCAAAGTGTTTATAAACTCAAGTCTTGGTACTGTGGTTCTGACTCAGAAGCTTGTCCAAAAAAAACTGTAAAATTGTCCGCTTTTGCGTTTTCATACATAAAACAAACAAATCTTGAATCGTGTTTCATGAACTCTTCAGATCCACTTAAACATCTGATCCAGATCTGACAAATCTGGGCATTGTCGTTTCAGATCAGGGTTTGGTTTTTCTCACTTTACATGTAACACACTATGGGGGGTTGGGAATAAGATGTTATTTACAATGATGGGACTCACCAACCATGAACGCTGGGAGGTTTACCTCGTGGTTTTAGTTTGTGAAGATGTTAATTTGATCTAATTTCTCCATATTTGATTAAGCCAGTCCAAGTAGGGCCTCCTTATAAAATTAAAAAGCTAAATAAAACTCAGGGGAAGAGAGTAGGATATAAAAACAGATCTGACGGGAAGGCTGTTGAAGTCGTCTTAGACCCGTACCTGGTCATACAGAGCTGTTTGTTGAGATGGATGAGGGCCTGACTGTGGAAAAAGTTGGTTAGAAAACTTTCACCACATTGGAATAGTCAGCTTTACCGGTTCGACAGTAAATATATGCAAATATCTGCTCTTCACTCTGTTAGTGTCTGCCCCATATTTACTCCATTTCCTTACTCAAATATGACATTTTTCAGCCTGATACCTCTTTTCATGTATTTCTGCTCAACTATTCTTGCTCAGCGATTTCTCCAACCTAGTGAACTCACCCATCCACTCTGTAATCTGCTATAATTATTCCCACACAGTCTCGTATGTCACGTCTGCCATTCCTGTTTTACTCCGCCAAGAGAGCCGGAGCCAAGACCCAGAATCTATCCAGCTCGCTAAATTATGACACACATTTAAGAGCCCTGGGGGGGCGGCTTTGGCTGGGCCGGGCTGGATCTTAAATTGTGTAGTCGCCAAGACAATACACTTGCGAGTCTGTATGTAAACAAAAATGATGGAAATGTGGTTTATGACATATTTGTAATACCTTTAACTCTGTTATTTTCGCATTCTTGACGACCATAAACCTCAAGCTCACCCAAACTCTCTACAACCAAGCTGTCATTTTCAGCTGCACTGTGTCATTTCTTCACGAGTCACATTAACGAACTCAGATTCAATAAGTCTCTAATAATAGACTGACTTTGACGTGAATAAAACAACTGTATGTGTGCTGCTGCTGCTGCTGGAGTGTCGGAGATTTGCATGAAGTGCCTTCAGCAGTTTTATCTTGGAAAGGTTTGATCTTGTAGTTATGCAAGGTGGAGGCACATCTAATCTACGAGGCGATAAGACTCCTCGGCTTCGCGGTCGTCAGTTTGGACCGAGTGATTTTTTTTTTCTTCTTTCTTTCTGTTGCACAATTCTGAAAAGGAAAACCTGAAGCCGAGCGTTCACATGCTGATCAGATGATGTTCCTCCTGCAAGATGACTTCACATAAAAAAAGGAGAAAAGCCTGAATGTTTGTTTGGAGGTTTTTACGAGCAGTTTTTACTCCTGGTGCCACATTAGGAGAGCTCTCAGTAATAAACTCACACTGAACTGTAATCAGGGGGCATTTTAACCCCACTGTGACGTCTTATTCGTGGAAGTTTGAGCAGGAAAAACAAACAGGGCCGAGCAGCACTGGACCCAAACACGGATCAGAGTTTTTCAGAGTGAACGCTTAACTCCAGATGAGTAAGGACATCAATATTTAACTTTCTCTGCAGCGTCACACTTCCTGTTATCTCTCTGACCAATATGGGGCACAGCTCTGATACCAGGTTAGCTTGTGTTGATCAAATAAACAAATCTAATAACACAAAAAGTAGGACATTTTTAGGACCTACCAAAAGGAAGACCACAAGAACCAAAACAGAAAACAAACTTTAACCTCTGTAACCACCACAAAGAAGTTGGTGTCAGAGCAGATAAGTGACAGAAGCACGCTGAAGAAGAAGAAGGTGGTTTTCAGGATTTCACTTTTTTTCTTGTCTTTGATAGAGAAGAAGGAGATGACCAAAGTCTTTTTTTTCTTTTGGGATTTTACGGTTTTCATCAGACGGAGTAGGAATCTAAGTTCGGCCGCCCTCTTGTATGTTGAGCGTAGGATTTCACAGCTGAGTTAAAGCAGCGCCTCTGAAGTGTTTTCTGTGCTTTAGATTCAGTGTTACTTTATTAATATTTAGATCCGAGGAGTCATAATGAGGATTTAATTATCTGGCAGGTAAAAGTTTTTATAACTGACTGAAGAAAACTGCGGCTTGAAAGTTGAGACTCCGCAGACATTAAAAAACAAACCTTAAATTTCTAGTTCTGAAGCAAACATTTTTTTATGTCATAATAAAGAAAAAAATATCTTTTTATAAAATGAATTGCAAAACCAAAACACTATGAAACGCTCTGATAAATAATCAATAAACATCAATATTCTCTTTGTCCCTCTTTGGCAGATTTATTTGCAGCAACTTCAGGAATAATAAAGTGCATTTTATACAGTCAGATAATAAATGTAAACAAATACAAGTGCGGAATATTATTTTATGGCGTTGGAGAAAGCGCTCCGTTTCGAGTGTCGCTGGAGCTGCTCGCTGTCGCTCATCATACGCTGTGTTTTTTTACTCCATTAAAAATGTGCCATCTGCTCTACAGCCGCCTTTCCATCTAGGATCCTCCTCTCACACACCAGATCGCACACGCAACCAGGCGACGCCAAACCTTTCCGCATTCGGCTGTGAGTTCCCGTTCCCGTCTATCTGACCAATTTATCTAGTGGCCAGGATGAAAACTACTACATGTAAAATATAATATTCTGCACCTCGCCTTGTATTCCGCGGACTACTTTAATTTTAATTTTCACAGAGGACTTTGAAATCTACGATAATTTCCGCGATCAGGGAATCGAGGATTCCTGGAGGCTCTAATTACTGAGATGATCAGTCGGTCTTCCTGTGGGCGTGAAGAGCAGTAACCTACAGTATATCTACAGGATATATTTGTTTTTTATAACTTCATAAAAAAAATTAAAAATCAGCCAATTAATCGGTAATCAGATTTTTTCCCCCTGATAATCGGCATTGGCATCGGCCCCAAAAAATCCATATTGGTCAGGCCTTAGTTATAGCACTGTATAACTATAAACACTCATTAATGATCATAATGCTTTATAGTAATAATCAAAACACATTATAAAGCATTTTATCATGACTTACAAGGTCAGGTATTATAATGTGTTTTAACTGTTAACAACTCACTGACGATGCCCACATAGATAATGCATTATACATATATTTATAATGTGTTATAAACTTGTATAACTATCATTATAAACACTCATTAATTAACTGAAGGCTTGATAACAGTAATTATAAACATTATTATACCTGACCCTGTAAGTCATGATAAAATGCTTAATAATTGTGTTTTTAACTTTACTGATACAGTACTATAACTTGAATATAACACATAAGTATATTTTTAGTGCTTTATAGAGATAGAAGTCAAGTCAAGTGTGACCAAAACTTGTCAACAAACTTTTCTAGTTTCCTCTCATTCAGTTTTTTATCATCCTCTCTGCTTCAGTTCAGTTTCCTGCTCTTGTAAAACTCAGTCGGTCTCAGCTGTAGTTTAGGGGATGATGATGATGATGAAGAGGAGGAGGAGTGCGCCTCTCTGTGAACTCTCTGTATCTGTGTCACATTCATGTGGTTGATTCTCTGGCACCTCTTCATGTGAAGCAGCAGCAGGAGTCACATGACGTGAGTCAGTTATCTGCATGGGTGAACTTCCTTCACAGTTTTTAGTGTTTAAATTCTTGTTAAATCCGTTTGCTGCAGTCAGAGAGTCGAACCACACGAGGCCAAACACTGACTCCTGTGTCCTTCAAAAACCACTAAACTAAACTCACCCCACTCTTGATTTAGCCTGACTCCTGTGGTTCTCTTCTCACTCCTCAGACGGTCCTTACGGCATTTTCGCGGGTCGGGATGCTTCGAGAGGCCTGGCCACCTTCTGCCTGGATGAAAACGCCCTGAAGGATGAGTACGACGACTTGTCAGACCTCAACGCCGTGCAGATGGAGAGCGTGAGGGAGTGGGAGATGCAGTTCATGGGTAAGAGAAAATCGATTTGACTCAGATTTCACGGACACGGCCGGCATGTTCAGAGCATCTCCTGCTTCATCTCTGCAGAGTCCCATCTAAACATCTGCAGTTTGATGTAAATATAGTTCAAAAGTAAAGATCCAGCATCTGTAATTAAGGCTTTTATAAACGATAATCAGTTTATTATGCATTCTGGGGAAAGATTGTCTTCACTTTTAAAACAAATACATCTAATCAGTGTGAAGATTCCACTTATTCCCTTAATTCCATCACAGCAACAAGTGAGTAAATTAGGAGAGATGAGTCTGAGTTTTTGTATCATATCTGGAGGTTTTTAGAAAACCGTCTGTTTCTGTGACGTCAAACATTTCCAGAGCACTTCCCTTTAAGTGATTCAAGATGAGCTGCTGTCCTTTCGTCACTCTACCCGTTGTCAGTCAAATATTTGCACTTTTTTTATTCATTTTAACTCGTGAAACACACAGAGCAGAGCAAGAGAAACGGCTCTGTAGTTGTTTTTTATTTTAAACCAACAGACCGACAAAAACTCTGAGTTCCTCCAGTTTAACCCAAAAACCTGTTTCCTCAGATGCTGCGTTTGTTTGTTGCCTCTCAGCTCGTGTTTAGGTCAGGACCCTCTCAACAGGTGTGTTTAACCTTAACAGCATCTGTGTTATAAGAGGAACATAGAATGAAAGATAAACTCCTGAGTCTGTTACCTGCTGCTCAGCTCACGGCCTCCCTGAGACTCCCTGAGTTTGCCTCTGCGTTTGTTTGTTGCCTCTCAGCTCGTGTTTAGGTCAGGATCCTCTCAACAGGTGTGTTTAACCTTAACAGCATCTGTGTTATAAGAGGAACATAGAATGAAAGATAAACTCCTGAGTCTGTTACCTGCTGCTCAGCTCACGGCCTCCCTGAGACTCCCTGAGTTTGCCTCTGCGTTTGTTTGTTGCCTCTCAGCTCGTGTTTAGGTCAGGATCCTCTCAACAGGTGTGTTTAACCTTAACAGCATCTGTGTTATAGGTAGAAGATAAACTCCTGAGTCTGTTACCTGCAGCTCAGCTCACAGCCTCCCTGAGACCTGTTGAGGAGCTCTGAAGAAACAGTTTGCTTCGGTGTTTGTTTCTGTGAATCGTTGGTCTGTTTGTTTTTTTGAACCGAGGAGAATTCAGCTGCAGTACAACAGAAAGTATAAAAAACAAACTGTAACTGATGGATTCGGGTCTTTTTCTTATCAAACAAACTTCTCCTTCACTTATCTGATCGCCACAGAAATCTCTGAAATGTGCAGCTGAACCAAACTCAGGAATGAGCCGCAATGAAGTCGGACTAAAAATACCCTCTGCGGCCACATCTGCAGGAGAACAGTTAGAGCAGGAAACTCTGAGACGCCTCTTTTTAGACACTTTTACATGAGTTGCATAAATCTAACAGGAGCGAAAAATCCTGTTACGGGCTGTTCTTAAAATACAGGAGCTCAAAGCTGCTATTTCCTATCAAGACGAAGAGTCCTTTTTTTAAAGTGCTGGATGTCTAATTTTGGACTGAATCCTTTCTCAGTAATGCCGGGCCTCTGCTTACATAAATAACAAGCTTCTGGAGGCTCACACAGCAGGTCCGCTCCGTACAAATAACACACTTAGAGCTGGACCGATCTGAGCGAACAGCTTTGGAGAGGTTGGCGACCCCCAAACATCGACTGATTAATTCAAGGAAAGAGATGTGAGTGAATCACTCACGGCGTGACGTTTGCCACGCGGGCAAAACTTCAGGGTAAAAATGTGACTGTTCAGATGTCATCCCGTCTGAAACAGAGGAGTAAAATCACTGTTTTTTTTACTGTGTCATGAGTTAGGAAGGATATCAGCTGAAAAGAGTGACGAATACTCAGAGTGACGAAATCAAATCTCCACTCAGGATCTGTCTGAGTTTTTCCTCTAATTTGTCACCATGTGCTTTTTCAACTCGACTTTTTATACAAATCAAAACCCAAGAAAACATTTGACACATTCATCGTTTAAGAACATGATTTTTGTGCAACAGAGCAAAGTTTGTTTTGAAATTTTGCTTTAAAAAAAAAAACTTGTGTGATCTTTTATTTTACTAAAAGTTGCTTTTTTTAATCACAGTGGAAACTTTCGAGCGATAGTGCTTCATAGTGAAACCTGATCGTGCTGTGGGTGCGACAAAGTGATGCAAGAAAACAGACCCAGAAGGAAATCAAAACACAGACGCAGATCAGCTCACTCGAACCCTCTTATTTGATGTAGAGCTCTAAACATCAGACACTCACTGACCAATCAGGACGTCAGGAGCTGGGGGCGGGACATACAGAGGTGTATAAAGAGGGGAAAGCTGCAGGTGTGTGTGTGTGTGTGTGTGTGTGTGTGTGTGTGTGTGTGTGTGTGTGTGTGTGTGTGTGTGTGTGTGCGTGTGTGTGTGTGTGATGAACACACACTGAAAAAAGCAGCAGTATTGTGTTTGTCTCTTGTATCAGGTTAACGGTCATCATGTCTGATAGTTTGTTATCCAGAGTGTCGGAGTTAAACTTAAACAACCTCAGATAATGACTGTGAGGTTTCTGACTGAACGTTATCATATATGAGGATAATAAAAGGTGAAAGCAGAGTCTGGACCGGACAGCAGGGAGATAAAAAAACATCCAGATCATGTTTTTTCTTTTACCAGACAAATTTACACTAGAATTTAACTCCTGGGCTGTAAATAAATCTGCTTAAAGTTTATTTATGGTCTGCGTTAGCTGAATGAAAACTATTTTTCCCCTGTAGGTCGTTAGCAGAATAGTATGACGGAGTATTAGGGCCACATTAAGAGAAAAGAATATAAGACTTTGAGATTAAAGTTGTTAATTAACGAGAATAAAGTCGTAATAATATCATTATGATACTCATGATAATGTAGTGCTTAGGCCCGGATACCGATTATACCAGGAAAAATCGGATTACTGACTAATCGGCCAATTTCTTAAAATTTTTATTGAGTTATAAAAAATATATATATGTACTGTAGATATACTGTAGGCTGCTGCTCTTCACATCGACAGGAAGACTGACAGATAAAACTCGGACCACAAAAGCATTTTTAACTACACCCCCTAGTGGATGAAGATTGTCATGAGGTCGCTGCGCCATCTACAGGATAAGTCAGGGAACTTTTCAAATGGCGGAACGCTTTCAGAGTGAAACCGAATCTTATTCTCCGCATTTTATTTCTAAAAATATCGGTAAAAATCGGCGAGTTTTGGCCGACTAATGATCAGTCTCAGAGGGGCTAAGATTGGCCGATTTAATCGCCTCGCCGATAAATCGGTCGGGCCCTAGTACACACACCATGATACAGTAAGATTTAAAGTTAGCATTCATGAGCCCGACCTGCTCAGTTTCAAACATGCAGACTGCAGGAGAGGGTGTGATTGTGTGGAGGTTGTTAGTCTTTGATCGCACACTAATTGAACTTTTAAGTTGTAAAGTTTTCAAAAGTCTGACCAGAGGGGGGCGCTCTTTTTAACGTGATCCTTTCTTCTCGTCCTTTCAGAAAAATACGATTACGTGGGGAGGTTGCTGAAGCCGGGAGACGAGCCTTCGGAGTACACAGACGAAGAGGACATCAAGGACCACCTGAAACACGATTGAGCGGTTCCATCACTCCGACCAAAGCCAGGAGCCCAAAACAGCTGCGACAGACCGCCCCACCCCCCCCAGACCTCCTGCCGCACATTTACTCTGCCCCTCTCCCACCCCCCCAAACTCTTCAAACATCCCCCTGAATCTGTCTGCTGCCGCGGCCGTCCTGGACAGGGCAGGACTCGAGTCTCAACGCCCAGACCTCCCTCCCTTCTCCATCCTGCGAAGATTACCACGACGACGACGAGGGCGTTTCAACGGCGAAACAAACGTGTCTGGGGGTGGAGAAGAGACGTCGTGCCATTAGGTGTAATTGAAACGAAACCACAAAATATTTTAGTCATTTCTCCACGGGCGGGGGAGGGGGGATAGTGTGGTGATGGCCGCCGAGCGCTGTGTGGAGGTTGGTCAGAAGTAGAAACTCGCTGGTCAAAGACGATCAGCGGAATCGGGACGGGTAAACGGATTTCTCTCTTTTTATCGTTGGTTTAGTCACAAACTGCTTCAGCTTTCGGACAGCTCGTCAATCAGTCGTTTGTTTCTCTGTTCAAATCATTTCCCACCCCCCCCTCCTCGTTCGGAGGGCAGCGCTGCCGCCTCAGCAGTGCTGTGGAAATTTGCGGGGCGTCGCATTTTCCTGTTGTGTTTGTAGTGTATGCACTACTAGTTTTCTTTGTTTGTCACCATGTGATTGTAATTGTCGAGTAGCATAGAGGGAGGGAGAGCGGGAGGGAAGGTTGTTTTGTTTTTTTTGTTTTTCTTTCTTTTTCTTTTCGGGTCGGGGGGTTTGAAGGTCCTTTGCCATAAATCCTGTTTCGAATCACATCAGACGGACTGAATCACTGATCGGGAATACAAAAGGGAAGGTGATAAGGCAGTCCTAATCAATCCACTTCAATTGTTTACATGCCTCACAAGCCAGCTGCAAGTCTGTAGATTCCCCTGAAAAAATGGTCCAAGTATTAATTGTGCCTTATTTCGTTTGTCGTGTCAGTCCTGACCGTTCTAACAGAGGAGGCGAGAAGGAAGGAAGGAAAGGAGGAAAGGAAGAAAGGAGGTGACGTTTTTTTCCTAGACTCGGTCCCCCAGACTTTAAAGAAGGCATCCATACGTACGTACGTTCTGTCAGTCGTCCACGCACAGACTGTACGATCTCCCCACTATTTCACAAACTCTGTAAATAGTCCGTATGAATTACTCAGTGTTACTGCCATATTTATGTAGTTGATGAACTCCATATATGTATAATGCTATGTCGTATTGGCCAAAACCCCCATGTTTTTTTTTTATTTTGTTTTTTTTCTTCCTTTCAGTTCCGACCTTCTTTTTAAACGTGGGTGAATTTCCAAAAAAAGAGAAAACAGAAAGGGGGAGCGTTGCAAAGTGCTGCAGGGCGGGACCGGGAGCTGTTCTTGCGAATCTTTTTGTTCGGAGACATTGCTTATCCTGTAAATATATCTATCATTTTATTAAAGCATGTGCAACAAACAAAGTGAGCTATGCCGAATTTCCCACCACGTCATGTATTTAAATGTTGGGTGTGTGTGTGTGCGTGTCTGCGTGACAGAGGCAGGAAGGGATTTGTTCATGCATAATAAATTGATTTGGTTAATAATTGAAGACGTCTGAAATTTATTTGCTTTTAGGGACGCCGTGATTGAATCTCTGCCGGGAAAATGTTTTATGGTTCGCGATGAAATGTTTAACAGAGAGTGGATTTACTCCGGGAGTGTTTGCGGAGAGGGAAAAAACAAATATGCGAGATGGAGTGTCAAGGAAAGTGAAAAATTTGGAGGGTACGAATTCACAAAGTAGTCGCCCTGGTTTAAAAATGATCCCAAGGATGATGTGCTTTCCCGTTTCTCGAGAGCAGTGGTGGGAAATTGAACAGAAACCAAGAACAAAATGTTCAACGTTCACGCTGCTCAACGGCACATCTTTGGAAACTTGATTCATGCCAGATGAAGAGAAGCTCAAAACCAAGTTTGGAGAAGGGGGGGATAGAAAAAACAGACCACTGAGAGAGAGAGGAGAAGAGAGGAGGGGGTGTTTACGGCGAGCTGCAGTCCTCATTTTCTGTTTTATTGTTCATGATTTTAAAGCAGAAATGTATCGTCAAAGTCATGAAGTGTGCACGCAGAAGTATGCGCTCAAAATATGTCAGAGTGCATGTGTGTCAAAACCACAAAGTGGGAAAGAAAAGCTTCATTTTTTTAATGTCTGAAGTATCTAAGAGTCTGAAACAAACACTGAAGATCCTAAAAGACCGACACCAGCAAACAAGACCATCATACGCTCTTCAATTCTTGTTGTTTTTAATGTCTGAAACTGTTTCTATAGAGACTGTGTCCGATGAGAATAAGAGCACACAGAGCACCAATCACATACACAATATCAGCATGAAGGTAAGAGGTCACAGTTTGTCTACAGGGGGCGCCACGATCAAATAATTAAAAGTTCCTGATTAAAAATTTGAAGGCGGTTTGTAGGACGAGTCCAAGTGTGTCTGAACATGAGGAAAATGTGAAGTGATGTGTGGAATCAGCATGGAAAATAACAGTAAATGTATATTTGTAGACAACTCTCTGTATGTAGAGCAAGTGAAACCACAATCTTTGAGGGGGTGTCTAACTGGGTGTTACAGTGTGTTTGACTCTAACTTAATTTTACACCAGAATATCCCTTTAAGTTATGAATGTTTAGTGTTATTAGTTTAATTTCAGAAGTGTTTGGGGTCATAAATACCATGGTCTAAATGAAATGTTTAATATCTACAATCAGAGAGTAAAAACGTTTTTGTAAAATAAAAACAGTCCGGCTAAGAACAAATGTCCTATATTTTTAGAAAGCAGTATATTTGTGTAAATGGCAGACCTGAAGAAACCCAGGAGGGCACCCCACCAGGTGAAACCAGGTCAGTGAAACTGTTAACAACTCTCAGGTGACCAACAGATGACCAACAGAGGATATTAACGTCCAACTTTGGCCGCAGTCACTTTAAAACTCAAGAAACTTTGAGGAAGAGAGGAAAAAAGGTACGGTGGTCAAGAACTACCACTGCTGGCCTAACCACATGACACATTGAAAAAATTACGGCGCAAAATTAAACAATAACCTTTCCACTAACTTCTTTGCTTGTCTTCTTGCCATCGTCTTCTGTACCTGGATTGTAAAATGCCGGTGCATCATCATTATTGGTCTCCCACAGCTCACTTCCATTGTGGCTTTTTTTGTTTTTGCATTCTTTTATTTTCGGAATTAAGTGACTTGTTTTTTCTTTTTTTGTATCGCCACTTTTTTTTGTATCGTTAATTTCCATTGTTTTTTTATCTGCACTGTTTCTTTTTTTATTTGCAGGAAGCTTCAGTTCCTTTTTATTTATTTATTTATTTATTTATTTTGAATCGCCACCTTTTTTATGCATCATTAATTTCCATTGTGGCTGTTTTTTTTTGTTCGTTTTTTCGCTGTCGTCCTCTGTGCCTAGATCATAAAACACTGGTGCATCATCATTATTGGTCCCAGGGAGCTCAGTTCTGTTGTGGGTTTTTAAAAATTTGCATCCTTTTATTTTCGCAGTGAGTAACTTTTTTTTTGTTTAATCACCTTTTTTTGTGGCTTTTTTTTACCTTCACCGTTTAGTTTTTTATTTGCAGTGGGATTCGTTTTCTTTTTTTTTCATTGATAACTTTCATTGCGACTTCTTTTTTTTTTTTGCATTTGTTAAATTTTTTTTTATTTATGTATTTATTTATTTTATTTGCAGTAGTGACGGTTCTCGGCCGCCATAGAAACTTCTTCAAGAACCTCAAACAAGTCCAGCTGCCCTGTAAACGAGGGGTAGTTCACTGACCAGCTCAACAGCGCCCTCCTTGCATCCCCGGATGATCCCGGAACTGCAGCGTCACACTGAGTAATACGTGGGTCTCCGTGAGTGTGTGTGTGTGTTAGATGGTCGCTCTTGTGGCTTATCGACAATCGGAGAGATGCTCCAGAACTGATCACCGAGAGCAGGATCGGAGATGCTGAGTTTGATCCGCTGATGATCCGCCGACCATTTTACAAAGACAGCGGTCCGTGAACACATCACCGACATCTTGGCTGGAAACTCCCCCTAAAATCCTCCGTTTTCCCGAGAGGACCGGCTCATCTTTGAGGCTGTTCCAGACACCATCACCGGGTTAGTGATGCTCGAACAGACGAGGAAGAATAGTGTTTATTAAGATCCTGAGGATTTGAACCTGGTTAATTTTGTGTTTCTTTGTGCAGTGATGGCAGAGCATCTGTCTCAGAGTGAGCTCGACTATCCATTCAAACTTCTGGAGTATTTTAACGGATTCAGGATCTCAAAGGTCTCATTTAAACCTTCACATTTAATCAGTATTTAACTCACAGAGGTGCACTTTCTGCTATTATTGTGTTGCTTTGTATAAATACACTGGATTTGGTTGTTAAATTGTTTGTGTTCAATGTATCCAGGGGCGTTATGCAAATGAAATTTTGGGGGGTGGGGCCCCAGTAAGAGTGGGGGCCTTTCTCAGAAAAAAATAAATAAATAAAAAAAAATAATTTTCAGTATTTTTTTTAACAGCTATATTCAAAGAAACAGGGGCTAGTAGTTTATTTTCGGTCAAGAGGTGTCATGATTAAGTTCTGTACACCATCATTCTTGCCAAAATCTGCTTTTGTTGCCTCTGTCAGCAAAGTTAATCTAAATTTTTACTATATTTTTTGTCTTTTTCTATTAACCTTTTAAGTTATACTTAAAAATATGAAGGTTTTTGGAGGGCAGGCCTTAAAAAACCTTTTGACAGCTAGCTGTTTTTGGTTTGTTTTGGATAATGCAACAATTTGACTCAACTCAAATGTTTAATAATAGTTAACATTTGTCACTTTACCCCCTCAGGTGATATTTTCAGCCTGTGAACTGGGCGTGTTTGACCTCCTGCTGAAGTCCCAGGAGCCTCTAAGCGCCCAGCATGTCGCCCGGGAGTTGAACGCCAGCGTTGACGGGATGGAGAGGCTGCTGGACGCGCTGGTGGGCATTGAGATCCTGGAGGTGGAGATGTCGGGCGGGACAGGTGAGGAGAAGGAGGATAGAGAGGCGATGAGGGGGTGATATTTGCTAATATATTAGTGTACGGACATATGGAGGCTCATGGTGGGGAATGAAGTCAGGAGAAAGTCTGAGCTGGAAAACTGATCAGCTCTGGTTTTGAGTTTCTGATCGATTCATCTCCGGTGCAAAGACACTAAAACACTTGTATGTCTTCATGCATGACCGCAGCGATCGAAGCGGATAACCTCCTGATTTAAGGCCGTTAAATGTGAATTTCTCTCCATAAATCAGCTCTGTACAGCAGCAGCGACGTGGCCAATCTGTACCTGGCCAAAGGCAGCGCCAAGTCTCTTCACGACATGATCATCTACCAATCACAGACCGTCTACCCGCTGTGGAACAACATGGTGGACGCCGTCAGGTCAGAGACATTTATCAGCTTCTGTGCTCTTCTCTTAGTGATTTATAAACCATAAAAAATGGACTTTAACTCTACGGACGTTCTAGGATTCAGCGTTAAACTCTGGTGATGATATTTGACGTCCTGCCCAAAATATTTACCTTCACAGCTCTTAGATCCTCCGCTGAATAAATCAAGTAATTCAAATTATTTAAGAGCCTCGAGGCAAATTCTGCGCCTGAATAGACCGACATGTTTAACCTACATTTACCAGCAACACAACAACAAACAGCGAACCCAGCCAACTGGATTTAGCTTCATTTGGAGATGATTTCCTTTAATTATTAACATGATCCTGCACAATTGGGAGGAGAAATATCACATGTATGATATTTCCTCTCATTCTTAAAAAAAAACACATTTTATTGGGCGAACTTTGCATGAGGTGTCGGGATGCTGCTGGTCTCCTCTTGGTGTTTAAGTGTGATTGTGATATATGAGTGTAAAAGCAACAGGTGGATTTCTCTGTCTGTTTGTGGCAGTGAAAAGTAGAAAAAGGCTGAAGATGATAAAGGTGAGCTATCGGCCTCCAGAGCTTCTGTGCCTCTGAGAAACTAAGATAAAATCTTCTACATGCAGGGAGGGGAAGAATCAGAACGAGAAGACCTTCGGGATTCCACCAGCCGAGGTTTTTCAGGCTATTTACAGGTGAGTGTGGATACAGATCGATTAATCATAAAATGATCAGACTTCAGTTTGTAAATCTTTGATTTTTGATTTGTGTAAATTTCACCCTCAGATCAGAAGAGGAGATGCTGAAGTTCATGGGTCTGATGAACTCTGACTGGGTTCTGGACGGACACGACATCGTGACGGCGTTTAACCTCTCCTGTTTCCAGAGTATCGTAGATCTGGGAGGTAAGAGGTCATCAGTCTGTGGGTGAAATGTTGAAGATATTTGGGTCGAACAAACCGTCTCTTTGGATTAAATTAGAGAAAATTTAGACTTGACCTTTTATACATGTTACTCTTTCTCCCAGGCTGCACTGGCGCTCTGGCTCGTGAGATTTCAAAAGCGTACCCGACCTCCTCTGTGACGGTGTTTGACCTCCCGAGAGTCGTGGAAACAGCTCAGAAACATTTCACCCAGGAGGACGACACCGTCGAGTTTCAGACAGGTGGGCTTAAAAAAAACTCAACTGTCTTTTACATTTAGGCAGATAACTCAGACAAGACTAAACTGATGTTTTATAAATTCTCTTCTTTGAACAGGTTCTTCTCTCATGAATTTGAAGTAACCGAAAAGTAACCTAAGTAAAGTGCAGTTTAGAAATGTAATATATACATATGACATATAAATAGCATATATAAAAATAAATAGCACGCAGTCTGAAGTAAAAGTTAAAATGCTCTTCGATCTCATTTTTTAAATGTTGAACACTCAGAAAAACAGACTCAGACCTCGTTTGGTGGAGAGTTTAGGACGCACAAAAACAAATTTGTTGGACAGAATTTCCACACCAGTATGCAAACTCTGACCCGTGTGTAAATGCATTTTGAAAACTGGTAAAGAGAGTCACTGAGGAGAGAATTTAAAGTTTATTTTGATGCACTTTGCTAATTTAATTCCATGAAATGTCACCAGAGAGCAGAATAAGAGGCTATAGTCTGTGTTTTAATGGTAAATAGGAGTATCTTAAAAAATGTGGAGTATAAGTGAATAAAAAGTTCATGCACAGAGGGATGACTGACTTTTACCTGCAGGAGATTTCTTCACTGATGAGATCCCTCCTGCTGACCTTTACGTGCTCGCCAGAATCATCCACGACTGGCCTGAGGAGAAGTGTTTAATGCTGCTGAAGAAGATCTACGACACCTGCAAACCAGGCGAGTCTCTCTGCAGAGAAGTGTGTTCACTGGTTAACCTGTGACTCTATTTTTAAAGTCCACCTGACTGGGATCGTACTCTGATATGTTGGTTTTTAATTTTAGTAGATTTAAGTTGAATCTAAAAGCCTAAAACAAAAGCTGACCGATGCTGTGCTCCAGCCTCAGCCTCTTCTGCTCCGAGTTTGAAACGTTCAGGAGGTAAAATCTCTGCTGGAGAGGTTCCAGTTCATTTCCTGAGTAATTTTAAGAGACCCTGCAGCGAGACTCCTGACCTTTGACATCCCCCCTCGCTCGCTCGTGTGTCTAGTTCAGTGTGCACCTGTGTGGATGAAACAAGCAAAGAGGATATTTAATTTCCTCTGTTTCTACTGGTCCATCCAAACCTTCTTTCTTTCAGTACTTTAATCCGTGTTGGTCGTCCCGGCAGGTGGTGGAGTCCTGGTGGTGGAGGCCATGTTATTCGAGAACAGACGAGGTCCCATCATGGCTCAGATCTTCTCCCTCAACATGCTGGTGCAGACCGAAGGTCGCGAGCGTCCGCCGTCTGAGTACAAGAACTTGCTCACCAAGACCGGCTTCAGCAACGTGCAGGTGTGCCGGACCGGGAAGTCGTACGACGTCATCCTGGCCACCAGGTGAGCTCAGACTGAGAGCAGGACGGTCGGAGGAGCGGCCGTCAAGTCTGGGAAAACAAAGGAAGTTATACTTGGAGCTTTTCAAGGCCTTGAAAGGTTTGAAAGTGGACTTTAAAATGTTTAAGCTCTGAAAAAAAACTATTCAACTCACGTAGAAGTCCAGTTAGAGTTTTGGTCTGACCCCGTCATGTCTTCAGAAACCTTAATAACTAAATACAAACTCTCCAGGTCTTATCTGCAAACACATTAGTTCATATTTGTAAAGAAAAAAGTCAGACTGCTCCTTTAAACTGAGTTTGTGTGAAGATAAAACGATTGTAATCTCTCTTATGTCTGTAAATTTAAAGCTACAGCCAGTCAGATTAATGTCACTTTTAAAAGATAAGGAGAGGACATTTTGTCAATTAACAAAATCAACAATAATACAAGAGGTACTATTCTGTCCGCAGGGGGCGCCAAAGTCAACACAGGCAGAAAGTTCCTCACTGGAGCTTTAAGAACAGCTCAAATTAAATTAAAATACACAAAAAAACACAAAACTACAGCAGCATGAGTAAAAGTAGTTAGTTATTTTCCACCCCTGCTCCTCTGAAAGACTCTGAAATTGCACTGATACTTTTTAAAAAGTGTTTTGTATTTGATTTTAACTGACCTCAATTTTAAGGTGTTTTTATTATTATTATTTGTTCTTTTTATTGGTGTGCTGAAGATACCAAATGCTGCTTGATATCTGCTTAAAGCTCCTGTGAGGATTTTTTAAATAGTGATTTAACAGAATGTCAATAATAGAAGTTAATGAAACCATCAGTGCAAGAACTGAATGTTTGTTTTTGTTATTTTTAACGTCTGGAAACTCTTGGTAGGGGGTAGGTGTCACATTTCCTACTTCAAAACATCGTTATTTGACTTAAAAGACAAGACATATATAAGAAAATAGTTACCACTTTGTCCACAAGGGGGCGCCAAACCAACACAAACAGAGAGTTTCTCACAGGAGCTTTAATGTGTCACATTTTAAACTCATCATACAGGGTATCAGATCGGGTTTCAGGTTCATCTCTGGATCACTTCTCTGTGAATATCTGAGCGCTGCAGCATGAAGACCATCTGTAAATAATAATGTGTACCTGTAAGTTCAGGAAAAAAATGATCCACCTCATCCTTATGCAGTTTTACAGGGTGAAAATGTTCCTGAATTTTGAACTGAGTAAAAAAAAAGGTGTGTGTTGTGTGTGACTGTGATCTGAGCCTTTCCGTTCACTGTGATGAGTTCAGGGTCCCTCTCAGACTGCATGTGAAACAAAAGCTCGGTTTACCTCCATCACTCCTCTACTGGTGTTTTAACAATTTCTCATTTAATATCTGTTACTCTGTAAACTTCTTTGTTGCACTGGTTAAAGAAACATTACCTGTTTATCTATTTTGAAGCTCTCAGCTGTTGCTACATTAAAAACACACTGGACAACAATAGAAAAGGAACATACAACATGATTTACTGTGTACTGGTTTTTGTGATTTGTGTCATACATGAAGTGTAAGTGCATATTGAAACTGTCCTTTTTGTTCCATCTCATGATACATAAACTACATTTCTTACCACTCCACATTTGTTGCATGCATTTTCTCATTAAATCTGAGTGAAATCATCACGTTTGTTCTGTTTTCTGTCAGAATATCATGTGTAAACGACCAGCTGGTGGATAAATATACTGCAGTGGCTCTCTTTACTGCAGGTTCATTTTTAGATTCATGTAGCCCCTGAAATGGCTCAGATAATAATCCACTGTGTCAGAAATGTTTTAATATATTTGAGTTTTAAAAACAGAAGAAAACAGATTTCTTTATTATGAATGAGCACACCGTTAGGAAGATTTAATTATTTTGTTGTTTGTCCATAATTAATGACAAATACACACACTCCTTTACAGTAATAGAATATTTGCTGAGTCAAGGGTTGACATTTGTCCTGTGGCTATTTGAAGAAGCTTAGTTTGGGTGGAGCTACGGTGGCCCTGAAGGTCAACTATATTTCATGAACACGCACAAAAAAAGAGATTCACTGAAAAACAAAAAATAAATAAAATAAAAATGTGCAAACCCCAATATTTTATGAAAGCTCAATATTTCATAGAAGGCCAAACCACTTCAGAAAAATAACACCAAATTGATTTTATAATTATGGAAAATCTTTAATTATCAAGAAATGTATTATCCCAAGATTATTAGAATATTCTATGTCAGACAAATTTACTCTGGTTTTCTGATTTAATTAAATAATTATGTAATTAATCCAGAAAAACTCTTCAGTTTTTTTTTTCAGTGAATATTTCTGTGTTGCATTGAATATTTCATCATTTTTTGAAATATTTTGTGTTTTGTAAACTGTTTTAAGGTTTCATGAATTATATTTCAATTTTGAGAAATGTCTGCACTTTAAGATATATATTTGGATCACTACATCAAAGAAATCGTAGTTTTGTCTCTAATTCGTGTATCTGCATATTTTTAAAGATGTTGTTCATTCCTGCAAACCAACAAAATGAGTGTAAACAGAACTGTCTTGATAATATAGCATGCCAAAAACTGGTCTCCTATGGATAATTAATCACTATAAGACTATTTATCAGGAGAATTCAAACGTATTTATTTGGCTCTAATACTCATCTTTTTTAACTCTAAGTTTCTTTATCCTTTAATTTCTGGGTGGCTCAACGTACCCCAGTCTCCCCTACTTCTCGAGCAGCTGCTGTCAGAGAGTTTTGAGTGTCCTGTCCCTTTAATAGATAAAACAGCCTCTGTGTGTTTACTTGCCAGAGGAGGGAGTGACTGTCAGTCAGTGGAACAGCCACGTCACGCGCACTTTGGATATTTGACTCACATTTTGTTCGTTTTCGCTTAAATTAACTCCCAGATAACGAGGTTCGGGACCAGAACTCTAAAGAACCACTCCGGTTTAATAAGGTTTTCCTCTGATAGTTCTTGGAGGTGTTGGATCCGTGGTCCCGGTTCGGAGGTTTCTGCTGCCCTCTAGCGGCCTTCAGGAGGCTGTTCAGCCCGGGCTCGGTAACCTCCTCCCCGGCCGCCTCTCTCTCTGTGTTTGTGTATGTGGAATGCGGGTCAAGCGGAACTCACGGCAGAAACTGCGCTTCAAATCTCACTCAAACCCCGGCGTGCATCTGCCTGGCGTGCTCTGTATGTACTGTCACATTTATCCTCAACTATACACCTGTTTCTGTCATGATGTGCAGCTCTCTCAGAGGGTTCTGTGGACGGGTTTTGGACGGGTTTATACAGCCCTGCTCTGGTCGCAGTCCGCTAGGAAAACGCGACATCGTCATTTAAAATGGCGCCAAAGATTAACCTCAGCCAGTGGAGCGCTGCTTCAAAATGCCACACCGTGCCCTGCTGGTTCCGAGTTAAGATATCAGTGCAACATTTCTGCTGTAATTATCATTTTTAAAGGTGTGTTTACGTTTGCTCCAGGTAGTTAAACCGAGTCAGTTATTGACCCCTAACCTTTGACAGATACCCGGGACGGTGTGGTTTAATGTGGGGCACAGCTAACGAGCTAACCGCTGATACCAACCAGGAATAACGTCAACCCGACGTCGCTGCGTCTGATTAAAAACATACATTTTAAACGAGGAATTAATCCGATTTAAACAGTTGAGAGTTTATTTTAAGCACTGCGTGAAACCCAGTTAAAAATATTCCCGTTATAAACAACATTTCCAGTGGAGTTGCCGGGTGTGGGTGGGCCGCGTGTTGCATAACGGTAGATGGGAAAACTCGCTCGGTGGCTAACGTTAGCCCGCTATAATACGCTGTTTATTAACAGGACTGCACGACTTTACCATGATCGTGACTGTAGATTTTGCTAAGTTTACACGAATAGATAAATCACTTAAACGCGTGAGTGTATTAACAGGGGGATAGTGGGTGTAAAAGTTGTTTTGCTAACGTTAGCGGCTAGTTAGCTTCATATCCTGACGGCTGGAAAAAGGGGCGTCACACCAACAGGAGTTAGCCCGCTGTTAGCTGAGTTAGCCCGGGTAGGGGTGAGCGCCTTTCCCCCTTATGATCTCTCCGTGGAGAGTCTAAAATGTTTCCACCTCTTTGTAGTTTCTGGCTTTTGCACACTGCAAACTCAGAGTGTTGTTTATAGTCAGTGATACATGTGCTTACAGCTTGTTGTCGCTGCTAAACAGTGAGTTGGTGTTGTGTCGTTCGCGAACGATTCGTGCAAAAGAACCGAATCTTCAAGCGAGGCTGTGTCCGAAACGAATCACTTAATCCCTAACCCTCATATGGGGTTTCACTATATAGCTGACTATGTAGTGAGAGCAATTACAGAAGGTTTTGGACACTACATGGCAGTGTTGTTTTCGCTGACGTATGTTCGTCACGTCATAATATTTTTTCAGTGCCCCTTTTTCCACAACGAAGACGTGACGTTGACGAGCTAAACATGTCTTAGATGACTAAAATGTGACGAGACAAATGTGCGTTTACGTTGACGAGTTCACAAGATTTGGTGATTTGTGATTTGGTGAACGAATCTTTTGAACAAATCTTTTTAGTGAACTGATTCTAGTGATTCAGTACATCTAAAAGAAGCCACCGTATGAGAATTGGGTGGTTGTCAGATATGGACCTTTAGTTATTTAAGTTCGTATTCCTTTATTACTTATATTAACTCTGTTTGTGACTGTTAACATCTTGTCCATTATCCTAACGAGTGCATAAGAACAATTTAGTTTTTCTGCAACATCTTTTCTGCAAATAACTCTTTACATAACATGTTATTTTCACTCCCTCGTGTTTTACACACAGCTGTTTTTGCCTCTGTAGTTAACTCTGATGTAGTCCTTATTTATTTTATCATCATGTCAGTAATATTTCTTGACTTTTGCTGTTAAATTGTGCAAAACAACTTCTGTAAACTTATATTTTTAGCATTATCAGAAATACAAAAGTGTCATTCTCAAATCTAATGAATCAGTTCAGAACTAGACGGGCTGCAGGAATTTAAGACCCAAATTATTTTGTACCAATCGATGCATAAATATGTGTTTAAATGGTTGAAATCTCATGTTAAACTGTGCAGGTGCATGCTCTCTGTGTTTTGACTCTTAAGTGTGCAGAATAATCCGTCAGGTTCACTGTCAGATGTTGTGATATCATGTTTTTCAGTTCAGATTTCATCATTTCTGCATTTTTTTCCGTTATGTAATCAGTTTTGTTTTATTTTAACCTCTTCTCTGTTTTGTTTAGTGTCCTTAAGCCAGAGCCTCGCAGACACACAACAATGAAGAGAAGCAGGCACCCGAGCAGCAGCGATGACTCCGACAATGGAAGTAAGCAAAGTAATGTCTGTGCTGACTCACTCATACTCAGTCCAAATATAGACCTGAATGAGGTCAGTACGAGCCCGCCACCTTCCTCAGTTTCACTCAGAAATTGCAGAGCAGCACTGTAACTTTGCCAACTTGAAGAGTTCTGACAGTAAATTCCTACATGGGGAAAAAAACAAAGATCATGTTTATGAAGGGGTTTTCTCCAGGCTCTTCTCTTCCTCTTGAAAACGTGTCTTCACTCTTGTGCCAGGAAATGTGTATTTATGTGCAAGAAAGAGGACAGCAGAAGGAGGTCAGATTAAAGAAGAAGGAAAGGAGGCGTACAGGTTGAGAGACAGGAGACAGAGTAGAGACTGGAGGCCCATTAGGACCTTTAAAAACACCCCGGCAGGTCAGAAAGAGGAGCTTTAAAAGCTGCACAAGACCTGAGCTGAAGAGCGCTTTATTATATCTCATGGACTCATTGAGTAAGCTGTTAATGAGTGAAAATCAAATTAAGGTTCAGAGACATCTAAACAGACTGATGGGTTATCTGGAGCTTTCATTTGAAGCTGTTATAAATAAAGGTTTGGTTCAGGATATCAAGGTCCCACAAAGGTGCTACTGTCTGTTTTTAGAAGCAGCTTAAACTCAAATCAGAAGTGAAATCAGAAAACTCAAGATGTGCCGTTTTGACTATTCAAATGAGCCGGACGACTCGGGGAAATCCAGACACACATTTGGAGACGTTTGTTAGAGGAAATGGAGAGACGTCGAATAATCTGTGGTGATCTTCCTCCTCCTCCTCCAGGTAACTCCACCTGCTGGTCCCAACATTCATCACAGCCCAGGAGGGGGACCGGGCAGAAACCCTCAGAGGTAAGACCAACAGAAAGAAAATTATCATTTAATTGAAATATTCAAAGGAATAAGTCAGTTTATTATTTTATTTATAGTATGAATACAGTCTTAAAGTTCTGTTTTTATCGTCATAATTTCACCTCGGCCATCATAATCAAACTGCCGCTCCTTTAGGCAGAAACTTAGCAGCTGTTATCTGCTGTACAGTCTGTGGACTTGGAGCCTGCAGGCCACTGTACACGCCCTCAAACTGAGAGCCAATCAGATCAAAACAAAACATTGACTCCAGTCCAAGCAGGATCCTGATTGGCCGATTCTTGCACGGCTGTGTAAACACAACGTGGTACTTTTTAACCCTACAAACGCTGATATGAAGCAACTGCAGAGGGAGAGACTTTGTGTTTATTGTAGTTGTAAACATGTTTATCTAAACTGTTTTTATGAATCATTATAAATAAGCGACATTATTCTGTTTTGTTTCTTTGAGCTTCAACAAAGTTTCCTCGACCGACTCCAAATTCTGTTCTTCTGCTGCAGGTTTTTAGGACAGACCTGATCACCGCCATGAAAGTGCACGACTCGTACCAGCTCAACCCAGAGGAGTACTACATCCTCGCCGACCCGTGGAGGCAGGAGTGGGAAAAGGGGGTCCAGGTCCCCGTCAGCCCCCAATCCATCCCACAGCCTGTCGTCAGGTCAGACTAAAGAAATCTGCATCTTTTCTCACAGGATCCAGTGAATTGATGAGTGCGGGTTTGTAAAGTGTGTCTCGTCTGTGCGATGCAGGGTGTTGGCAGAAAAAGAGAAGGAGGTGATGTTCATCAGGCCAAAGAAGCTGATCAGGACGTCGGGGACCGAGGCGTTGGGCTACGTCGACATCCGGACTCTAGCAGAGGGAATGTGCCGCTACGACCTCAACGAGGAAGACGTGGCCTGGCTGCAGAGCGTGAACCAGGAGTTTGCAGAGATGGGTGAGTCAGTGACGTGAACCCTGAGACAAATATGGCCGACTTTAAGGAGACCCGGTTTCACCTTCGTTATGTCAGTCCAGGACTCTCAAACTGGAATCTGTGAAACTTTCATTCCAGCACTTTTCATCCTCTGCCTGTTTTTCCTCTCATTTAAAGTGAGACTCAGCTTGTGGGTCGTTAGTTTCTTTACAGCTTTGTTGTTATTAAACAACAGGAAAGTGACACCTCAACAAAAATGGTCCAAGATCAGCTGTTACCAGCGGCTCTATCTTTGTTAGCTGCTGGTGTAGTGTTACCTACAGCGTGTGCTTTTAAGCCTTCATGGAAGACAGCCCCAGGTTTTAACAGCAGCTGAGGCACAAATCCTGCTCGTTTTGGCCTCTCGTTACAGAAAAATTATCAGTGAAGTTTCAGACAAAAACGTCGACTTTGTGGCCGTTATTGTCCTGAAAACATTAAAACTTCCAAGAGCGTTCAAAAGCAAGTTTAAAAGAGATAATGAATCAAAAAAGTGCAGAACAGAGGTTTAGTTAAAAAAAAATAAGAATAACTTAATTATTATGACTTTATTATTTTGCTATTATTTTTATTTAGTTTGAAAATAAACTAAAACAAGGATCAGTAAAGTAGGTCTCCTTAAACAAAGACAGCATTCCTTAGATATTAGTGCGTTTCTACAGAAGCACATTGCATTCACCAAAAAAAAGAAAGCTCAGTTTTTCAGAGTATTTATTTTCTTGCTTTGTTTTTCAGACTAATTGTTTTTCCTATCATGATAATTTAAAAACAGACGCTTTCATCCCCCTCTGCTGGGTTTATTGGCCCACATGTTCAATTTAATCAAGTTTTACTTTCGTTTGGGTTTGAGACACTCAGAGATCCTCCTTTCTTTAAGTCAGACAGATGGAATCATCATTAGTTTGTCTTCTTTGCGTCGGCACTTCAGGATTTACAAACCCTATGTTTAACTAATAATACGCTTTACTCCCATTGATCCTGTAGTCAAAGTTATCTAGGAGCTGGAGAATCCACTGATTCGGAGCAGCTGTGGTGGTTAACGTTATCTGACTGTCTGAGATTCTCGCAGGATATCTCGCTTAGTTAGGAAAAAAAAATGTCCAAAATACAGAAAGACAAAAAAAATAGTCTGAAAAACAGAAAAAAAACAGTCATTGCAAGTTGATACTAAAGTTCTTTGTCATAGTTTAGTTTAAAAAAATGTTGCTGGATGTCTGACAAACATGTAGAGTTTTACTTTGTCTCTCTATTCATGTCTGTCTCTTTTTACAAAGTTTATTTAAGTGAGGCACAGAGTCGAGTTTTATTCAGTTTATGAGCAGTTTAATCGAAGTTTATCTGAAGAACTGAGAACAGAATAAAGTCAGAGTTTATTCAGAGTCGAGGATTCAGAGTCTTTTTTTAACCTTCTTTTGACCACATGTTTGTGTCGACTACATTCTGCCTCTTTCTTTGGGTCTTTATGGTTCGATGACTCACAGCAAACCTGTAATTAGCTGTAATTTCAGAGTTTAGTCGGTCGGGTTATCTCCAAAATGTCCGCTTGTTAAGAGAGCTTTTAGAAAATGTTCACCGTGACTTAAACTCGTAAACCTCCCCCCTCCTGCTCCCTCAGCCTTGCCCCCGCTGGACGAGATCACCGTGGAGCGCGTGATGGAGGAGTTTGAGCGCTGCTGCCATGACAACATGACGCACGCCATGGAGACGGAGGAGGGGCTGGGCATCGAGTACGACGAGGACGTGGTGTGTGACGTCTGCCAGTCGCCCGACGGGGAGGACAACAACGAGATGGTGTTCTGCGACAAGTGCAACATCTGCGTTCACCAGGTCAGAGGTCAAAAACACACACGCACACACACACACACGCTCATTTAACCAGCTCTACATGAGAGGAAAACGCCAAATGAAGTTAAAGTCTCAGCTGATGAGACGTTTTAGTCGGAGTAAAAATCAAACTGAAAGTGACTTTTCTCACAAACTCTCTGTGGTGTTACATTTCTGTCTGGACGCTCAGCTGGGATCTATTTGCGTTTTTCTCGCCAGGCGTGTTACGGCATCCAGAAAGTCCCCAAAGGCAGCTGGCTGTGCCGGATCTGCGCCCTCGGCATTCTGCCAAAGTGCCAGTTATGTCCCAAGAAGGGAGGAGCCATGAAGCCGACCCGGAGTGGAACCAAGTGGGTCCACGTCAGCTGTGCCTTGTGGATCCCAGAGGTGAAGGAAACATCCGCTCGTTTGGGTTTGACTGTGTTTTTATGAGACGATTTAACAGGCTGAAGTTGTTTCCTTCAAATAAATGAGCTTAGATTTGTTGTTGATTATACGCTGAACAAAAAACGCGGCAAAACAACAAAGCACAGACGCTGCACAGGTGTCCTTTACTCCTCATGACTCAGTGAAAACAAAGATCCATTTTCTGTGTTTGCTTTTCCAAATGAGTCAACACCACCTGTGCTGAAACGTGAGCCACACGTGCCTCTCTCTCTCTCTCTCTCTCTCTCATCATGATGTTTAATCTGCCGCGCAGGTGAGCATCGGCAACCCGGAGAAGATGGAGCCGATCACCAACGTGTCCCAGATTCCCAGCAACAGATGGGCTCTGATCTGCTGCCTGTGCAAAGAGAAGACGGGAGCGTGCATCCAGGTAGAGCGCCGCTCACGCTTCACTCACTCAGCGCAGAAATGAGAGACGTTTAATGAGACGTGAAGAAGCCGAGCGTGAGCAAATATACTCCCCGTGTGAGCTGAGGAGCGATGTCTTCATGTGAGGCGTTCAGCAGAGTGAAGCAAACACTGAAACAAGAAGTGAAGAGTCGGCACAAAAACACTTTTTATTTCTATTTCAGGTTTGATTTAGAGGATAAAAGTAAAACAAATCAGCGTAAAATAAGAACAATTTAAACTCTAAGCCAGAGGATGAGGGGAGCTTGCTGTATGATCCAGCAGAGGGCGCTCTCATCATAATCAAGCCAATCCAAGCTCTTAGTGAACTAATATGTTATCTGTTTGAAGTCAGCTGTAGTTGTTATTTAACTTATTGACTTGATCTGACTGGATTCTTCACAAAAACTATGAAATATCAAAACTTTGACGTGGTCTTCAACTTCTCCAGAAACTCCCGCTTGTTTTAAATCATACTAAATGTTAGATATAATTAATTTTAACTCAAACTAATCCACCTTAATTTATATTAACCAATTAATATTTAAAGGGATATTCTGGCGTAAAATTGATTAACTCGGTGTTACAGTGTGTTTGACCTTAAATTAATTTTACGCCGGAATATCCCTTTGAGGAACATTTCAAACTTAATATTTAATGATATTGTCAATTTAAATCAAATCGTCTCACTCTATGATGGTTTATGTGAATTTAATCTACAAAAGAGACCGAAAATAATCCTAAAAGCCACAAATCTAAACCACCAGTGCCACTTTATTAGTTTAAAGACTGTATTTTAAATGCACAGGGCTTAAATGATCAATAAACATAAACATTTTAATCTCTAAATCACTAAATTTAAGTTATCTTGTTTGTTAATTTGATTGAAATTAAGATTTTATAGAGAATCTCTCAAGACTGTTCTGACACACTCCCTCCCGGTCACATCGTCTCTCGTTTTCAAACATCAAACTGTCTGAGAAACTAAAATGTTTTTTCTGTAAATATTCTCCAGTGTTCAGCAAAAAACTGCCGGACTGCCTTCCACGTGACGTGCGGCCTCCACGCCAGCCTTGAAATGAACACCATCCTCACAGAGGACGACGAGGTCAAGTTCAAGTCCTACTGCCCCAAACACTCCGGGCTGGAGGGCGCCGAGTCCAGAGACCGAGACTCAGAAGGCGAGGAGGAGAAGGAGAGCGCCAGAGACAAGAAGGGCAAGAGGAGAGGAAGGGTGAGAGAGGAGGAGGACTCTGCCTCTTCCTCTCCGTACGTGGCGCCTCAGCTCGCCACAAGAGCGCCCGAAGATCTGGAGACGCTCAGCAGCCGCCAGCAGGAGAAAAGAGTCAACCTCCGTAAGCTGAAGCTGCAGGCGATGGAGGAGGACTTCTACCAGTTTGTGGAGGTGGAGGAGGTGGCCGGTCACCTGAAGCTGCAGCCGGAGGTGGTGGACTTCGTCTTCCAGTACTGGAAACTCAAACGCAAAGCCAACTTCAACCAGCCGCTCCTCACGCCAAAGAAGGACGAGGAGGACAGCCTGGCGCGCCGCGAGCAGGAAGTGCTGCTGCGACGTCTGCAGCTCTTCACGCACCTCCGCCAGGACCTGGAGAGGGTAGGTCTTTACTTCACCTGCGACGAGGCTCACAGGAGCAGAGCAAATCTGCACTTTCATCCTGCAGAAGTGAGGATGTTTACGTTTAGAAATGATGATCTGTCTGAAGAAACCTCTTACTGTTGCTCCTCAGGTGCGTAATCTCACCTACATGGTGACGCGAAGGGAGAAGATGAAGCGCTCGTTGTGGAGAGTCCAGGAGCAGATCTTCCAACACCAAGTCCGACTGCTGGACCACGAGCTTCTCAAAGGTGAGTCGGATGAAAATGGATGAGAAAAGTAGAGGACCAAAAACACAGCCCTGTGGTACTCCAGTGTTAATGAGTGTGTGTCTGACTTGTGTGTGTGTGTGTTTCAGGAGATCCCTCAGCCAAGGATTTGGAAAAGCTCTTCTCTCTGGGCTGGTTATCCTCTCAGGGCTCCCAGCCTCGCTCCTCATGGGGCCACTCCGGACTCAAAACCAAACGGGGGTCTTCAAAGCAGGAACGAAGGAAAAGCAGCGACAGAAGAGGCCTCTTGGACTCCCCGCACACTTTCAGGGCGGACAACCTGAGCGAATCACTGGAGACTAAAGACAGTAAAGCGTCTGCGCCTGCTGAAGCCACGAGCGAACCCAAAGTCTTAAACTCTGAGATCCTCCTGGAGAGCCCGTTCCCACAACTTCAGAAGTCAGAGACTTTTCAGGACACGATGAATGTCAAACTGCACAAATCTGAGAGCAGAAAAAGCTCGAGAAGGGAGGTCGAACACGAGGCTCTGGCGAGAAGAAAACGAGACAACGACCACGAACAAGAGGAGAGGAGGAGGAAGAGGAGGAGCGACGCGGTGGAGAGTTTCCCAGGTCAGGGTAGGATTAGGTACGGGTCTAAACATCTAGAGAAAACTGTGTCCATCAGGCTGGTCGATATCAGGAGCTCCGACAATGACGACTATTTCATGGAGGAGGGGATGACGAAAAGAAGCCCCGCCTCCGAAGCGGCTGTCGGGGCCAACGGCTGGCTGAGGAAGGCGAACGGCTCGCACACACCCAGCAGGCAAGTGGGCAGCCATCTGAGAGGCTGGGGCAAATTCAGGATCCCTAAAAGGAACGAAAGACCTCTGATGGCGAAGGAAGAAGAGGAGGAGGAGGAAGTGGAACGTCACGAACCCGCGCCGCAGAGGCCTCCGATAAACACGCCAAACCCTAGGACCAGACTCCGCACGGGGGCCGAGAGCGACGGCTACGCCTCCGACTCCAAAACCGGCGACAGCGAGGTGGAGCCGTGCCTGAAACGATGCCACTCTCACCAGCTGAGGGGTGAGTCTTCTCTGGCTCGCCGCTACGGCTCTGACATCATCCGGCGCGGCGTGCTGGCGTCCTGATGTCTAGAAGAACACTTTGAAAAATAAGCTGCACTGGAGAGAAGGACAGTCGCTCTTTGTACCTTTATTTTTCTGGAAGAATAGAGTAAAACGCCTAGATTAAAAACAGAGCTGATATTTATTTTTATTTGTAACATATGTAAATCTGGGAAATATTTGACTTTTTACTTTATTTTCTGCTAGTTCTTATTTTTATTTCTTTGTTTTTAAAGTAGAAAGATGTCAAGTTGCCACTTAAAACGCTTGCTCAGATTTTTACAAGCAAACACATCAACAAAGGGAGGAGGTGTGATCTTTGCTTGGGACCACATAAGCTTACGATGTATTTTTGTTTTTGAGATAGTATTAAACTCAGTTGCACTTAGTTGAAAAAGCTGATAAATGTCAGTGAACTAGAACTCTATAGGTTTTATTTTTAATCAAGCTAACAGCTATAAACAGGAAATCTTACTGCCCTTGTTCTGCTTTTAAACTCCGGCTATCATCTTCATCATCTTCTTCTTCTTCTTCTTCTCAGACTGTCTTTAACATGAAATGAACTCAGACCCACGTTTGACTCGTCATCATCAGCACTTAAGTGTAATTGAACTGCGATCGTATCCATCATGTGCCTAACTTTTATTTGAAGCGTTTGCACTACGAGAGGACGGCACAGGTGTGAGGTATGAGTAGAGTTATTTTTACACTGAAAAACAGAATAGAAGCGTTTTTGTACCCTCGGCTGCTGCTGTACTACTGTTATGCAAAATGAAAGTTGTTTTTTTTGTCTGTCTTAAAGATGAATAAAAAAAAATAAAATTACTCGGTCTGATGTCTTTTTACTGGTCTGCTGATACTTTGAGGGTTATTTTAACCACTTATGTCTTTTTTAAATTGTTTTTAACATACTATACATTACATTTTTTAACATACTATACTATTACATTTTTTAACATACTATGACTTTTATCATACTATACTATGACATTTTTTATCATACTACACTATGACATTTTTTAACATACTATACTATGACATTTTTTATCATACTATACTATGACATTTTTTAACATACTATACTATGACTTTTTTTTCATACTATACTGACATTTTTATCAGACTATACTGACATTTTTTATCATACTATACTATGAAATTTTTTATCATATTATACTATGACTTTTTTATCACACTATACTATGACATTTTTTATCATACTATACTATGACATTTTTTTATCATACTTTACTGACATTTTTTATCATACTATACTATGACATTTTTTTATCATACTATACTATGAAATTTTTAACATATTATACTATGACATTTTTATTCTACTATACTATGACATTTTTTAACATACTATACTATGACATTTTTTTTCATACTATACTGACATTTTTATCAGACTATACTGACATTTTTTATCATACTATACTATGAAATTTTTTATCATATTATACTATGACTTTTTTATCATACTATACTGACATTTTTTATCATACTACACTATGACATTTTTTATTATACTATACTATGAAATTTTTAACATATTATACTATGACATTTTTATCATACTATACTATGACATTTTAATCATACTATACTATGAAATTTTTTATCATACTATACTATGACATTTTTTAACATACTATACTATGACATTTTTCATCATACCAACTATGATATTTTTTATCATACTATACTATGACATTTTTTATCATACTACACGATGACATATTTTATCATACTATAATATGAAATTTTTTATCATACTATACTGACATTTTTATCATACTATACTATGACATTATTATCATACTATACTATGACATTTTTTCACATACTTTACTATGACATTTTAATCATACTATACTATGAAATTTTTTATCATACTATACTTTGACATTTTTTAACATACTATACTATGACATTTTTCATCATACCAACTATGATATTTTTTATCATACTATACTATGACATTTTTTATCATACTACACTATGACATATTTTATCATACTATAATATGAAATTTTTTATCATACTATACTGACATTTTTTATCATACTAAACTATGACATTTTTAACATACTATACTATGACATTTTTTATCATTCTATTTCTGACATTTTTATTCTACTATACTGACATTTTTTATCAATCTATACTATGACATTTTTTGCCAGACTATACTGACATTTTTTATCAGACTACACTATGACATTTTTTGATAAATACAATGACATTTTCACACACTTTACTATGACATTTTTTATCATACTATACTATGACATTTTATCATACTATTCTATGACATTTTTTAACATACTATACTGACATTTTTTATCATACTATACTATGACATTCTTTATCATACTATACTATGACATTTTTTATCATACTATACTGACATTTTTTTAACATACTATACTGACATTTTTTATCATACTATACTATGACATTTTTTAACATACTGTACAATGACATTTTTATCATACTATACTATGACATTCTTTGAACACACTATACAATGACATTTTTTAAAATAAAAAATTAGAATTTTTTTTTGTCAAACTATACTATTACAATTTTATCATCTTATACTATTACATTTTTTATCAATCTATACTATGACATTTTTTATCAAACTATACTGACATTTTTTATCAGACTACACTATGACATTTTTTAACAAATACAATGACATTTTCACACATACTGTACTATGACATTTTTTATCATACTATACTATGACATTTTATCATACTATTCTATGACATTTTTTAACATACTATACTTTGACATTTTTATACTATACTATGACATTTTTCATCATACCAACTATGATATTTTTTATCATACTATACTATGACATTTTTTAACATACTATACTATGACATTTTTATCATACTATACTATGACATTTTTATCATACTATAATATGACTTTTTATCATACTATACTATGACATTTATATCATACTATACTATGACATTTTTAACATACTATACTGACATTTTTTATCATGCCATACTATGACTTTAATTTCATAACATTGTTTGACATTTTTTTATCATACTATACTATGACATTTTTTAACTTACTATACTATGACATTATCGTACTATACTTTGACATTTTTTATCAGACTATACTGACATTTTTATCATACTTTACTATGACATTTTTTTATCATACTATACTGAAATTTTTTTATCATACTATACTGACATTTTTTTATCATACTATACTATGACATTTTTTATAATACTATACTTTGACATTTTTTAACATACTACACTATGACATTTTTATCATACTATACTATGACATTTTTTGAACACACTACAATGACATTTTTTAAAATAAAAATTTTTTTAATCAAACTATACTATTACATTTTTATCATACTATATTATGACATTTTTTAACATACTATACCTAGATATTTTTTTTTATTCAAAAAATTTGAAAGTCATTTAAGGCAAGTGTAAAAAGTTCTGTATAATAAAAAAAAAGTCAAATTTAGACAATGATTTCACGTTTGGTCACTTTTTAATGCACAGTTCTACAGATGTGAGATCCCGCACAAAAAGTGTTTCAGCACTGCATCAAGAAAAAAAAAAAACATACAATGTCAGAAAAATTGTATATTTACAATAGATGCATCACTATTACCACTTATACATTATGTACATATTAGTCTCTGGTTTACTATGACAGTAGTTACAGAATGAAACCCCTACGCACACGTTACACTTCAGCTCTACAGGGAATTACAGTGCTTACAAAAAGAATAACTGACTACATTCACTCAACACAAGGTTAGGATACACAAAGAAGAAAATACTTGCACCAGACTCGCTGCACCGCTGGACATTTCCCATTCACACGCCCTGGGAAAAGATGAGACGACTACAGGAAGATAAAAGGTGCAGTTATTAAAATAAAGGTGTACAAATCAGCGTAGATACGTGGAGACAGTTTTACACGGAGGAAAGAAAAGGCGCTGATAAACGAACTGAAACGAGCTGCCTTTAGAGGAAAACCGACACAAAGATTACAGAACTTTAACGGTGTCAGAAATGAAGAGGCACAAAAGAAGCCGTTCAAAGTTCAATGTTTGAAGATAGAAAGAAAAAAAAAAAACTCAGCAGTGTTCCCAAGTTGAGCAGATAAGAGTCGACCAGCTGGGGTGGCAGGTTTAGGACACTTTAGACGTAGTTTAAACCAATCTGAGCCCAATGTTACGAACAGTTACAGTCTCAAGGCCAGTTTTGTGCTGGTTAAGTGAAGCTCGGCATGACTTAACATGCAAAGTTTCTGTAGTATTTCTGGATTTAAACCTGATTATCTTGAGCTGCAGCTCCCCAAAAAATAAAAAAATCTCCTCATTTATCAGTTGAAAGAAAAGAGTTTAGAAAAAAATCAAAATCATAAAAATCTTAAGTTATGAGTGAGATGAAACGTACACTCGCTACACAGTTTAAGGACTTCGTTTGAGGTGTTTTTTTTGTTAATGCACTTTTATCTGTAAATAAAAACAGCTGCAGAAAATCTCTCTGATTAATCGTCTTAAGATTGTCTTCTGACCTCTTCTGATTGGCTAAGGGTCCCATGATTGATCGATATCTGTAAAACCGATAAAAGTCGACCCCTAATTTTCAACTGTATGAGGTTTAAGAGGAGCAGAAGTCTGAAACTTAAGTCTAATGTGTCCTAAAACAGCCACCGTACTCTGCTGGCCGTGTGAAAGACAGATGAGACAGTTATTTAACCTGAAGTTGTAGAGTGTTAGCCCGTGTGTTATCAGCCTGTTTGTGTGTCAAACAGACTCGATGCAGTTTAGAGACTGAAAACCTCCTGAGGACTGAAGCAGCTGAGGTCTGTGGTTATTGTAGCTGAAGACGTTGATAAAAACGCCTGATCAGCAGCACCGGAGCAGTAGAATGTGTGTATTTAAAAGATGTGTTGACCCAGATTTGAGATATTTTAATAGAAAAAATAACATCACGCTGAAATTAGAACTTTGTAAAACGTTAAGATAAAACACGAGTTCCTTCATTTTCATTTGCTTTCAGATGTCGCGCAGTAAAGACCTCTGTAGTGTTTTCACGCCTGACGTTCGGTAAGAGTGCTCTCTGATACTCGACTCCTCGTCTTCTTGGACAGGCAGGAAAAAGAGACCATGTTGAAAATGAAATCTAATTAAATCTAAAGAGTTAAACTGAGCAAAATCACAAAAGAAAAAAAACAGGCTGTCAAAAAGCAAACTAAAGTTAAGTGTAACCTAAGGCTACACAGAAGAACCAAAGAGATGGTCTGAGGCCGATCCATAGTGTCTTGGTGTTCCATATTATATCTGGCATATATACACTATATATAAAAATAAAAACAATCCATTTGGCAACCTGTTTGATGTCTTACACTATTCCAGTATTCATAGTTTTGGTCTTTGATATACACACATATATATTTATTATAGCTATAAAACTCTGCTCTTCAAGATCATCCGTGTCGGGGGCGACAGATTCAAGTTAAGCTCAGCACGACGAGGCCGCCGCTCTCTGTTAGTCAGAGCTGATTCAGGTTTGCAGAAACGAGCTGGTTTTTCTTTCTGTTGTTATTTCGGAGAGAAAATCATCCAAACAAAACTCAGCAGTAAAACTCAAAACTCTAAAAAGAAAAAAAAAAAAAAAGGCAGTTTGGTTCAGAGGAGGGTGACGGTTGGACTCCACGGTTGGCTGAAGTGTCCTGGCTCTGCTGCTGCTTTGTGCTTTATCCCAGATGGTTCGCCTCAGTGCAGACACGTGAGAGAGGAGAAAAAAAACACCCTGAAAATATTCAAAGTTCGAAATCAAACAGTCTGAGTGTCGAGCTGGAGAGAGAAGGTGAGCGGTCAGCAGCTTTCCCTGATAACAAACGTGTACAGTGCCGTCATCTTGGTGGTCTTGGAGATAGAATCACGAGGGTTTTACATTTGTTCACTAAGCAGGTGTCAAAGTCTAGTTTGGAGTTCAAAGGTCACTTTAGGCCTCTGCAGCTTTCCTCCTGGAGCCCTTTGTTTTGGCCTCCGCTCCAGCCGCCTTTTTAGCGCCTTTAGGAGGACGGCCTGTGATGGTAGTGATGGTAGTGATGGCGGTCGTTGAAGTCGTCTCAGAGCTGACGTCCTGATCGTGGTTGTCGGTTCCTTCCAGCTCCTCGTGTTCCTGACAGCAGAGCTGGCCTGTGGGGGGCCAGGGACGCAGCGCCCCCTCCTGGTGGGCCTTGCAGAAGGAGTTGGGGCAGAGCTGGCAGAAAGCCTCAGAGTTTTTCCCGCAGACGTCACAGTGGTGCCAGGGGCAGTCCCAGCGGCCTGGGGGAAGACAAATGAAAGAGAAACAACAGTCTGAGTACAGGTCGGACTCTAGGAGGTTAGACTCAAACACTTGACCGCTATGACATATATTTTTTTTACATACTACACTGTGACATTTTTTTTTAGTAAATGTTTTTTTTTTTTACCATACTATAGTATGACATTTTTTTCAAACAAAAATTTATTTTTGAAATATACTATACAATAAAATTTTGTAACGTACTACACTGACATTTTTTTTTTTAACAAAATTTAAAATTTTTTAATCACTCTATACCATGACATTTTTTTTTAAACAAAAATTTGAATATTTTTTAACAGACTATACTATGACATTTTAAAGCATACTACTCTATGACTTTTTTTTAACAAAATTTTAAATTTTTTATCATACTATACTGTGACAGTTTTTTCAATTTAAAAAAAATATATTTTTATATAATACTATCGTATGACATTTTGTAACATGCTACACTATGACATTTATTTTACAAATTTAAATTTTTTTTTATCATACTATACTATGACATTTTTCTCAAACAAAAATTTTAATATTTTTATCAGACTATACTTTGACGTTTTGTAACATACTATACGGACATTTTTTACAAACAAAAATTTTCATATTTTTTATCATACTATACTATGACATTATGTAACATACTACACTATGACATTTATTTTACAAATTCAAATTTTTTTTTATCATACTATACTATGACTTTTTTTTCAATCAAAAATTTTAATATTTTTTTATCAGACTATACTATGACGTTTTGTAACATAATATACTATGACATTTTTCTTAAAACAAAAATTTTAATATTTTTTATCATACTATACTATGACATTTTGAAACATACTAGACTGACATTTTTTTTTTTTTTTAACAAAATTTTTATTTATTAGTTTAGTGGAGCCATTCTCCACTTTAACCCATCAAAACAAAAACTATCAGGTACCCAGAAAATTTAAAAAAGACCTTAAATTAAAAGACTCAAATCCATTAAAACATCAGCCCTGTGTTTTCTAACCTGCTTGATTTTCTTTTTTCAGTTTCTGGACGTGACCTTTAACCCCAGTGTGTCTGTGTCGTGTCTTACCGAAGGGTCTCTTGGTGAGGTTCAGGCAGGACAGGTGATAAGCTTTCGTGCAGGCCTTCTTGTTGCAGAGCACCAGCTGTCCTCCGTCTCCGCAGCGGAAACACTCGTCGTCGGACTTCTTTCCCTCTGATTTCCTCCTCTTGTACTTCCTCTTCACCCTCTTCCCTTTTGGCTCAGCTGTTTGGCCATTTGAGTTCTGTGAGGGAGACGCAGGTTTGGGTTTATTAAGTCAATGTTTATTTCTTCTTCTATTTGGGTCATGAGTTTCTGCAAATTAAGGCTTGTTTGCATAAAGAGAGGGTTATGTTGCTGCTAATGAATGCATGATTTAGTTATTTAAATGTATGCAAACATCGTCAGTATACAGCTGTAGTATTTGCTCTGCAGCACAGTTTGTGGCACATTGAACCCTGTGCATTTGCTTTGTAAATTAGATCCTTTTGGCTCATTTGCTCAAATTTAGCAGGTAACAGTAATGTGTAAAATTCTTATTAGCTGAGAGTTGGTGGAGAGTTCAGTGTTGTCATGTTCAGATTCTTTTTTTCCACTGCTGTAGACGTAAAACAATAAAGATGTAAATACGGACGCTCACCTTTGGCCGATCACCCAGAAAACCGCTGCAGTTTGGAGCGCCGCAGCGACAGACCGTCTTCTCGTTCCCGAGACAGTCCAGGTTGTAATTAAAGGTCAGCTCAGTACCTGTAAAACAACGGCGTGAGCATGTGAGGATCAAATTTAAAAGCTTCAGATTTTTGTTGTTTATCTTGCAGACGTGTGAGCAGACGAAGCGTCTGACCTGCTGGGATATCACAGACAGCAAACAGGCCGACCCGAGTGTCCCCGTTCACCGTCCACTTCTGCGTCTCACAGTTTGGCTGGCAGCTGTGATTCATGAAGCGAGAGTAGTTTCCCTTTGGACCGGCGTCGATAATCCGGTCCTGGAAAAAAAGGGGAAGAAAATCTCGTGACAGGTTTGTTGATAGTTTCATTTCATGCACTTAAATCAAAGTCAAATATGTGATTCAGCTGTTTGTAGTATTGACTCCTGTAATGTCACAGCCACCTGTGATGCGACACTCCCAATGCAATACCAGTCTGTTTCTCTGGCTCCCAGTGGAAAAGGCACTGCTGCTGGGAAAAACAGCACCCTGATCCACTCAGGAGCAAAACATCAGGGTCCGAATCTCCGTCTGGCACTGACCTTATCGATGGTGAGCATGTAGAAGTCTGTGATGTTGTTCTCGTGGGCGTACTTGATCCTCGCCCTGCACTCCTCCTCGTCTATCAGCTCCCCGATGTACTCGTTCACAAACTCACCCTGTTTGGAAGTAAACAACACCAAATCAGACCAAAGGACGAGGACGCCGAACAAAAAACGAAAGGTGATTGTGTGTGAGAAATAAGAATAAACATTCCGTTAGAGTTTTCATATTTCATGCCAGTATATGGAGGGGGGTCTTTGAGGGAGTTTTCAGGTCAGATCAACAGAAAAGACTCTATATTTGTATTAATTCATCTGAAATGAGCTCAAACAGATATCACTACATGTTTATAATTTGGCCCCGCTCTTCAATAAGTACAAATAATTTCAGTTTCATCTTTCCTATTTGTTTTGGATTGAATCTAATATGGCTTTTAACAAATTAAAATCACCGTAAAACCTGTTGTAAAGGAGTCATGCCAAAAATAAACACATTAAAAACCAAATATATCAGGATAAAGTCCAGAGTAGTGGTTGATCAGTATTTGATAAGTAAAGCCATCATTTCTGCTTCATTAGGTTATAATCGTGCATTTAGTGTAAAACAGAGGTGTGATTTTTTTGTTTGACTGAGAAGAATCTTTAATTTATGAGACCAAATAACCAGCAGAGACGAGCAGCAGGTCTGTCCTTCCCTCACAGCTCCAAACATCGCCTCCCCTGAGCTTGACTACAGCAGGATAGTAAAAACAGGCAGCACTTCAAAGCTGCATAGAAGCAGCACAAAGTTGAGAGCAGTAGAAGTCCATTCAAAGCCTTCCTTCTCACCTTCTTGATGTCCCTGAGAGCCACCAGACCCCACCCCTTCCCCGGGGTCTTGATGATTTTGGTCTCTGGGTAGAGACGTTTGGTGAAGTCCTGGTTACAGCAGCGCTCCCCGCTGGGACAAACCTCAGGGTGACACTCGTACTGCAGCATCCGGTTCAGACACTCGGACTCGAACCCGCACGGCCTCTCTCCTGACGGCTTGCAGTTACACTTGGGGATCTCAGAGATGTCGGCGGTGTAGACCTGAACTTTTCCAACAGGTTTGTTCACCTAAATGAGGAAAAAAATTAACAAACTAAGACGGAGAGACATCAAGACTGATTCGTAACTTTACAGAAACACTAAAAACAGATTTCAAACCTTGATAAATTTATAAGGAGGTGGTTTCCGGCTGCTCTCTTGGGCTTCCTTGGCTTCTCGTTTCATTTTAATCTCCTTGAATCGAGCTTCAGCCTCCAACAGAGCTGAGGAAACAGAACAAAGTAAGACTCTGTTATATTTTATACTTGAATATCGGTGTAAAAGTTTAATTTATGGTCACAGTTATAAATAAACTCCATATTTCCCTCTCTTGTAGGCTGTTTTACCGTTCTTGAAGACTTTGCCGATGCCGGTCCTCTGGTGCTTGCTGCCCCTGTCTCCCTCCATGTACGGAAAGACTCGGCCCTGGTGGGTCCAGAAGTAGTCTCTGGAGCCGAAGAAGAAAACGGGAAACTCTCCGATCTCGTGTCGGAGGTGCTGGATGTTGGTGGGGATGTTTCTGGGGTGGTGGATCTCTGCGGGCCACCACCTGAGGAGAGAGAAGAGGAGCTGGAATCAACCTTATTTTATAAAACACTGGTGATGTAGTTGCTTTCTTATCTCATGGAGCCAGAATTCTTAAATACATTAATTTTCCTGACCTGTATGTCCCCAGTTTGACCCAGATGATGTCTCTATATTTGGGTTTCTTTCCTGCCCGGCAGTCGTTGCAGAACCAGCTCCCATCTGGCATCGCGATGTTCAGGCAGTCCGGGTGAAAAGCTGCCGGACAAGACTCGCAGCACAGCAGCTGCCCCCCTGAAACACAGACATGTCAGAGAAATCCACTTAGACCTGACGCTAACAGCTTTACAGACGAGTGTGGGATCGTTTACAGTGATTACAGCTGAATCATCGAGTACAGGGGTGATTAAAAAAAATAAGCACAATAAAAACACAAAAGCCAAATAACTGCCAGGGGCCCACTCATTAAACAAACCCCCGCACAGACTGTTGTTCTCTAAATGTTACATGAGGATGCAGAAGGGTTGGAAGAACTTCAAACAGGATTTGCAAGAAAAGGAAAACCCCGACTAGTTTGACTTTTGCTCTGCACCACTTCAGAAACACCCTGAAATAACTTTAGAAGGCTTCAGGGTTTCAGGACTGAATTTATGCAGAAAAATAAGCAGCAAACAGGCCAAATGAGCTGCTATATGTGGGATTAACTGCACTGTACAGTTTAAGTACAACCTTTTAAAGTCTCTCTAAGATACATGAACTTGTAGCTGATCTCTTAAAAACAGGGTTCCTACACAGTTGGAATTTCCATACCCTACTTTTTAGAATTATTTTTGGAAATACCTACTTTTCCATTTTAGAAAACAGTATTTTATTTTGTAATAGTCCATTTTTCCATACTTTATAATTCATTTGCAATAATTTTTAAGACCTGGAAATTGATCAAATTATGTCCATACTTTTCCACACTTGTGTAGGAACACTATAAAAATGAGCGTTCCTGATGATTTATAAAACACATTTCTTGGAGGGGAAACAACAGAACTCAAATTCAATCCTGCATACTTTTGATTTTATGAGTTTAATGACAAATAAAACCTCAAAATCGAAAGAAACTGGCTGATTTCAAGGCAACATGCACCATCTTGAGGGACGATGCATACAAAGTTGAAAATGCAAAAGTCTTGGGAGCTGACACAGACACCACGCTACTGGAAACACAAGCTATCCTGCTGGGCCCACTGGAGACGAGAGAGACTCGGGAGCCCCAGAGACACTTAGAAGGACAGACCTCCAGGCTGGGCTTGGGTTAAAATGAGACAATTTGTGAATGGGGTTTGGTTGGACTGGAGCTAAATGACAATCCTGAACTGGAGCCAGGAGGACAGGCAGCTGACTGGGACTCGGTCTATATATGTTAACTCTTGCGGCACATGGAGGTTGATTTCAGACTCTGATGTTACACACTTATAAGAAAAATAAGATCCTGTTAATGGCCAGCTGGTCACGTGATCTTAAGTTGAAGCCAGTTTCTATCAGAGGAGATTAAATGTCAGACTGTAAAATAAATATTCATCATTTCCAAAAAAAAAAAAAAAAAGAAAATGCAAAAAAGTAAACGGGCACTGAGCCTTAAAAAGGTACAGAAAAACATGCACGCGCTCTACAAGAATGACCTCCTGAGAGGTTATCAAATACAGAGGAGGCGTGGCTTCCTGCTTCATAAGAACAACGACAAAAGAAAACTCTGTCTGTCTACGAGGAACCTGTAAAGAATTGGCTAACCTTTGGAGCAGACGAAGCACCAGCTGACGTTCACATGACTGTGGTGACTGTAGCCCTTCTTGGCGTTGAAGTGGTTGGTGCAGATGAAGGCGGAGTTTGTGATCATCTCGCTGCCTGCGGCCACGCACTGGTCACCGACGTGGTACGCCACAGGACAGCGGAGGCAGCGCATCAACCTTCCTACAGAGCGATGACAGAGAGAGGGAGACGTGAGAAAGCTGCCGCTACGTCATGTTTCCTTCATGAAAGACGCACAAACAGATTTTTTATTGAGTGAAAGTGTTTCTGCTGAAGCTGGAAGAATAAGAGATCCTTTTACATTTCTACTACATCTGACATTTTAATACGTTTTATAGCAGGAAACCAGAATCAACACGATCTTTCTTTAACACAGAGACACTCCCTCTGAAACTCTTGAAATGTCACGATATTCCCACAGATAAACAATAATTTGTTTTCTTCGTATTCGATAGAGCTGACGCAAATCTTCTTCCCACACAGCTCCAAAAAACCCTCAGAAAATTTCCATCAACCGACCAGAGACGTCTTAAGACTTGAGCATTTTGTGGTTAACCAAAGGTCGAAGTGGAGTGTCAGGACCGCGGAGCCTCACCTTTGGTGGACCTTTGCTTGGTTCGGGGGCCGTAGTGGCAGCTCAGACAGGCGTGAAGTGGGCAGCGGAAGCCCTTGTTGTCCAGCACAGTGAGGGGGTTCGAGCTGATACACGCCTCGTGGTAAAACTTGCCACAGTGTGGGACGTGGCAACGGCGAACTGTGCCGTCGGACTGCTTACAGGTGAAACACGAGTGAACTCCTGAGAGCAGAAACAGAGGAGATCGAGAGCAGAGTGAGACGAGACAAAACGAAGACTGCAGCCACTATACATGGGTCACTCAGACTGCTCGGACATCAGCGCCCCCTGGAGGCAACCTGGAGGTGATTTCCAGAGAATCTCTCACCTGCGCTGCACTCCTGGCACTGCATCTTGTCTTCAGGCATGAAAGAGACGCCGAGACAGTGGAGGTGAAACATCCCGTTACAGTGACCCTCACAGGGAACCAGGTCCTCTCCAGCCTGCTCACACACCTTCAACAGTGACAGGACCAGAATGAATCATTTCAGCACAAATGAGAGAAAAGACAAATATACATCTGCAAGGTTAGAGAGGGATGTGAGAGAGAAAAAGGATCACTCAAGGGTTTTAATCAACTTTTATCTCTCATCTATTCACAATCCAAGAGTGTCAGACCGACCTGACAAACAAACTCTTTCTTCCGCTCCCCTCTTTTCGTCCCGTCTAAGCTGTCGCTCGGAGAGTCAGGACGTTCCTCGCTCCCAGAGCCCTGCGGATCACGACCAACGCGTTAGGAAATACGACAGAATGAGAGCGCGGCAAAACACACGTGGAGTTTACCGTCCCTCACCTCAGGGTCAGGACACAAGGAGGACCGCCTCTTCTTCGCCTTGATGGGCAGAGCCTGGCTCTCTCCATCCTGTTTCCTTTTCCTCCTACGCTTTGGTTTCTCAGCGCCTTGGTCATCTGTGAATGTAACAACCAAGTCTTGAAACTGAATGTGAAACAGCAAACTGTTTTTTTTATAAAAGGGACTTCTGCGATGGTTTACCAGCGAGGGGGGCTTTTAACTTCTTCCCTCTCTTCTTGATTTCCGGTGTTTCCACTTCAGTTTTCTTCCTCCTTCTTCTCTTCTTCTCTGTTCCCTCTGAAGCTGAGGTCTGAGAACGATTGTGCGTGTTAAATACATGAAAGCTGTTCAGTCTGATAAGGAGCGATGTCTGTTTTAAAGATCTGGTTTGATTACAGTGTTGAATCCTCACCTCTATTTCAGCTGTTTTACTGGTTCTGCGCCTCCTTTTCGGCTGCTGACCCTGCTCTGCTGTATCCTCCTCCAGGGGCCTTTTCACGGCCTTCTTCCACTCTCTCTTGACTGGAAAGGAAAACAAACGAATGTTAAACCGGAAAATTTTAGTGACGCTTGTGATACAAATAAAAACTTTCTTCAACCATCTGGAAAACGCCTGAATATGAGAAGACCTTTTTTTTATAGCCTTTCAAAGATGTAATCTCCTTTTTTATTATCATATTTTGTGAATAAAGGTTTTGTTTTAATGTTTCCCCTCTTTAGGGTTTTTTAAATATCACACTAAGTTTACAGACTCACCTGAGGAGTCGGCCTGCTTCTCCTCCGGGGTCCTCCTGCGTCTTTTCTTCTCTTTGTCAACTATAAAAACAAAAGGCTCGTCTTAAATTTAAGAATAAAATCACATTTTTATCTCATCAGCAATAAATAAAGATCCAATCATGTGAATAAGCTCAGGGGAATAACCTCTTCAAGCATTAACCCTCATTTTCATGCTTTTAAAATATACACTCGCGATATTAAAAGGACAACAGCCCAACGTTTCACTACTTTACTGTCTGCACTTGGCATTTAAAAAACAGGCTTGGCAAAAACGTGCCCAGCCACAGCAAATATTTAACATCTCATTGACCCAAAGCTGGTATTTGATCTGGTGCCTGAGTTTCAACTTTCAACCGACCTGGAACTGAAACTACGAGCTCTGCGATGTCGTCTGTCGAAGAAGCCAGCTTTGATTTCCTCTTCTTCATGGGGTCGGAAGTGTCGTCCGTTGCGGATTTCTTCCTCCTCCTCCTCACGGTCTTTGTGGGAGACTGAGCCTGTCTGGGTCTCCTCTTCTTCCTCTGGGGTGTCACTGATTCAGGTTGATTATCGGATGTTAAAGAGGTGGAATCCTGTGAAGAAAGCAACAGAATTTTAGATGTAAAAAAAAAAAAAAGATGTAGAATGTAAAAAATTCCTCTGTTATGTAAGGATTACAAATCTTTATTTTTTATTTTCTACGTGCCACAATAAATGAAGTGGTTTCTGATACCTGTGAGGCTGTCTTCTGATGGAGGATCATTTCAGAGGAAACTGTGTTCAACTTCTTTTTCAAGAGGACACCGTTAACGTGGCCTTCATCCCTCCTCTGCCACACTCTTGTGAGTTTCTGCCTCGGTGCTTTCGCTATCTTCTCCGTTGAAGTGCTGTCCAGGGGCTGAGCTGTGGCCGTGGGATCCTCTGAAGAGCCGTCCAGCAAGGAGGTGAAATCTGGGCTGAGCCTGGACACGGTTTCCTGAGCTGGTTCTTGGTCTATGCTCGGTTCTGGTTTCAACTTCTCTAGGATATGGGGGTTCAGACGAGGCCCGCTGTCGTCGTACAAAAACGCAAAGTTGGCCATGCGCTCCTCCAGTGACATGCAGAGGGCCTCCTTGGCCTGAATGACGCCCATGTTCCACTGAACCTTCAGTTTGCGGGGCACAGAGGGGGTCGTCTGCACCACACGGCGAAAAAAGAAAACGATACGAAAAGTTAAGAAAGCCACAAGGTTATTATAAAACAGGTTTGGACTTGATTAGCAGCGTGAAAATGCTTTTTATGGCGAACACGCCATGAGTGTTTGTTGTAGATATGATATCGGGGTTTGCTTCTCCACACCAACATGACACAAATATAAGAAGAAGAAAAGCTGTCTTCCTGTCTGTGTCAACACTGTGCACGCAAAGTGATAAAAGCAGCAGGTAGTTTACCTTTTTGTGAATCACGCGGGAGGTTGGCTGTTTGTTGCCCTGGCTGAGCTCCTCGTATTGATCCTCCCCGGTGAAAGACACCATGTTTTTCTCAAAGATGTAGCCTCTCTCTGGAGCATCTCCAAAATACTGCACGTGATAAAGGAGGCCTAATCTGCTGCTGGTCGCTACAGGGGATTCAAATAAAACAGAAAAACAAAATATATAGTTGGGCGTGTCTAATCCTTTAGGTTGAGTGTTTTATAAACTCTGCTTCTTCATCCGTTAGATTGATGTACCTTTCTGTTTCTGTTTGAAGTGATTGTTGAACTCGGGGTCTGTGGTCACCATGCAAGGCCACCAGGGATACCCCGATACTTTAGTCCAAACCAAATCCCCGGCGGAAAAGCGAATGTGCAGAGGCAGCTCGACTGTGGCCTCATCCACTGACTCTGGGATGAGATCAGGCTGTAAGAAACAGTCAAAAAAAATCAGGTAACCAACTGATACAAACAGTAAACAAAGATTCTGTAGATTTTCAGAATTATAGGCATAATTTTATGTGTATTACACCTGTTAAGGAAGGATACACTTTATTAATCTGGCTTGTTATATCAATTTTAACACTCTTCTTTTTCACAAGAAGGATTTATATTTTACTTTTCATGCAGCACAAATGTAGGGGAAGCTTCAGCGTTACTAGAAAACATGCTTTTGAGTTTATTCACACATGTCCTCACTTAACCGTTATTCATCCAAGAGTAGAAATAAATTAAAAACCTCTTCAGCTGCCGTGGTTTCATCTACAGCATTTGTGTGGTCAGACGGGTCCACAGGGATGGCAGGAGAACTGAGGTCTGGTTGAGGTTTTGGTTTGTGAGGTCTTCCCCTCCTTTTCTTCCCTTCCTGTCTCTCCTCCGGTCCAGCAATCGTCTCCTCAGTGGTCGTAGCAAAACTGGTCCCATTGGCAAAGCTCGGCTCGAACAGCGGCTGCTTGACCACCTGGGGTATTGTCACCTTAAGTTCAGCTTCAGTATGAGGGGTGCAGTTGTGCTGATGCGTGCCATTAGTAGCGGGGGCCTCAAGACACTTGAGCATCGGTGTTTCTGGGGCGCAAAGCTTCGGCAGCGTGTCTTGGTCTCCGTTGAGCACCCGGTAGGTGAGATCTTTGAGCCTCTCGTGGCTGTGGTTGTTATGACTGTGGCCAGCCATCTTCTGAAGGACGCCGTCTTGCACTGTGGCGGCTAGCTGGGCGGCAGCTTTGTCCAACAGCAGAGTGGGGTCACTGCTCATATCCCCACCGCCTTTACGAACGCTGAGGCACTCCGGCGGCTGCTTCATGCTGATCGGGTTGGCTGGTTCAGGCATTGAAGGCAGGGAGCTACCTTTGCTGTCCATCCCATGTAACCCCCTCCAGGCTCACTGAGCTACAAGACAGAGAAACTTATCATTCCACAGGTTACAAAAGCACAATAGCATGTAATAGAAGCTCTCAATGCCATTCAAGGACACGAATCCTATGAATATAACGTTTGAAATCGTACAAAATGGCACTCACTCGCTCCGGCTGAGCATGAATAGAGAGCTTGGAGGCGACAGAGAAAACTGCACCTGTCACGGAATGTTCCAGCCGCCTGGTTTCGGATGTTTTTATAAGAAAGTCGAGAAACTCCTATGAGCAGAAATCTGATTTAGCAGCAGCGTTTCCTCTGCAAATTCAAAATAATACTAATGCCTCAATGAAATCACAACTCTTACATTAATCTGCACTTATGTGAAGGTAGATCGAGCAAAGCTATTCTCCTTAAAATCCTGGCACACAACAAAAATACACAAAAAAACCCTCACTGCGACGATTTTAAGCTGCCTTTCTTTCTCATGGAAAAAGGACGGGCTAGCAGTTAGCCGCTGGCTGTGGGAAAGCGGTATGGAGACGGCAGGGAGGCAGGCTGCACCGCATGAAGCGAATGCCCAATGAGTGGGAGGCTCGAGGAGCGGCGTAACCACCGCATCACCGGCGAGAAAAGCCGCGGAAATGAGCCGAAATGACGTTAACAGAGAGATGTGATTCACGTCCAACCTTAATTAAATCCGTGCATGCTGCATTAGAGCTCAACAAATGATTGCTAGAATCCACTGTAATCGCTATAAATGTTACTGTAATATTAAACACACGCGTTTACAGTTAATCTTCAACGTAAATCCGAGGCTTCACCATCATGTCATACGAGAAACGGGCTCCGACTACAACCTGAAGCATTAGCCGCCACGATGTGTGGGAATCTCGTGGATAAGCAGACAGGCATTTTCCCGAACACCGTCCTTACAGCATCCCTGTCACTGCTACAGTCAGCCATTATACGGCGCATTCCAGCAAATAGACAAAGCCGACAACTCAACGCTAAACGCAGCCAGCTCGCTTATTACACCCAGTTTATAAAGCACAAACATGTTGTGTTATAAGGACTCACCGCTGTGTGACTGCGATAATTTAGAAGAGCTGTTTCGCCTCGGTTTCATTGATATACCCAATTTGCGGGCGCCATGACAGCTTGTTTCAAAAAAGCTAACGGCGCTAGCCAAAGCTAACCAGCTTAACCATTGAGATCAGCTAGCAGGTCCCCTCCGCTAAAATGGATGATCGGCCCGAACAAGTGTACTTACAAAAGCCGCCGCCGGTGACTATCCGCGGGATTGACAATAACATGAAAGGCAGTTTCATCGTAGTTACCTGTTAAACCTCCTCTCCGTGTTTAAAGGGAGAAAATGCCCGCATTCATTCCGTTAAACGAACGATTTCATCCGAGTAGAATCAAAAGCTTGCGGGAAACTCAAACTCTCCGGCCAACCAGCGCGAAAAATACTCACTCCTGATTGGTTGGGAGGAGAGCGAGGCTCCAACCGGTCCTTTCAAAAACCCAACCGTAGGAAGTAGCTGACCCCGGTGTCTCCCGTCTATTTTGACACCAGTACACCACTTTATGGGGTTGTTTTTCATCCGTTTGCCTTACTCCCAGCTTGTATTTAACAATCATGATAATATAAACTTTATTTTATTGCACTTTTAAAAACAGAAGTTTGTCTTTAGGCGGATTATTTTGTTATTATGTCGACTGTTCTTGGTGTAAATCTCCAACCTTGCCCTCTGATTGCTATAGTTGGGATTCCTAACCCCTCACTTGTACTCAGCTCTACACAAAACAGTGTTTTTAAAAGCTTGAGAAAATTAAATATACATTAAGAGGATGTACAGTCAAATTTTTCACAAATGGCAACCTTTTATTTCCTTTTTCACTAATTTAGAGGTACTACCTGATTGAATTTCTGCCTATTACTGTGGTATATTTTATATTGCAAAAATGACCACTACAGAGCCGACCCAAGCCTCAATGGGGCCTGAAGCAAAATTAGATTTTGGGGCCCTCTATTTCTGCCAATAATATTGATTGTTGATCATTCACACACTTTCACAAATCTCTTTGATTAACATTCCATGACATGCAAACATCCTTCAGGAGCAGAGAAAAGACGCCAAGATAAAGGTATATGTCCTTCTTTGCAACATTGTTTTGCCCCACAGCTACCAGCTCTTTGGATGCTCAGTGCACATTGCACAGCAAGAGGAACATAACGGTAGCAGAACTTTGACATATAAGAATAATAGGCCTACATCAGCAGCAGCACAAAAATATTTTAACTTTATTTTATTTTCACAATAATATAGATATGATCATACAGAAAGCATCACTCATTCATGCAAAAAATACAAAATATTTTTTAAATATATATATTTTTTCATTGCTTTTGGGGGCCCCCTACTAACCGCAGGGCCCTAAGCAGGCGCTTAGTTCGCTTATGCCTTGGGCTGGCTCTGAACCAATAGAGTGTGTGTTGATTGTGATGAGCCGAGTTGGGGCATGGGTGGGGGCCGGTCACTGCTTTTTCTTTTGTATGTGTATATGTGACTGTTTACATATGCATATATGTATAAAAATAAGAAAAAGATAACTGTATCCCAGTACTTGGAAATGTCTCATTGTATTTTTCAATAAAAACATTTTGGAAAAAAACAACAAACATAAGTTTACAAAGTGCTTTGACAAACAGCTGTAAAGCACAGAACATCAAATAAACAAATAAAAAACAAAAGCTCAGTTAAAAACAAGGCCTCCAAATTGAGTTTATTGTCATAAGGAACCCAGACAATACAAGAACCCTACAACAAAAAATGACTAACTGGTCTGTTTCTAAATGTCTCTTACAACTTTAAAGCTCCAGTGAGGGGCTTATACCTAAATATGAAAAAGACTGTAATTGATATACAGATGGCTTTATATGACCTACAAAAACAAACCAAAGAATGAGAAATACTGAAATTTCCATTCCTTTGAAGCTTCTGTAAGGAACTCTTGGTTTGTTTCAACCTTGGCGTCCCTAATCGACTAGCAGTCTTTCCTTATCTTGTCCTCCACATGCTTCAATAGTTTTTCGTGAATATTTTATATGACAGTTTAAAAACCATGACTGCGCCTGTTGCTGCTCGGCTGACACCTACCCCCTCAGTCCACTTTCAGCCATTTAAAGACAGGTACAAACATAAGTTCCTTGCAAAAGCTTTAATACATTTTTGTGTGTAGGTATTTTTTAATTACAGTTAACTAATACAAATTTGCCAAAAGTTTTCTTGTTCAAGATGTGACTGCAAAATTTTGCATGATCCAAACAGTGGCCCATAAGAAGAGATCAGACTGTAAAGTTGAAGCTCTTGTGCATATTTTTTGACTGGTTATCAAACCGAAAAAGAAAATCATGCCTTGTTTTGACCTACAGTAGCAAACAGGACTATTAGTACATTATTAACTATTTTTACACTCCTTGTTTTTAATGTCTGAAGTGTGTGTCTAGGTGTCAAGAGCATGCAGCAGAAAAACAATCTAAATGATATTTACTATTGCAAAGATCCCAAATAAGTGAAACAGTGCACTGCTGAAATAATGAAAAAGTAGAGGTACATTAGACAAGCTGTTTTATCCACAGGGAGGGAAAACAATGACATGTCAGATAGTCCCTTACAGGAGCTTTAATCACAATATAAATAACAGTATCCTACTCTGACCACTTAGCTTAATGCATGCACCGTTTCAATAACCTGAAATACAGCCCCTCTTTGTTGTGTTTAGAGCAGAACAGCTGACACTACTGCGCTTCATCACGTGCCTACTGACCTGGTTATGGCAAAGCAGAGCAGAGCAGAGGCCCTGATTCTTTTTCTCTACACATAAACACTGCACTGTAAATTCAAGCAGAAAGCTGCAGTACCAGCAGAAGCAGCTAAGGGGCGTGAAACTTGCTGAAATAATGCAACTTCCGGCAAAAGTGTGCCTTTCAAAGTTAAACCTGATGCAATGTGATGGCAATGTCATTAATGAGAACTCTCTAAAGGAGATATAATGTTTTGAACACGAATTTAAGCTTTTTTTTTTACAAAGCAAAGTGAGAATAACTGTTATTTTGGTTTGTTCAATCAATACATCAGATTCTAAGTTAACTAACCAATGATGTATTCACATATTTCTCAAACCTGTCTGCTCCTGTAGTGAAGATACTTTCTGTGTATCTCCTTCTGAATACTTCAACAATGTTTAACTAAATCACTGAAATACAAAAATAAAATTACGCTTTCACATGAGTTAAAAGTAATCTATTAATTTAGCTAATGCTGTGTCTCTAAAAAAAAAAAAATGTAACCCTTCACTGATAGGGGAGAGTGGGGTAAGATGAGTCACTTTTCATATTTCAGATCATTACATCACAGCAATCATAGTTTTGTCTCTAACTAGTGTATCTGCATATATTTCAAGATGTTGTTAATCCCTGCAAACCAACAGAATGAGTGTAAACAGAACTGTCTTGATAATATAGCATGACAAAAAAAGTGGTCTCCTATGGTCAACTTACCTCGTGTATGGGGTAAGTTAATCATAGGAACTGAAACTCTGATCCTCTCATCAGACTTTACTTTCTCAGTTACCTCAGAACTACTATGATGACTTTATTAGTCCTCTAAGCTAAAATGGTGACTTTTATGTTAGGTTTTTGACCTCATGTTGTAGCTCAAAGATACCACAATTGATGTATACAACAGATTTAAAATGATCTTTTTTGGTCTGAACACAATTCTAATCAAACTTATGACAGACTAAATTCACTTTCAAGAGTGAAAAATGTTTTATTTTTTTAAATAAATGTCTAACCTCTTCACCCATGTGCCTTTAACCTTCACAGACTCCATTAATTGATGCCCATCTCCAAAATATTTGGTCACATGATCAATTTCTTTCACCATTTCCAAGCAACAGGGGGTGGCTCAACTTACCCCACTCTCTCCTATGCTTAATTTCTGCTACTAACTCTCCAGACAACTTTAAAACACTCTGGAACAGTGCATTCAGGGACCCCACTCCACTGTTGGCATGAAACTAATTTATGTTTGAAACTTTCTTATTTAAAAAATGACATATTGCCCTTATAAGGAGATTTACCAACTGGTTTAGACATCTTATGTGCATCTTAGTTAATACCTTAGTGTCTTCATGAGCAGCCTACAGTCTCTTTCTTGAATTACTTCCTTACACTTTTTCTTTTAAACCTTGGCATTTGCCCTTATTTCTAAATCCCCCATGCAAAACTTCTCTTATATCGACTCATTAACGAGTGCTTTTATTTTGTATATTTACCGGAAGTGACTCAGCCGTCATACGCAATAACGCTTCACAAACGTGAATCTCCCGTTTGACGTCACTCGGGAGCCTGGCTCGGCTATCTGTCATCCGGAGCGCAGAGGGAAAGGACATGTCATGGAGCTAAATTTTACCGACTACACTCATATATGCGCCGAAGATTGGTAAAAGCGTCCGGGAGTTTCGGTTTATCTTCGTACAGAGTCAGCGCCACTCTCCTGTCGACGTTTTAAGGAAACAGAGGAGAAGCTAACCGGCTAGCTAGCTCGTAGACTTACTTACTGTAAGTGTTAAAGGTTCCACTTCAAACAGAAAGGTTCCGCATGGCGTTAATCCTGTTTACGAGGTCCAGGGCGCCTCTCGTGAAAACGTCCAGGTCACTAAAAAGCGAATTCAGGAAAGGTAAGTGTTCATTAATTAACATTTATATTTAAAAAAGTCGATTTTGTGGCTCTTATTAACAGAATCGTATGATAATTGGAGAGTCATGCCTCCATTTGGTCAGGAGGTTTGGGGGGTTTCGGTGTTTTGGTTTCCAGGAAGATGGTGGGTGACTCAAGGTGACAAGACAACTCTGCATCCCCCTTTATAACATCTTTAATCCGTTATTATAAAATATAAATAAGTAAATATTCCTCACCTGAGCTATATTTGGTGCATTAGCAGAGTAAAACCCCCTCACTGGACCGAGAAGTCTGTAAATGTTGAGGATTCATCACAGGAGCAGAAACCTGATTTGGGATTCAGGTTACTTGAGGACAACTCGGTGTATGTTGAGGCTGTAGAGCGCCCCCTCTTTTCACTGCAGTCTGAGGATGCTGTTGTTATGGCAGACAGGATCCATCTGTTTTTCCAGCACGCCCCAAGATCCCCTTATTCCTGCCTGATGCGAGGAAAAACGGGCAAGATAGAAATGAAAATATATTTATATCCTCGTTTGGAGATTTGATGAGCTGATTTGGTTGAATTGATCTATGCAGTGGCGTTTATCAAAGAGAATTGATCCTGAGGATTCAATCAAGGATGTGTTATTGTATTATTGTCACGTGATTAGTGATTTCTGCTGATGTTTACCTTATATTTCTGCTTAATATCAGATATATGCCTCACCTTTTAGACACAGGATGTTACTACAGTGCTACAAGGTGTGATTAGGGATGGGAATTGTTAAGATTTTAGTGATATTGATGCCATTTTCGATTGTGCTTATTGATTTAATTCTTTAACGATTCCCTTATTGATGCCTAGACTGTAAGTTTTCACCGTTAACTCAAAATTTTATTGAGTCTCTGATAACAGAAGTCTAAAAACGGTTGGTATTAAGTCAGATTAGGTTGACCATATTCTCGATCCCCAAAAAGAGGACATTACTAAGTGGGAGGCGGAGTTGCGCACAAAATTTCGAGGGTTTTGGGGTCAGGTCAAGTGTTTTCAACGCGCCTCTAACTCAGTTAGTCCAAGTATGGCATGCATTGTGCGTAAGTTAACACAGGACATACGTACCTTCCAGGCGTGGCAGCAGCGGCTGACGATTTGAAGAAAGGAATCATTAAGGGAATCGTTAAGATAACATGTAAACAATGTCGATGGATTGAACCATTTGGAACAGTTCTCAACTCCCATCCCTAGATGTGATACACTTCTTTAAAGCTTCCTGCCGTTAAATGTCACGTGATGTAAGAAATGGGATTCTTTGTAACAGATTTCGCCACAAGCTATTTGCACACCTGTAGTGCAACAGCAGGTAAACTCTTAAGTAAACACAGCAGAGGTGTTTTCCCTCCACAAACTGTCTGTTTGATTCAGTTCAGATGACTTTACACAATGACTTTACATAAATAACACAAAGTTTATTTATTTTATGACATGATACAGAAGAAAACAAACAGTATATCCCTGTTGAGAAGCCAAACTGAGCTGCTGTTATCATGAAATTATGATAAAATTGCAGTTTTAGACCATTTATTACAAGATTAATACATTTGTCAACCTAATATTTGCAGTAAGATCGCTGTGCCTTAGATATCTGAGAGTATGGCAGAAATTGTGTGATCAGTGGCGTTGGCTTTGTCACCGATGGACCAACCATCTCATATCAGTCTGATTTATATCATGCATTCCTGGTTCAAAGTGAGAGTGTCTCAGCAACCTCATATCGCCTCCTGTATTGATAAGCATTTCAAGTAAGCAGTTGTATAACCAGCTTTCACATTTCCATTGTTAAGCATTGCTAATAGGTGCAGCACAACCCATAGTAAGTGATGCAAAAGACATTATCAGATGATGCTACAGAGGAAGCGATAAAATAATGTCTGCACTTCAGCCGGCGCATTAAAGCCGAGCTTATAAATAGATGGAAGGGTCATAAAGGGAATTTGTCTGTCTGCAGCGGGCGGCTGAGACTGCGCTCTGGACTCAGGCCCAGATTATCAGACGAATTGTGGCGCTTCCACAGTGAAAGGTCAGTGTCTTTAATATAAACTCCACCTGACACAGACCGAGCTCCACATGAGACCCACTTGCAGTGAAGTGAACGGACACTGCCTCATATCAAGACGGACGCGCTTTACATCACACGCTCAAAGTGCGTTTTCCTCTTGTGTAAGCCACACCAGGAGTTTGTCGAATCAGGTTATTGACGGTGAAAAAAGGGACATTTCACCCCTTATTTCTTCACATTGTTCATTTTTTGGGAGGAAAATTACATTCAAGGCTGTAACTATGAACCAACTATGAATAGATAGAGAAAGTATCTGCTCGAGTTGCAAGGGTGAAGTGACCGAGAGTGTTTCTGTCCTGCTTTTACTGCCGAACATTGACCAGAGTTCTGCAGAGTCGTCGTGCAGCGGTCGTCAATCAAAGGTTGTGAGGTTAGAAGTAGTAAAGATTAAAATGTTATCTAACAGTGTCAGTGAACCGCAGGAGGAACAATAAAGTTTGAGGTAACTACATGTGCTTTGGAGTAACGCGAGGACTCCATATTTGCTTTTTTTAAGCGGCCGGTGACTCCTTTTATGAGGTTTTCTCCAGCTGTGCTCGCTGTCGTTTCCGCTCATTTCACACTCATGAGATGTCCAAACATGCGAGTTTCAGTTGTCTGGCGTTCATTCAGTACAAGTGTTAGTGAAGTCCTGTGGGAAATGACCTAAAAATGTCACTTTTTATGGGTTCTGTGAATGGAGACACCTGATATTTTGCAGCCGCTAAAAGCACATACCGGGAAAGTCAGACATATTTAAGGGATCGACAGTCTGGACCTGCATTTACCAGCACTCTGCACAGCAAACAGGAATATTTTGGATCCTTTTCATGTGTTTTTGAGTCATTAGCAGATGCAGACAAAGTGAGGTTCATGCTGTGGCACAGTAAATCTGGATGTACCGCTCGCTAGGACTGCATGGCAATAGAAGAAACATCTGCTGTAGGTGTTTTCCAGTTGCTAAACCAAATATAGCTTGGACATTTGATAAATCACAGCTTTCTAACATGACATTAAGTTCAGGATGAATAAAAACAGCACACGCAGCTTGTTTCTGCAGGACTCTGCTGCTCTGATATCCTCTGATAAAGGTTGAAAACTCTCTCTCTCTATCAGGAGAACTTCAGAGATCTGACTCCAGGTCTGTTTTGGTGTCACCCTCTGAATGAAGACGCGTTGCTAAGCTGCAGTTTTAGCACTTACTGCCAGACAGCTGCAGGCTTCAGGTCACACGTGAGTGCCGCTGCACGTAAACGGCAGAGTGTGACCATGTCATGACCTCTCCTGACTGGACCCGGTTTATTTAGAGTCAAGACCAAAACTAGGGCATCACCATAGTAAACAATGACCTAAATAAGTCTTCAACATCCAAATTCTGAAGAACAGCAACACTGACCTACAGCTGTACATGTATAGAAGTTTAACTTCACATCACTGTGGCTGGAGGAGAAACGCTCCTTTTACTGGAATCATTCAGTCGTTTACTTTCACTTTTAATGTGGTTTTGGGGATGACTCACACCCTCCTCCCTGTTGTGCAATTTTTCTGGTGACAGAGCGAGTCGCAACTGTATCGCCATGGAAACAAAAAGTGAAATTAAGTTGAACTGTTGCGTGAATGTTTAAAAGAAATCCCCACTATTGTTGTGTAAACATCACTTGTTTCTTTTGGGAGTTTGTCTGTGTGTCTGAGAACAGAGGGAGTCATGCTCTACAGCCTCAGGGACCGATTTGTGATTTTTGGGTCACATTTCTCACAGTGTGCGGATTGTAAAAATGTTCCTCTAAAAGCTTTTGGATTTGTCGCGAAATCACATTTTTATTTCCTGATAATCAAAAACAAAACAATTCATGATAAGAAAATTGAAGGATATTAGACTGTTAAAGGTTATGCTGGTTTAAGGTGGAGTTTGTCTGTGAGGACAAAAAACACATGGGAGGGAGATCCAGTCCAGAGTTTTTATTCAGTATGCATTCAGCTGGTTTCTCTGGGCGAGAAAGAATTGAAAAAAGTGAATTAAATTAAATACAATATCATCATTTTCATCAATAATATCAGAGCAAATCAACGAAAATGATTCAAATATATGCAAACTGAGAAACATCCTTTTTTTAACCATAAAATTATGTACAAGTCAGGATAATAAATCACAGATGAGTATTTTTTAACAACTTAAACAAAGCAAACTCACAGTGTAAGCACACAGTAAATTATACTGGTGATGTTTCTCCCAGTCAGTCAGCTCTATTGTCTCCAGTGTTCCCAGTAAGAGTTTGTAGCAGGTGAGTTTTGGGCCTTTAAGACTCCGGGACTCCTCCCACACAGGGAGTCTGGAGTCAGGGAGGAGAGTCAGAGAGTTCTGGAAAAGTTAAGGCAAGAAGAACAGTAATACTTTTATTAAACATTTACTTTAAATAAACATAACCTCTTACTTACAGGCTCTCAGAGGGATGCTACAGTTAGTTAGCAAGCAGCTGCCCCTGGTGTATTTTTTATTCATGAATTTATTTTCCATTTTTATTTAGAGGTTATTATCTACCTTCCAAGTGATCTAAAATAGAAATGCATTCACCTAGTAATGATATAAATAACAGCTGTAGAACCAGATCAACAATATCAACATGTGACATACTGAACTGAAAGAGCTGTAAGAACAAAACCAAAACTAAACCAAAACCCCCCAGAGTCCTAAAAGCACACAGGAACCCTGCAGCAGAGTGAAGCCGCTCACACACAGTCCAGGTGAACGACACGCTGTTGGCTCATCGACTGTATTTCCAGGGTTTTCTTCCTGTACTCCAGTTGCTGGGCGCTAAGCCACAAAGGTGACTCTGTTCCAGTAAACTCGGTGTCCTCCTGGTCTGCCCACAGCCAGACCAGGCCTTACTGGATTCACTCCAGCCGGCCATGTGAGAGGCAGAGGGAGGGCGTGGCTTAGCCATGTGCTTTAAGACGATTGGTTTAAAGTGTCTCACCACTCCACCTTCCCTTTGCATGTACGTCACGCTGATGGCGGCCTCAGTGCAGGGGGAGCCTCACTGTGGGCCTCACTGTGGGGTTAAAACTCTGACCTCTAAGAACCAACTCAGTGGAGGAACAGTGCATGTTCAGAGTTTAGCAGATAATAAACATCACAAATGATGATCTTGAGAATAAAAAGCAAAGACGATCTTTCAACAGATGGAGGAAAAATCTGTCTGCACATCGCCTCCACTCATCTGTGTCTGTGTCTGAGTAACGGCCTCTTATCATAGCTGCTCACGTTTGTCTTCTCTCCTTTCAGGAAAATTACAAGATGGTGCCTGTTTCAACTGCACAGCGCTCAGACTCTCCAGTCAAAAGTAAGCTGCCCACATGTGAGGCGTTCTCGGGGTCTGTAATCCCTGGAAACGTCAGTCAAAAGCTTCTGAATTAAGAAGTTAAAGCTCTGCTGCATGATTTCACATCTTCAATCCAGTTTCTAAGTCTTTGAAACTTTAACTTGTCAGTGATTCTGTTACGTAACAAAGAGCAAACCTTTACCAAACATGGAGATCAATTTAGAGATTAAGTCTGACAGGTTTGCTCAAATTCAACACTCCAAAAATCTCACACCCACTTCTCCACACCTTCATTGTGCAACAGTGAGATTTTGTATCCTGAAGCTCTTTCTCCTGTCGCCTCCTCAGACTCGATGGACTCCGACTCGGTAGTCCCGCACAGGTCTCCTCTTTCGGGTCCTCCCTCTCCTTGTCAGAAGGCTTCATCGGCCCCTGCCAGAGCCTGGACTCACAGCGCCTCTACTGCGCCTTCGTCCCCGGCGTCTCCCCCTCACCTTACCCCGCAATCACATCGGGTCCCCAGTGGACGATAGTGCAACCACAGGACATCGCGGGCGTCCGGTGGATACACACCTCCAGGAGGAGGCTGGACGATTCGAAGGTGGAGAAGTCGCTGCGCTCGTTAAAGGACAAGAAGAAGAAGCTGGAGGAAGGAGGGCCGGTGTACAGCCCCACGCTGGATGCAGAGCCAGTGAGAAGGACAATCAGACAGAGGGTGATAGATGAAATCAAACACTACTATCACGGCTTCAGGCTGCTGTGGATCGATACCACGATTGCTGGGCGGATGCTGTGGAGGGTGCTGAACGGGAACGCGTTATCTCGCCGCGAGAGGAGACAGGTGAGGAAGGAGTTAGAGGTGTAACGTAAATTCTCGTAACCTCCTGATCATCAACATTTTGCTCATTATGATTTCAAACAATAGGATCAATCAGCCAGTGTCCCCGGTAAACGTCGTTCTCTCTCCAGAGCAGATAACCAGCATGAGTTCAGAGATTACCGACAACTTGGCGAGATTCATATCCAACAACCCCGACATCTTGTACCGTTGAGTGTAATCCACAGCTTCTCCGTCTTAACAGGATCACTGAGAGAAACTGGCCGCACGCTGAGTTTGACACCAGGCAGATTGGGCTTCTTGAGTAAATCTCTCTTAAGAAGAAGCTCGACGTGTCTCTTCTTTGATTAAATCTAATGTCAGCCGTGTTTACACTTTCCAAAGTTTCCCACCTCTGCGACTGGAGTTAAAGTTTTTAAAAACAGAGCACAGGGATGTAGAGATGTCCACTTCAGGGGTATTTAGATATTAACACTCAGAGATGTGACTTACTCTGAAGGGATTAGCTTAATTTGATAAAATAGTTTTAATGTTTGTCTTCATGATTTGCAGCATGTCAGTATGGAAACACTGGTAAAAACTCACTTTATATGGTGTTAGTGATAAATGAGGTTTGAAGGCCAGACTCTCCTGTCATCTCTGACACGATCCGCTCCCGTTTCTTAATCAGTCTGCTGAGCCACGTCTGGTCAACCTCAGGGAAGTTTGTCCGGATCGAGGCTCCGAGCCCATTTGGTCAGGTTGAGCAGGTTTGGCAGTCGGCAAAGTGTCGTGTCAGCGAAGGTCACGATATCCGTCCTTAATTGTACGGGAGAGAGCAGCATTAGTGGGCAGGAATGAGCCGATTAATCTGTGATATACTCAGTTACTGAGAGGTTGACTTAAACTCGACTGGTCTGGTCTTTGAATCTTTTCGGGTTCTTTAGCTGAAGTGAATCAGGATGCTCGTTTGCTTGTTGCTCGATGATTGCAGAAATCATGATCATTTAATCTGGTTATTTACCTTTTGATTAACTTCTTAATTTCTCATAAGCTACATCAGATGCATTTATGAAAGTAAAAACTTAAACTCTTTCAACATTTAAACATCTGGAGACATATTTCTGAATGGTATGGATCAATATCTCTCCCTGTTTAGCATGACTAACATAAACTAATTAACGTTTCTGATACAAAACAACACAGTAGTATAAAAAAAGATACAATACAATGGGACACAATACGATACAATAAGTTATTATACCATTTCAATTGATGCAATAGGATTCTAGTTGATATAATACAAGATTTTACAAGATGATATAATACCAACAAAAGTACAATACTGTACAATTCATTAAAATACAATATGAAAACATACAGTACAATAAGATACAATGTGATGTGTTACGATGCAATACAACACAAAATAATTCATTACAACATTACGACATGATACAATGTCGTGCTGTACAATATGATACAATACAACAGGAAACGATACTCCTTTAATTCGTCACAATGAGATCCAATGTGATGAGTTATGATACAATACAGCACAATACAATTCCTACCAACATTACGACATGATACAATATGATATAATACTAAATTATATGTTATATCGTAAAGTAATGTATCATGTTATAATACAATATGACATGACAAAGTACGATACAGTGCAATTAATTAAAATACAATATGAAAACATACAGTACAGTAAGATACTGTTCAATACTATATGATAAAATCTAATCCAGTATGATAAGAAATGATACAAAACCAACTGATAAGATACGAAGAAGTTCAACATATATTAGTATTCGTAGTGATTCGTTACAATAAGATTTGATATGAAGCTACATGCGACAATATAATACAAACAACAGGAAACAATAAGATACAATGTGATGTGTTACGATACAATACGACACGGTACAATTCATTACAATATTACGAAATGATACAATATGAAATAATACTGACGTGTCATTTAATAATACTAAATTATATTATAAGATATAATACAGTACAGTATGATACTGTATAATTTGTTAAAATATAATATGAAAACATACAGCACAATAAGATACTGTTATATGATACAATCTAATACAATATGATAAGAAATGAAACAAAACAAACTGATATGATATGAAAGGATACAATAGGACATGATATGATACACATCAATGTCCTAAATCAACAATAGTACCAATAAATAAAACAAATAGATAAAATAACATTGAATACCAACAATATTTCCAATGAAAACAGTAAACACATATAAAGGAGTCCACACATACCTCCTGTACATTAGTCTTAGTGTAGTGAGAGACAGTTTTAAAGATAAGAACATCAGTAATGTGGGGTTTGACTCAGCAGCATAAAGGAGTTTTTAAAGTGGTTCAGTTCACATTAGTGGACCCTGAAAGAGCTCATACTCAGAGTGGAGGATGTGAGGAGGGTCAGACGTCTGTCTCTGGATTTCTCAGGAACAGACCGCTCATGTATTGACTGGAGAGCTTCAGACCTTCACTGCAGCCTGAGTTAAACATGCATGTGAGGCTGCTGCACCATGTGGACATCTCATGCCTGAGCCTGATCCAGCCTGTCAGGACTCAGTAAAAAAGTATTGATTGTTTTTTTCCACTCATGATTCTTTCAGCCGTGCTCAGGTGGTCAGTGAAGATGACGACCACAGTTTCCCCCTTCATTAAACTCACACCACAGACCCATTTGAACCTTTTCAAATGCAGCTGACTCCCTCTGAGCGCCGTCTTCTCTCCATTCATCTGACCCGGGCTGGTTTTTGCCTCCTTAATCTCCTCCTTTCATATTCACTTACACTACTCAGGCCTCCATTTAAGGCTATTTTAATCTGTCACCGCCTCCTCCCTCCTTTTGATGTGAAGCTCTGAAAGATGATATACATGTCAATAGGCTCGCGGACAAAGGCCCTTTCACCCGGCCGGGTCTAAATCCTTCACCCTACTTCTCCGCCGACATGCAGGTGGAAAGGGCGGAGAAAGAAGGACTCGTGTTTTGGCCTCCTCTCCTCAGGGACCGTTTCTGCAGATGCCTGCTCTGGATTGTGTCCCGCGCCGGTCAGTAAGCCACAGTCGGACAGCTGTACAATAAAGTGTCCCACTGTTGGCCTGGTTCTCCTAATCTCTGAGGATTGTTCAGGTCCGCTCTGAACAAACGTGTTTCCTGTTGGCTCAAGAGGACACTTTCTGAGCCGCCTCTGTTCACTGCAAACCCGTGAATTTGGAGGTTTCTGTTGCTATGGAGATGTATAGGTCTGAGGTTAAAAGTGCTGATGGCTGGGACTGTGATTAGAGGGATTGAGCAGGAGGGGATTGTACTGAGGGGACAAAGACGGACGAGGTAAAGCCTTCCTCACTGTCGGCGTTTCCTCTCAATGCTGCTCTCTGCTGGAGGCATGCACAAACTACAGGGGGGGAGGACACACGGAGGCCCCATGACCTAGATCTGGTATATTCAAGTGTTTTTTACTGTCAGGGAGGAAATGTGGCGTTATAGCGGAGCGAAGAAAGCGCCAGGGAGATAAATACTGTAAATAAACCCTGAAAACAAGAAAAAAAGAGACAAATACACGTGCAGAAAATCTGATAAAAATAATCAATAATAGCCTGGTTTTCTTATTGATGACTCGGCTGTGTTAAATACTTGATTCTGATTGGTCAAACCCCCCGATCACACATGAAAAAACTTTATCACATAAATCAATCCAACTAAAGGAGATTTGACACATCTGCTTTACTCTTGATGATTCCCCGCCTATGAATACTGTTGCCATGGAGACGCTACTTGGAGACATAACTTATGCAGAATGGAATCGTTTCAGAGCGCACAAGACCTCTCAGGGTCGTGTCCACCCAGAAGGGTTTTTCTTCTGATTATTAGTGCATTCTCCCATTATAAATATTATAAATTTAAAACATGAATAAACTTTATATGAAGATAAATAGATATTGATCTGAAATCTACACGTTTCTTAGCAGGTCTGCATTTTTTCTCATCTTGAATAATTTTTTTTTTTTTTTTGATTTCTTCTCCTTCAGTTTCTCAGAACATGTGCGGACGTCTTCCGACTGCTCCCCTTCCTCGTCTTCATCATCGTCCCCTTCATGGAGTTCCTGCTTCCAGTGGCTCTGAAACTCTTCCCCAACATGCTGCCGTCCACGTTCGAGACACAGTCCAAGAAGGTAATCGGAGCGCCAGAAAACATCATCTTTATCTAATTTTATTATTTTTTAAATTTCATTTTATTCAAGTTGATATCAAACACGTAGTCATTTATGGTGAATTCGTCTCACCTGTTTTCAGGAGGAGAGGTTAAAAACGGAGCTGAGGGTCAAACTGGAGATGGCCAAGTTCTTGCAGGACACCATTGAGGAGATCGCTCTGAGGAACAAAGCTGCTCAGGGAAACGTGACGGAGGAGTTCTCCACCTTTTTCCAGAAGGTCAGTGTCAGTGTGCCTCAATTAAAATGGTTGGGAGGAGGCTCAGTGCTGCCCTCTAGTGGTGGAGTGATAGAATGAGAAATGATTCATAAACGTGGTTTAATCGATGTCAAAAAACAAATGTATCTAGATTCGTGACTCAGGCGAGCGTCCCAGCAACGAGCAGATCATCAAATTCTCCAAACTGTTCGAGGACGAGCTGACGCTGGACAACCTGACCCGACCTCAGCTGGTGGCGCTCTGCCGTCTCCTGGAGCTCCAGTCCATCGGGACCAACAACTTCCTCCGTTTCCAGCTCATCATGAAGCTGAGGGCCATCCGAGCCGACGACAAGGTTCATTAAAGAGCCTGAATTACATAGATTCATAGTTTTTCTTTTCCTGAGTCGCTGAACATCATGTGTTTTGTTTTTACAGCTGATCGCAGAGGAAGGCGTGGAGAGTCTGAACGTGAACGAGGTGCAGGCGGCGTGTCGTGTCAGAGGGATGAGGTCTCTGGGAGTCACAGAGGAGCGTCTGAGAGAGCAACTGGTTCAGGTAAGAACCGGATCAGGGAGGGAGGAGACTTTTCGTTTTAACGTTTTAACTGTTTGTGCCGCAAATCTGATTCCTCCTCATCCTTTAAATTATTGATAAAAGCGTTTGTCACTTTGGAAAAACATGGCGTCTGTACGTCTGTAGCAGATGATGTCTGTTTGGTTCTTGTAGTGGCTGGAGCTTCATCTGAACCAGCAGATCCCTACGTCCCTGCTGCTGCTGTCCCGAGCCATGTACCTCCCGGACACGCTCTCCCCCGCCGACCAGCTGAAGACGACTCTGCAGACGCTGCCTGAGATGGTGGTACGTGATCAGCTGTCATCATTTAAAGTAAAGCTTGAGGTTATTTTGACTTTATAAAAGCAGATGATTTAGTTCTCCGCTCCTCTGTCCAGACCAAGGAGGCCCAGCTGATGGTGGCGGAGATGGAGCTCTCCCAGGTGGATAATAAGACGAAGCTGGAGACGACGCTGCGGGAGGAGGAGGCCATACGCCAGGACAACAAGGACAGGGAGATGGAGAGGTTGGCGGACGCTGCAGAGAAAGCTGCCAGGGTAACAGGATACAGCCTGACTTTCAAGATGGAAACCTGTAACTGTGTTTTTTTTTAAGTATTGACAGTAAAATGTTTGTCTTGTGCAGGAAGAAGAGAAGGAAATCGAGGCAGAGAGAGTTAAAGCGGATGTTTCCTCAGAGATCCTGAAGGATACAGCGCCTATCATCGAGGGAGTGAAGGTAATGATATTCTATTTGACAACATGCCAAATATTAAAACTGGAAATTTTAAATGTTTTATAAAATGTATACGCTCTTTTTAAATTTGATGCCAGCAGCAGAGAGTTTGAGGATTTGATTATCTAAAAAATAAATATGATAAGAAGAAGTTCTGGAGGGTTGTAATCTTTGAAATCACTGCACAGGCTCAAAAATAACACAGTTCATCTTAACATCTACAGCGCAGGTTAAAACTGAACCATTCAAAGAGGAAAACGTTCGTAAACATGATGCAAAAATACCAGTATGACTTCCTCCTGGTCCTGAAACTGGTCTCCTCAGACCCCGAATGCTAAAAGTAGAAGCTCTAAACCTGCCTGTCCTGACTCTTTAGAGATGTGTTTCTGACATCAAATTAAAAATGAGCGAACACTTTTGAGAAAACCTTGGAATGTGAAGCTTTTGCTTTATTTTTAAGGCTTTTAAATGATCATAACCAGCTCTGAACATGTTATTCAGTCTAGGCTGTACATTTGTGAATATTTAACGAGTATTTTCTGTTTGAATAAAATACCAAACAGTCTTTTCTCGTCGTTATGACGTCTGTTACGATGATAACTCTCCAGGTTGTCATTTTTTTGGTGTCATTAACTTGTTGCCTCCTTCTCATGACGTCACCTCTGCGTCTCCTGTACCACAGTTTGAACAGTGGCATTCGTTCCTGCGCTTCCAGGTTAGGTTTAACCATGTCTCCTCCCAAAACGACCCTCACTCCTTCACCAGTTCACCTCCTGCACGCTCGAAAACTTCTCCTCCTCTGAGCGGACCACATGAGGGTCAAACAGGACTCGCATTTGTAACTCTGGCGTTTATCTGAACTCTTTCAGTCTGACATAACCGAACTTATTACCTAAATAACCTTAAAATGTAAAGTTTAAAGTTAAGGTTAAAGGCGGACATATCGTGTTTACTTTAAAAACTTTCAAGCACAAAAATCAGAACCTCTCAGAGAGTCTGAAATGATTCAATAAACGCCAAATACAAAGTGCAGGTTCAGTCTGACCCTCATCTACATGGACTTCTCCTTCTCTGCCCCCTCTTTGTGGATCCTTCCAGCCTTTGTCATGGACCTCTTTATCTAACAAACCCTCTTCGTAGCTCCACAGAGTCCTCCTCTTCCTCCTCCTCCTCCTCCTCTTCCTCATGTGGTTTTGTGTATTTGGAGTTAAGGGAGTATCCCAGTGGCCTCTAGATCTTCCCCTTATTTACCCGTTTTGTGTCTTTGGGTCGTCTCTTATGTGGGTTTGCACATGTGGAAGCTGTTAAACGGATGATCTTTGTGACCTACTTCTGATAGAAACTTGAGTTTTTATTGATTTACACTCAAACCAGGGAGAAAAAATGATCTCAGAGTGTCTTTTTTCAGTGTTTGATAAGTCTTTTCTTTGCTCTCAGGGAAATATTTTGTATGTTTTCAGTTTGGTTGTTGCATCTTTAGCCACAGTTTCTTTGTATTTGGGCGCGCTCACATCAGGCCTGCGCTCTCATTGCTCAAACAGGCCTCGCCATGTTAACCCGTGTTACCTAAACCATTAGAAGAATCATGCATGACCTCCTACTATCATGCAAAGAGGCGTGGTCACAGACCGCAAAGTGGACAACAAACAGAAAACGTGACTGCAGATTTAACCGTTTACTCGCCTTTGGAGCGGTCTAATCTTTTCACAGTATTTATTTTCTTAGGTACATCTACCTATGAATCGAGCAGAGTCTCAGCTCGTGTGAGACTATGATCATACCCTCCTCGGTTTGATTTACCGGTGCCTATCTTGCTCCATTTAACCTCCTTATGCCAGTACAGGAGTCGCCTTTTTACCCCCTTCCTCCTCATCCTTTTAAATTGAACAAATCTGTGTTTTTTTGCTGCTTTTGTTCATCAAACTCGCAGCATAAATACATATAAACGTGCGCTCTGCTTGTGCACACCCATGAGAAACCACCTCTGTCTTCAAACCATGTTGAGGCTGAGGATTGCCGGGTGTGAGCGCGCCCTTATGCACCTTTATTTTATGTCACTTTTAATTTACACTCTGTGGTGAAACTCTCATTTTACTGCACTGTTATCGTGGATCAGTGCGGCACGTTTTCTTTGGGGTTCATATCTTTAGAAAAGAAAAGTATCCGATCAGAGACATTACGGAGCGTTTTGTGTTTTAGGGTGAGGAGATCACCAAAGAGGAGATCGACCTGCTGAGTGACGCCTGCACGAAGCTGAAGGAGCAGAAGAAACTGTTGACTCTGGAGAAAGAAGAGCTGGAGGAGCTGAAGGATGACGTCCAGGAATACAACGAGGTGCCCGTTTAAAGCTTTAACTTCAGTTTTCTCACGCTTTTGTCTCAGCATATATGTGTTTAAATCGTGTATCCATGTTTGCGTTCTAGGACCTGGAGGAGATTAAGAAGGAGCTCTCCAGGACAGGCCAAGAGAAGGGGATCCAGGAGTCCAAGGCGAGCCAGCGTCTCTCCAAGAGGGTGAACCGGATGATCGGCCGCATCGACAAGATCATCGGGGAGCTGGAGAAGGACAAGGTCATCCTGGACGGACAGATCGACAGCGGATCGTCTCCACCTGTGGGGTAAGAGCTGCAGAGTGATGTTTGTGTTTGTTCAGGGTAGTAAACCTCGAAGCTGTGTGTGAAAAGCTTTAGTTTAGAGAGGAGAGGATGAACCGCCCTGCAAACACGGGCGCTGTTCAAAGTTAAAATACTTAATTTCCTTTTAAACCTCTCATTTAAAGCGAGTTTAAAAAGCTGCTGTGGCTTTGGCGGCTGTGTGTTTGAGTTTGTGGCTTTTGGAAGTAAACGATACAAAGACGACTGTTTTAGAGCGAGGAAACGAACGGTTCCTCTGAAAATGTCGACCTTGTATCGTTTTCTTTGACTCATTTCATTCGAGACATTATTTCTGTTTCAGTTTAAAACTTTTATTTTCGTTTCCATCTTCATTAACATCGTAAAATGGTGGTGGAGATACAAAGAGGAGCGAATTGTTTCCCAGAATAAATAAAACCTGAAATTCTGTTGGCTGTATTTTTTAAATCCACGGCTCTAAGATCAAATTTATCCAAAATTTTCCAGATTGTTCTTTACTAAATGTAGCGATGCCTCGAGGTAAGTCCGTCTGTAGAAAAACCGCCATTTGCTTACCCGCCAAATACTGACATTGCATCGTGGTTGTGGCTCATCAGCTCCTGAAATTAGGGATGCACGGATCTGACCCTGGAGGGAGAGATCGACCCCATACTGACCCGAGAGTCCGGATCATGTATCGGGTCGATGCTTTTCAGTTTGTTTGTTTCGTGGAGTGTGAGCTTCAGGTGAGATCGGTGCATCCCGAAGTGAAATTGTTGATCAAGCTTTCATGTGTGCTCATTCGGGTTTTTTGCTTCTGGTGTAGAAAAACTCAGATTGAATCCAAACATCTAACCCGAACCTCCTGATTTAGAGACCGCAGAGTCTGAACTGAATGTTTTATCTGTGAGATATTAACAAATATTAGAAATCAGATTTAATTTTTAGAGATTAGATTAAAACTGCATCAGTAACACCCCAACACTAATCTCAGCATGAATTAACGTCCACCTGGCGTGGAGAATAGAAGCTCAACCATTTGATTGGTGTGATCTGGGAACCCCCCCCTCCCCCGAATGCAGCATGCCGACCTCTCCACCGCATTTTACGTGCGGTCCAACCTTGTAACCGTTTCCTGTATGCAGTCTGTTCTACACCTTCAGGGAGAACCTCGTCAGCATCGATGAGCTCATCAACGTCATGCGGCAGATCCAGAACATTCCAGAGCACAAGCTGCAGAGCATCGCCGACGCCCTCGACGACAACAAGGACGGGAAGATCGACATCGACGACGTCATCAAGGTGGGTTTGAGGGGGGAATGGGGCGCCGTTTTAGAGTCTTAAGATAACCTTCATATAAAAACGGCGGTTTAATGTGAATTCACTGTTAACTCGTTCAGTACCAGGTTCATCTATACAATTTTCACTCAGTGTCACCATTGACTACAATAGAAATTTCCGTATCTTTCAGGACCCACAGAATATCTTGTTCTTGGACTAGAATTAACTGCAATAGCTCAAAAGAAAGAAAAAGTCAGTCTCTAACCTTCTACTGTGTTTAGTTATTGTCTGCTCAATGCAGCGTCTGGAAAGATCTGGAAAGAAGTCTCAGATCTGGAAAAAGAAACCTGGGAAAAAAAACAAATTTTTACGGAAGAGTGACTTTGAAGACGAACTCTGGTCGTCTATTGCATTTCACTTCAAACTACTTTACCGGTGGCATCAAGGTCCTCCCTCCTCGGACACCACTCCTCATCCGATTGTAATAAGTCACTTCGTATTGGCTCTCGAGAACCTGACGCCGCGACGTAAACCACATGGACTGCTTGCGTCCTCCTCGCTGGAACTGTCCCTTAATTCCAGCTCAGTCTCGCTCATCAGTACCGGCACTGGCGGCACAACGACATGCCGAAAAATTGTTTCTTTGATTGTCTGTTGACGGTGTGAAGGTCCTATACCGGGATCTCCACTGGACCAAGAGACGGTAGCACCGCGCCAACAGGAGCCGATGCGCCGAGACCGTTTGCTCTTGGCTAATGACTTCGGCATTTTCCTACTCCCCTCGTAAAGAAACACACTCCACAACTCGCCTAATTGGCACACTTCTCACTGACTAGTACTTGTTGTTGTTATCTTAACATGGTTATGAAGTATTTGTCGGCTTTTCTGCGTTCAGAACGACCCCAAACTTAGTCGCATTTTGGAGGAGCGCCCTCTGGTGGAAAACAAAAAACTGAAAAATCCATCAAAATCCGTCAATGGCGCTGAATGAGTTAAAGAGCACACTACCATGTACGCAGGTGTTCACTTGTGTCTGTGGTTTTTACGGTGTAACTATGATTTCCACTTACAAATGCTGGCAGCCTCAAAGTGAGCAGCCTGAGTTCAACTTTGACCTCCTGACCTTCACCACATGTCCTCTTCTCACCCAGTTTATCACTCTCTATCCACTGTATTCACTAAAAAACGAGGAACAAAAGCCTGAAATGATAATCAGTCACTTTCGTCCCGCAGGTGGTCGAGCTGATCGACAAGGAGGACATCGACATCTCCACCACTCAGGTGGCCGACATCATGGTGATGCTGCAGAAGGAGGAGAAGCTGATGGAGAAGGAAAAGGCCAAAGACAAGGCGGAGAAAGAGCAGGCCGCCACTCTCAACCACTAACTCGTTTTCCACAGAGACACAAAGCACTTGTAAAAAAAAAAAACAAACAAAAGAAAAAGACCACGGAGGAGTTTGAGGCTGAACCCCGGAGGACACAGAAAAACTCGGACACCAAGTCAAGAGAGAGTCCGAAGGTAACAGCTGTCTCCTCTTCATGTACTCACTCTAAATTTAGCACCTGTGTAAAAAGAAACCGAGGGCATATTGCCTTGAAAGCGCACAAAAACAAAAACTATAATCGCTGTTGTGTTAAACTCTTCCAGATTGATCATGTATCATATGTTGATATTTTGGATTTGTGTAATTTTACAGAGTAATTTATTGATAGTGGGAACAGAGCGACACGAAACCACGTTTGTTCTCTGAGCGTCAGAGAAGGTCAAGGAGAAAAATGATCAAAAATTATGTTTGAGGTGAACCGTCTTGCCTTTCCTTTCCATTCATGTCGTCATCATCATCATCTCGGAGAAATGAGCGATCATTTCTGAACTTTGCACAGTTTAAAAAAAAAAAGAAAATGACTATCATCTTTATTTTTCCTTTTCCATCCACCTCCCACTTTGTAAAGTTATTTTTTTATGAATTGTACTCAGACAGGGTAGCTTAACGCTGGATAGTGTGTGTAAACGGTGGCTGCGACCGCACATGTAATCAAACAGAAACAGATCAGCTTAAAAATTCAGCTTTAATTTCATCTAAACATAAAATAATCACAGCTTTATGTTCACTAAACCACTAAAACCAAAGTAAACGGAGGATTCGTGCTGCAGGATGTTTGATTAAACAGTAAAATTCACATTTATATTGTGCTGTATTATCTTTTAATTTTATTTAACGTAATAATCCGTCGTCTCAGTTTAGCACAGCTCTGCTCGTCTTCACTTTAGCCTTCGATAGCTCTCTGCAACACGCCAAAGCTGCACTGAGGCGCATCTTAAAAACACTGAAAATCTCCAAACAAATTGCCTGATATGAGATTTTTGAGTCACGTAGAAATTTAGTTTCTTATATCTAAGATTATTGATTATTGAGTTTAGGGAACTGAAAGGATGATGATAAAGACAGTGCAGGGAGTTTTATGAACTGGGGAGTTTGAGCACACTCTGCTGGACAGTCTCTGTTATTACAACATTTCGAGTTGTATTTTTTTGGATTTTATCTTCTATAAAAATAATTCCCCACCTGAAAACTTGAGCTGGTACGATAACCTCGTGTTTAAATATTCTCACAGAACATTTGCAACGTGAGTAAACGTGTAATTTAAAATCAGAAGACAGGGGATTAAGACTTTAAATATGATGCTATATAGATAATCACGGCGCTGGTCCACAGGTGTACTTGTTTGGCTGTATTTACAGGCAGTGAGGGTCTTAATTGTTTAGGGTTGAGGGTTTCAGTTTCAGGGAATAGCAGCTTTAAAAATCGTCCCGTTAAAGAGTGAAAGCAGCTCCTCGTGTTGAATGTTAAACGGTTCAGTGCGACCTCCACAGTCTCAACGCAAAGTGTCCTTCTCGTGACTGATCAAATACTGTTGTGTATTTATTTTTGAGTGTTTAACAACGAAGGTAGAAGTTCGATATCCTTCGTACTCGGATGTCATTTAGTTAGAGATGAGTATAACGGCGGATCAGGGTGTGTTTTATTTGCACTGCGGCGGCGAATGTGTGAGAGGACGAAGTCAAACAGCGATCATAAAACTAATCTCTCATCCTGTTGACTTTTCTTAATGAGGGTTCACACTGCAAACAGTCGGACTCTGATTTTTGTTTACCTTGAGAGCTTTTTCCAATTAAGTGATCTGATTGATAATTGAATAAAAACAAGAAAAAATGGACATTAGAAAATTTAAATAAAACAGAAAACAGGGTGATATTATTCACCTGGAAAGACGTGAAAATACTTTCGTTTGTTGTTCTTCTACAAAAATATTGCAGAAAATCGCAGAAATCCGATCACGTTTCTCTTCTTCTGCGTCGTTTGTCAGTGTGAACTAACAGTCAGGTTTTGATCCACCTTTCCCGTATTCAGCAGTTTTAGTCCTCGTCATCCCTCAGTACCCAGAGAAGAGCTCAGCTGTGAAGGAGACGAAGCGGTGCTCGAGATAACAGTGAGTGGAAGACGCTCCATTTAATCTGTTTATTGAATCCACTCCCAGACGAGTGGATGATTAAGAGGTCGTTCATCTCCTGTCAGACGCCGTCTCAGTTGCCTGACAGGACGAGGGCGCTGCTTTGTCTGGGACCAGTCAGACTGATGGGTGCTGGGTAAACACTCACCCATACATGGTCCACAGCCAGCTCCTCTGGAGGGGTTGTGTTTAGATTACAGACGATCCTGCGGGACATGGCACGCTCTCGGCTGCGTAAATCAAACGTCGGTGTAAACACGTCGGCGAAATATTGTGACAACTTCTCGATTGCACTTGGCAGGAGAGAGTGGTGTTTGTGAAATCACGGCTGACAGGTCCGACTCAGAGAGGCACTGTGTACATTAGCGGCACTGCCACCGTTTCTGCGCGCAGAGGGGCGAGAGGTCGGCGTGACGGCGAGAGAAAACAGAGTGATCGATACTGAAGGTTCAGACGGAGCAGAATCTGAAAATTCCAAGAGATCTCCAGTACGCTTGACCTTAAAAATTAATGCACTTAATTTACACGAGAAGGCAACTACTGACATTCTCTAGAAATAGTCATAATTCATCAGTGTGCTTCCTTTCTGTAGCTGCAGCTGCTCACCACAGGAGGCAGTGTTGCACTTTGTTGTTCTAGGACGCGAGAGTTTGAAGTGGAGAAGTTGTTTTCTGACGTTTCTTTAAGCTGCTGCTCTCTGTGAATGTTTGCCGCCGTGCAAAAGCGCTGCTCCTTTTTTTCATATGTCAGGTGTGTGTTTGTGTCTGAACTCGGGGTGTGAACAAAGTCTGACCCGCCTCGAGAGCCGAAGGTCTACAACAAACCGACAAACCGTCCTGAAAGATTCCTGTCCATCTTGTGTGCTTGAAGAAAAAAACAAGTATTTAGAGCAATAAGTCATTTATGCAACATGTACCTTTTTTTGATTTTTGTTTTCATCTTTTCCTCTGAGGTGGAACAAGTGTTTGATTTGCTTAAGCAGACTGTAATATATGTATAATAGAAATATAAAAGTGTAATCATGCTGAAAGAGAGATAAAAAAAGGTGCTAAAAGTGAAAGGAAAGAAAGTATTGAGTGGAATCTGCCACTTTTCCTACCAGGCTGCTGCGTGTTGAGTTGGTGCGCTTGTGGTTGGCTTTTGTACGGATTTCTTGAAGAGATGTAATCACTGTTGTTTTATTTTTTAAGTATTTTGCACTAGCCGTTTATATCAATAGAGAAATGCTACTTTTGTAGGATGAATATAAATATACGAGTTTTCTCTTGAGGTGGAAGAAGGGAGGGCGGGAGACTGTCGGCAGGATCAGTGAGTTTTTTAAAGTCAGGGAAACACGGTGCAGTTAGAGTCTTTATGTTTCTATACGAGCAGCTTTACAGGCAGCTAAGAGCTCTCTCAGGTTTATGGTGGCCCTGAAGGTCAACTGCACAAGGATTTCAATTTAAAAAAAAATATCTCTATGCCAAAATTTTTTTTATCAAACACCAATGATTCATTCAACACAAAAATGTTTGAAACAAGAAAAAAAAGATATAATTTTATCAAGTTTAAAATCATTTCACAAAAAACATTTCATAAAGTGCAACAATATTTATTGAAACACAAAATTATTTAACAAAACATTAAATTTCTCCATGTAAATTCAAGAAATTTTCACAAAAAAATTCACATTTAGCAAAAGTATTTAATGAAATAAAAAAAATCTCCCTATGCCAAAAATGTTTTACGAACTGTATTTATCAAACACCGATGCTTCATTCAACACAAAAATATTTCAAACAAGAAAAAAAGAAATAATTTTATCAAGTTTAGAATCATTTCACAAACAAAAACATTTCATAAAGTGCAAAAATATTAATGAAACACAAAATTATTTAATAAAATGTGAAAGTTCTTACAAAATAAAAATCACATTTGGAAAGTATTTTATGAAACAAGAAAAAAAATCACCAAATGTAAAAAAAATTTCATGGAATCAAAATATTTTTTCACATGAAGCACCTTATTATAAAATTCTTAAAATGACATGTTTTCTGAAATATTTACAGGTCTTGTGAAAACTTTTTGCACTTCATGACAAGATCTGGTGCGGGATGTAACTCCGTCTCATGAGCAGAACTTATTTTCACGTTTAGCTTTTTTTTTTTCCTTCTCATGAAAATTTTTTGTCTAAAATAAAAATATTGTGAAACATTTATATTTTGGAATAGTGTTTGTTTAGTGAAATTTTTTGGCAATCAGCAATTTTTTTTTTTTTTTACAGCGATAAAATGTTTGTGCAGTCGACCTTCAGGGCCACCGTACAGTTTCATCGTTAAAGCCTGGAAACATCAGTCAAAAAGTTGAACTAATATTTGTGCAGCCGCCATCTTTGAGAACAAGACTCATGTTGGTCAGACAGAGATCAGATCTGCGCGCTTCACTTTCTGTCTGAACACGTCTTAAAGAGTCGCATTAGCTTGAAAAACGCTCCTCATGCTTACGGTGTTACAGCTGAACGCCGAATATCGTTAAAAGAAAGAAAGAGGCAGACAAAGGCAGAGAGAAAAAAACAGGGACAATTTGACAAATTTGGAAAGAGGTGGTGACATTTTGCAGTATATTATTTTTGGTTCTATTTAATTTTGCATCATATCTGAAATAACAAAAAAAATATCCATTAAACCTGTATAAATTTAGCCCTCTGCAGTTTTATTTTATTTTGGAATAATTGTTGTATTTATTTATTTATTTAACCAAATTTTCCAGTTTTCTTTTTTTTTATTAGAGAATGACCTGAACTGGATCTGACTTTTGTTTCGACTCTAATCAAATATTTCATGTAAAGTAAAAAAACAAAACATGAATCAGCATTGTTGAATAAATTCTGGATGATCCTGGAGTCTCTTTTGTTTCATTTCCTTTATTTTCTTTCCTTGTTTTGTTCCCCCATCAATCTTTGTGTGTCTCCTCGCCTCCATGTGGTCGTCTTATGTCACGAGTGTGTCAGATTTTGAGCCTCCTATGCCACCATTTTTCGTTCCCTTTCATTCCTGAGCTCTCGCCACATCGCCGCCCCTCCCCTCAGAGCCCCCGTCCTGCTGGAATGTAACCAGATTCATTTTTCCAGCGACAGATTTTATCGTCTGCGAGCGAGTGATTGGGTAGCAGGATAAACAAGTACATAAAAGATCAGGAGTGTTTTCGAGTCAAACAGGTGTCCTCGTTTGTCCTTTATGAGCTTGAATTCAATATTTAAATCTGCTCTGAGCTTTTCCAGGTGAGGTTGGTGCATTAAATCTCCATCCTTTATCGCACTTCAGGAGTCAGGAGTTCATCTAAGGTGCTTCAGAAACACGCACATAGCAAAAAAATATAGATTTGATATTTTTAGAGAGTTGGTTTTCACTAAGAAAGAAACTATTTTACAGAAAGACGGCACTATAGGAGCCCCATCGTGTAAGATTTGTGACATATTTGAGGTCTGCAGGGTAAATGTTCAGTGTGCAGGATGATAACGTGTGCATGGTTTTTAAAGACAAATCTAGGTTTAAGTGACGAGTTCTGGTGTTTAATACTGACAATCAAAGCTGAAACAAGAACTGGAGGGAGTCAAAGTGGATTTAAGTTTAAGAGTCACCCTTCATAAACTAGTTTTATAAACGTTAAACCAAGACCAGAGTCCTTCCCTTCGCACGAACACCAACTGTGAGTGCCTAAACACGATCATCACAACTTTATGTTGCGTTACTTCCCTGTGTTAATGTATGGATGCTGCGTAAACGGTGTGTGTACAGGGTTCGCCAAGGTAGTGATGAGAAACTGGACCTGGTTTTGTACAAGTCTGTGAAGCTGTCGTAAATATATCTGTGTGTTTTTACTGTAAGTAGACGAAGAAGCTCGCTGCAGCAGGAAAAATCTCTCCGACTGCATGCTGAGGACGACATATCATGCACACGCCTGCATGACAGTTTATAGATGAAACTGTTGGACCAGATTAACTCGGAGTTCAGTTTGTGAGTCGGCAGCGTTCTTCAGTTTCACTTTCTCCTGCTGCTACAACCTGAACAGACTGTCAGCCTGAATATTCCAGCCCTTGTGTCGTAGCCGTGTGAGGATTTGGTTAAACGTGGAAACTGCTTCACTTACGAACTCTGAGGAAATACACGGACTGTTCTTAGAGTGCTGAAACTCAAGAAGAAGAAGAGGAGGAGGAGGAGGAGGAGGAGGAGGAGGAGGACTTGTTCGACCACATAACTAATGCTAACTATCTTCACAGGTGCTTCTTGCTTTTGTACCATAATGTTTGTTTCTTTAAAGCTCCTGTGAGTGACTTTTGGTTTGCATTGACTTTGGCGCCCCCTGTGGACAACATGTTACCCCCTAATCTCTTCGCTAATTTTCTAAATATGTAAGATATGTTTTTATGTGACTTATTTAGAATCTTTGCCGTTGAAAACATCTTCACTATCGGACACCTACCACCTAAAAAGCCGTTTTAAAAACCAGAAGTTACATTTTCGATATAGAAAGTCTCGTCTCTGATGGTCTCGTCTGCTTTTGTAGGTTTTAAATAAACATCAGTATTCATTTTAGTCTGATTCGAGCTTTAAAGCTACTCTGAGGAAGTTTTTAACTGGTCATGAAACAGGCTGAAATTTAAAGTGATGCAACAAGCTCGACAACATCTATGTTGTGGTTTTTGAGGTGAGGGGGTCGGTGTCACACCAGAAAATCCTCACAGGAGCTTTAATGTCAGTGCCTGCCAATAGATGAAGTTCTGGTAATCTATATTCTGAGTTAAAAGTTGTTTTTCCCATCGTTACTCCTCTAAACATTTATGATGAAGTTCTTGTCGGGGTCCTAAAAAGATGTTGTGGTTCACTGAGCTTCTGTGTTCCTGTTGTTGCTGTGTAAACCGAATCTCCCAAAAAGCTTTCAATGAATGACTAACGTCGTGAGGAGACCTTCAGTTAGAAATCATCTTCCACGCAGAGAGGCGGCACATGGCGCTGCGTTAAAGCAAGAAACAAGAAGGTCAAATATGAGACCAAAAATGTCGTCACGTGTCCATGTTTTATGACATCTCCCTGACCTTTAACCTTCTGTCTCACAACTGACTGTCATTTTTATGGAGCTAGAAACAGCGTGACTCGACCTGCTGCTCCTTCAGTGCCTTTAAAAAGCTAATCGATTTATTCCCAGTCTTTGTAAATTCTTTTGTCAGATTTGTCCTAAATACATATTTATGCCCAAACTGGGATGATTTAACAAGCTCAAACCAGCCCTCAAAAATACTGCAAAGAAGGCTGTTATAAACAGCCTGTCAAATCTCAATTATTTTAATTAGAATAAGATCAAATGAGGAAGTCATAACACATGGAAAAAAGTAGGAAAGCCCACCTTAAAAGGTAGGACACTGTGTCGAATAAAGTAAAACAGATTCTGTTGGTTTTCAAATCATTTCAACCAAAGACATAAAATGTTATTGTAATATAATTAATATAAATGTATTTAAATATAATTAGACAAGCCCTGAATATGTTCACTTCGTAATTGTCCTAACTAGTTAAAAGTTTGGGGTCTGTGTAGAATCAGGCGTGAAAATAAAAGTTCCCTACAGTCATATTTAGTAGACATGAAGCAAAACTAGTTTTTTCTTCCTTGTTTCAACTCCGTTTTGGTCTCCACCACCGTGTTCACCAGCGAGTTTCTAACTCTGTTCAGTTTTATTTGACTTTCTTCTCTGCGATAAAAGCGAAATAACGATCAATAATCAATTAAAAGTTCTGAAGAAGTTGCAGCAGACTGGGTCGATGATCGTCTTTATTTTAGTTTTAAAAGGTGCTGTGAGAAGCTTCACACTGGTGCTGCTGACAATGTTACAGTTTCATTCGAAGGTTTCGTGACATCTTCAGTCCTGTCGTTATCGTGTCGCTCCAGGCGTCTTCAGCTTCAGTGTGTCTGCGATTAAACTTTAAAAACCACGTTTAAGATTCACACCCACTCCTGTTCTTCTGTGAGTCATGACAGATGAATGTCCCCGTCACATTACAGGCCTCACGACGTTCAGAAATAAAAACACAAAGACTGAAGACAAAGGTGGTGGTAGGAGATATCGTTTGTTTTACGTTTATTGTGGAAGAAGAAGAAAAATCTAAAGCAAACCTAAATGTAACTCTTCACAAAGACTGAAAAGGTTCATGATCCCCGCTGAGGGTGAAAACTGTTTACCGCTGATAGTGAAGGTACTCTGTATAAACCACACGGTGCTGTCTGTCTGCTCTGCTTATGAATCTGATGTAAACACGCTCCGCTCTTAAACGAAGGAGAGACGAACACGTCTGAGACTTCTGGATTATTTAGAAGCTGCTGTGATCACGCTGTTGTTTATATCGCTTGAAACGAAATGCAATAAATCTCTCAACGCTGCTTCACTCTGCTGGTCTGTCTTCTCTAATATCATCCAACAGATTCAGTTACACGAGGCTGCAGGTTTGAATAGAGCTGTACTGAGGGAGAGTCTCCTGCTGTCTGTAAATGCTGCAGGTTTTAACCACCAATACCCGAGTCAAGACCTCGTGGTTATTGTAGTTCATAGGGGAACAAAAAAAGGAAACAAAATAAAAAAGCAAAATCACAGAGAGCAACGGGGGACACAAGAATACACATTGACGTACAGACACACAATGAACCAACAAGACAGAGGGGAAGACGGGGACTATATATACACACTGGGAAATGAGCAACAGGTGAGGCAGACGAGACACAGGTGAGACTCATGAGTGATTAACGAAGGAGGGAAAACAAGGGAAGTAAAACTAGACAAGAAACACAAGGAATCAACTCCTACAAAATAAAACAGGAAATAAACGCTGTATACTGATCTAAAGAATAAAAAACAGAGAACAGGAGGGAAACAGGGTCAAACACAAACTGAAAACTCACAAGAAATTCTCTGCAGCTTCTGTGACCGGTAAGACAGTGAAAAGGTGACTCTCACACCTGCAGGATAAAAGTGGAAACAAGAGCTTTAGTCTACGTTCCCACTGCAGGTTATGATTCACAGTTCAGATTTTTTGTTAAATCCGATCTTTTTGTGCGGTCGTTCACATTACAACAACGAATGCAGCATCTAATGTGAACGGAATACGTCGGTGAAGTGACCCGCATGCGCGCAAAGCACAAATCGCTTTCCGCGCCTGTTTGTGTTGTGGAACAATGGTGACGTTTGTCGCATATTGATGACGTATAGGTCGGATGAACATGACCTGAGCGTCCACACTGCAGTCACACCGGATACATATCTGATTTATATCCACATACAAAAGAGGCCTGAAGTAAGTATAAAGAAATCTGTAAATTTAAAATATCATTATAGGAACTGTTGATTAAAAGGGTAGAATTAAATAAGTTTAAACTTTTTCCTACTTCTTTTCAAACATGTAGATGGGCTTCACATGCAGGTTGTTGCCAACAATCTTTGTTTTCTTTTATTTATTTGTTTGGTTACTACCTTTATTCTGTTTTCTTTATAGCCTGTTCAAAGTAAAGCATTCATTCATTCATTCATTCAGTGTATTTCCAGACAGGTTTCAGTCGTAATACTGGAGGTAAATCAAAGTTTTAGTATCTTACACACTAAAATTACTCACTTCACATCTGCTGTGAACTAAAAATTAAACCAATTAAATATCCTGGACCTGATGGTTGAGTCACTTATTTACAAATCCAGGATGTGCAGCAGCTTGTACTGAACTGGCAACAAAATCTATGACAGCAGAAAGTAAAAGCTGAACAAGATGAGCATGAAAGCTGTGTGATTTCTGTCCTTTTATCGCTTTTATTTCTTTTATACTTTTGTGTTTTTATTTCATTTAGTTTATTTCGCTTTAAATGTTTTTTTTTTTACCTGCTTTTATTTATTTCCTTGTGATGTTTTCTACAGTGTTTGTCCTTTTAAATTTTTACTGTGCAGCACTTTGGCAAACTTGAATATTTTTTTAAAATGTGCTGTACAAATAAAGCCGATTGGTTTGGATTGGAAGATGGCACTTCAACAAAATTACAAATCAATAAAACGAAACATTAGGTTCAGGACAAAAACCTAATTTTAAACTCTGTAGGAAACACTTTTAGAAGAACAATCCAGAAAATAAAATCAATGGCATCAATTTAAAGAAACTTTTGGGCCAAACTTTCCACTCCTCTCCCTCAGTTTGCTGCAGTATGCATAGTGGCCACTAGATGGCAGTGTGCAACAGTGTTTGCAGGAGAATTCAAACTGAGAGTCTAGGTAAATAAAAGCTTTCACTGACCCTTTATTCTTATTCTGTGTGACTAAATAGACGAATATCAACCACATGAGTAAAGAGGAAAAAGCAGCAGCACATATTAAGAGTGGGAGGAGCTTCGCTGAGTCAGAAAGAGTAAAACTACTCAAACTACTCGACTCTAAAACCTTATTAGACTGAGATTGTGTAATCTTTCTGGTCTCATTACGGTCCCTTTAAGGGAAACTCCAACAACCAGCTCCACCTGGCATCTCAGCAGAGAAAACAAACCAGAGAGAGTTTGAGAAACGGAGCCCAACTCAAGATGGATCTTCCTAATGAAGAGTTAACGTGTCATTTGTGGGCAAATTTGGCAGGATGGACGTTGTTTGGTCTTTTTAAAATGTCACAATGATTCAGGAGCAGAGAAACGGGGGTTTGTTCAGGGGGCGAAGAAAGGACGATTTCTTTAGGTCTTTACCTACACATGAAAAATGAGGGAAAGGAAAAATAAAGAGAGGAGATAAATGAAGGAAAGAAAAAAAAGGATGAAACAAGAAAAAATAAAAAGAGGAGGTGAATGAAGGAAAGAAGAAAAAAGGATTAAAAATGAAAATTAAAAGAGGAGAAAAATGAAAGAGGAAAAAAAGAATGAAAAAATGAGATATAAAAATAGGTGGTGAATGAAGGAAAGAAAAATGGATGATGGAAGGAAAGATGAAAAAAATGAAATAAAAAAAAAAACAAACAAAAACCAAAAATGACAAAAAAAAAAAATTGCCAGGCAGTAGGAAATAAAGAAAAAGGTTAGACAAGAAATGAAAGAAACGAAAAAGAAAACTAGAAAAAGAAAAAAGAATGAAAAAAATAAAAATAAAAAGAGGAGCTGAATAAATTAAAGAAAAAAGGATGACAGAAAGGAAAGATAAAAAATGAGAAAAATGAAAGAAAGAAAAACAAAAGAAAATGACAGAAAATACACATTTGAACAGAACAAAACAAACGGAAAGAGGGAACAAAAATAGCAGAAAAAGAGAAAAAGAAAGAGAACAGAAGTGCAAATTATGTAAGAAAGAAAAGGAAAGACAGAAAAAGAATAATATGAAATGATAGAAAACAGAAAATAACTACAGAAAAAAAAGAAAAACAAAGAAAAATGGCAAAAAGAAAAACAAATAGAGATAAAAAGAAAGTCATAAAGAAAAGGAAGAAAATGAAACCTTCAGAGCTGCACTGTGCACTCTCATCCTGACTTTACTTGATGAGGTATGTATCCTGAACTTATTTAACCCCTTAATAAACAGTCCCTAAAATGTAATTATAACAGACTTTATGAACAGATATATTATTTCTACGACATTCAGAGATGGAACTATCATCTTGATTACTAAAATGTTTGAGTGTGACAGTGATTCGTGGTTCTTTTAACTCTTTTTGTCTGATTTGCACAGAAGCTGCACAGTCCTGTTGTGATTCAGCTCCTCTGCGTTTATCTCTCTCCACCATGAAAAAGTTTGAGAAACAGTTTTTAAGGTTGTTTTCTCGTGCAGAGAGACTGATGTGACCTCGACCACATCCCAAATCTTAACTGGAACTCCATATAAGAGCCTGTTTCTGTCCACCAACATCAGAGCTTGACCTCAATAATGCTCTCGTGGCTAAAATCTGTTGAAAGGCCTGAAACCAGATCTGAGGAAGTCATGGCACCAGTTTTAAGACCATACGCTCATATTTTAAGAGCTAATGTAACCGTAGAGGTGGGGGGACTGTGAAAAACTCAAACACCAGTCAAATTAAGAACCTTTACAGCAACATAAAGTCTAATTACAGACCTTCAGTGCAGGTACACGAGGTTTTACAACGCCCCTCTTTGTGCGGCTCTCAGTTCTCGGTGGCTGAGCTGCACTGAGGCCTCTCTGTAGCAGAGAGAGCGTCTCCAGGCCTGTCTCCCGTCCAGACCAAACACACATCCATCTCCGTCTCCCGGCTGCCACTGACCTCTGCTATCTGGCGTCGAGCTAACCTTCACTCTGGCGTCCGTAAACAGCCTGGCTCGTCACCGGGGGCCACCCAGCTCTCTGTGGTCGCTCACAGGACTCTGTATTAGTGGGAGATGATGATGAACGACTTGGAGGGTTTCTCGAGTATTACAGAGAGTACAAACAGAAGTTTTGAGAGGGGGTTATAAAACTTCCCTGAACTTCTCACAGCGGTCGTGTTTCTTTAATCTGAGTTACACTTACACAGTTTTTCGAGCATGGAGGTAATTGATAAAACTGATATATTGTGCAGCTCTGACCGGGACTCGAGTTCAGCTGGGGAGTTTCAGGACTCAGACCGGCCCACTTAGTTCTCAACCTTTCACTGGAGTTACATAATTCTAGCCTTAGCAGTATTTAAAGCTCCTGTGAGCAGATTTCATATTATAACTTTGGATTGCTGCATCTTCACACCACAGGATTTGCAAACCGGCATTGGTTGAATCTTGTAAAAATTGCACTTGTAATGATGATTATATATCGAATCTAAAGGAAATAAGTCAATGTTCTCTTCTGCACAAAGTCCGATCTCTCTGCTGCTTATTTCCTCCTTTTTTCCATCTGTCAGTCCCCAGGAACAGCCCAGCATCACTCTGTTTATGACTCACTGCAACATGTTTACGGAGAGTCCTCACTTTACTTCAACCCCCCCCCCTCCTCCTCCTGCATGCAAATCCTGGTAATGAAACACCCCGCACCTCTGGAGTAAGAATGAGTCACCAACGCCAGTTTTCAATTTAAATGCAGATGATGTTTTCAGGTGACTGGAGGCCAAGCGTTTGGCCGGCTGGTTCGGGTTCACAGTACGGCCCAGAGAAGTGAATGCAGGAGAGGGGGGGGGGGGACTGCAGCTCTGTGTGGTAGGAGGGGAGGTGGGGGGCGGCCCCCTGCAGGTTGCAGCGTTGGCATGTCTGGCAGGGAAGTGGACGGGCAGCGAGGAGAGGAATGATAGGTTTTAAAAGGGGTTTCCTGGCCGCTGCACAAACTGGCTGTTCTTCAGAGACTCATTAAGGGTTCCTCTGAGTCCTCATGTCTGGTGGCATCACTGACTTCGAAACAGCAGCAGAGAAAACGCCTGAATGCAGCTACTGAGTGCTTCTGTGTGCACTCCCAGAAATCTAGATTCAATAACAACATGGACCAAAACACACCTGAGAAATGCTCGATTTAGCAGGATGTGTTCTTCTGAAAGAGCTCCATGAAGCTGCAGACATTTCTCTTTGTTATGCGCTCGATATTGTGGACCTCGTGTCTCTTCTGGTCCGGTCATGATTCCACATCAGGAGGATCAGAGTCTACCTGACAGAGCAGGCAGCACA